TCATGCTGAAAGATAAAGTTCCTTTTCGTCTTCAGTTTTCTAACGGAAGGCCAAAGGTTTTGTTCGTAATTCCCTTCATCCTGACTGAGGTCCCAGTTCCAGTTGAAGAAAAGCAGCCCCAAAGCATGAGGCTGCCACTACCATGCTTCACTGTAGGTATGGCGTTCTTTTGGTAATGAGAAGTGTTTTTGCATCAAATATACCTTATGTCCAAAAAGTTCAACCTTGGTTTCATCAGACCATAACAAATCTTCCCACATGCATTTGGGAATCTTCAAATGTCTTTTTGCAAAATTAAATATTGAATGTTTTTCTTTTTTAAGGTAAAAAAGAAAAAAATGACTACTACCGCATTGCCCACACATATGAAGAAGACAGGAGATTGTTGTCACATGTAGTACATGGCCAGTATTTGCTAGAAATTCCTGCAGTTCCTTTAGTGCTCCTGTTGGCTTGCCAGCCTTCCTGACCAGTTTTCTTCTCATCTAATTAATTTTGGACAGATGACCTCTTCTTAATGTCCATGTTCTGCCATATTTTCTCCACTTGAAGATGACAGTCTTCACCGTTTTCCATTGTATATTTAATTCCTTGGGAATTCTTTTGTAGTCTTCACCTGACTGATATATTTGAATGATGAGTCATTCAAATATATGATGCTTTGGAAGGTCTCTGGTGAAAAAAAAAATTCAAATACATATCAAATATTTTTCTGAAACACATTTTCAGTATGTTGTCTAGAGGATATACTTAAGATTACATAAAAAATGCCAAATAAATACATTTTTAAAACATGCTTCCAATACTCTTTTCAAAAATGTATTTTAGTACTCTTTCTAAAAGTGTATTTTTTGTAAAATATGCTTTAAATTCTAATTCATTATATCACTAAAATTATACTTTGGATAATCCTTTTAAAACTACAAAACTACACTTTGCATGTATTTGTATAAATGTGTACATATTTAAATATTTAAAAATATATCACAAATATATACAAACAATACTTTTCTGAAATTGTATTTTTGGCAATATTTTCAAATAGATTATCTAGGTTATCGCATTATAAATAAATTTCTATAATATTTGTAAGTACTTTGTAAACAGAGTCTAATTATATTTCAATGAAATACTTACAGTGTTTACATACATGCTACTTGATGCTAACAAAGTATGCTCCATTGGGTTCCTTAATAATCGTTTACTACTTTGTTAAAATGGCAAAGAAGAAAAATAAACACAATTAAATGGATCTTAATGTAACATTATTTAGCAAAGTAGTAAATAATGTGTTCATTATTTACACATTAAGTAATGATGTTTTGATGCCTCAAATCATCCAACTTGGACAGTTTCGTGACAGGTTCTACAGCAAAAATATTACTTGTCCTTAACATTAAATGTAGCAGGTATCTTCAGTTTTACATCTCTCCGAATATGATTTGTTTTTCTCAATTCTTTAACTAAAACACAGGAGCTGTCTTTATCCAATCCATTTTCAAATGTATGACATAAGATCTATTTGTGAACGGCATTAGGTCCAGTTCACACTCCAGACCTCATAGTGGAGGTAATATACACTTTCAAAACTGTCATAAAAAACTCCAGAAGAAGAAGAGCAGGATCACCGTAAAGCCAGAGAGAATTACTGATAACTGATAATAAGGAATAATTAAATTCAATTATTACAACTGTATGTGAATCTGGAGAAAAGGCCATTGGAAAATCTACTGGTTAAAGAAAAAGAAAATGGTTCTTTAGTGGACTAATGAATATAAAGAAGCTATTAAAGCTAGGAATAAATTATTTAGAATGTTAAAATTGAATTATTCACTTGATAATTTAATATTATACAAAACAGTACAGCCTAAAGTTAAGAGAATCATAAAATTATCTAAAAAGAATTATTGGAAGGGTTTCTGTAGTACAGTTGGAACAGAAGTTCAATTCTGGGGGAATGATTAGAAAGGTGAGAGTTATTAGAAGAGGTTTTGTTTACCTATGATAAAAGATAATCCATGTGAAGCTATAACAAAGAAAGAGCAGAGGTCTTTTGTGAAAGTACACAGTTCCCAAAATTTATCAAGTGAACAATTATCATGGAGACTAAAAATGATTGAGGATAATAGGAATATTTTAAATAGGAAAGAGATGAATGGAGGTGTTTTAGATTAATATTTTTCATTGTTTGAGATGAATAGATCTTTTAGTTAAGAATACATCTCCAGGTAAAGATGGCATATGATGATTGAACAGTAATCAGATGCTGCTAAAGGAGTAGTTCTAAAGTTATACAATAAAGTACGGGAACAAGGTGAATTGCCCTCTAGTTGGAAACATTCAGTAGTTGTACTGAGAGCAAAGCTAGGTAAGGATACAGTACAGATTAAAAGTTATAGGTCAATACCTCATGCATCTAATTTATGTAAATTGTTGGAGAGGATGATAACTAAGAGAATATATTAAATAGAAAAAAGAGATTTTCTTTCTCCCCATCAAAGAGGTTTTAGGAGTGGACAGACAACTGTTGGTCCAATTGTTTGTTTATAAGTGAAATAAGAAAGGCTGAGGTAAATGAAGTTCTTCTAGCTACATATTTTAATATTGAAAATGCACATGAAATGCTTTGGAAGAATGGTTTGTTAATTAAGATGGACAAAATTGAAATAATTGGATAAAGGATTTAAAAAACAAATAGAACAATAGAAGCAAAAGTAGGGGTATATCATTCAAACATTTATGCTATACAAAATGGAACACTGCAAGAAAGTGTATGTAGCACATTGCTTTTTAATATAATAATTAATGGTATTTTTAATAATATAGATTTTAGAATAAGTACAGCATTATATGCAGAGGATGGGGCATTATGGGTGAGAGGAGAAATATTAGTAATTTTAAAACTAGAATTCAATTAGCAATTGATAGGGTTGAAAGATGGTCACATAAATGGAGGTTTCATTCAAAGAAAAAAAAGTTACTCCCACAGTAGCTCTCAGATGATATGGGCAAAAACTGAAGCAGGTAGATAGGCTATAGCTAAGGTACTTAGGTATATGTTTTGATGCAAAACTTTCATTTAAGATGCACATACAGAAAATTAGTGACAAATGTAAAAAAATAAAATAAAAAAAAGAAAGAAGGAAAAAAAAGCATTCATATTTTGAAATGTTTGTCTGGTAATGATTGGGGTCATCAAACACAGCTTTGAAAAGAATGTAAATGTATTCCTAAAAGCTAAGTGTATAGTTTATGCATTTAAAGCAGAGATCGGGTTTCATCTGTTTACCTCTGCGCTGATCCATGCAGGTCAACTGGACACAGGTTGACTGACCTGCATGGATATTTACATGTTCTGTTTGTCTGTGCTAACTGTAGATCCATCCTACATCGACATAGCCTACTGCTTACTGCAGATTTCTTATAAACACAAAGTACCTGCGGAAGTATCGTTTCATGTGTTTTATTTAATCCATAAGCTTTACGTAACATTAAGCTGCTGTATTACTTCATGTCTTCACTTTATATGACAGGAATCTTGCAAATATTTTTGGTTTTAGTGTGCCGTCTGCAAAGTCAATACCACTACAAACAAGAAATTATTTCTCAGTTAATCAGGACAAAATACGTCGTTTTTTGTGCTACTTTGTCCCTATATTTTAAAATATTTTATTTTAATTTCACTCTTTTTTTATTATTAAACTTTGCTAAATAGATATTACGTGGCTTTGTGAGATTGAAGCCGTGTAATAGCCATGTGATATTAGTGTACAATTAATTATTAATATTAATCAAGCACAGGAGCGCAGTGATCTGCTCAGTTCGGTGCTCATAACAGACAAACGTATAATGCGCAATTTTTTTTTGCGGTGATCTGTCTTTGTGTTCATTTAATTTCAATGAAAACTTGTTCCCCCTGTCTGATACTGTTTTATCTTTATTTCAAATCTTTTTTAGCAGGTAGGATATTCTAATAAAAGGATTAGGTCATACATCCATAGCTTTTCATTTTATGGCTATTCAGATGAAGGAAGTGATATTCTTGTGTTTTTGTCAAGGATATAAATTGTTCCAATGTTAAGCTAAGCATAATTCTTAAGCTTTCACTTCAGTCTCGTCACGCAAATAATCTTATCCAATGTATTTAACACAACCCGCTGTAGTTTTCTGTTTGTAGTTTTTGATGACAGATAGACTATCCATGCTATGGAAGGAAAATCTGACGAGGTAGCACTGATAGTCAGAATACCACACATAATTCTTTGTTCACAGATATAAATCATTCTGACCTCATGCTCACTGCAACTCCAGTTTATACCATAGAGCTGCAAACCCAGAACTAACGCAGTGGGTTTTAGTCTTGACTTCTACCTCAATGAAACACTCTGCATAGTTCAATGAACCCTCTTATGTTTGCAAACAGGTCAGCTGTGTCCAGTTTGACTGAAAGGAGTGACATTTCCGTTAGTTTTACTGATATATCCAGTTTTAGGTTTTTGTTTTCTGTCATAAAAGATGGTGAAGTTAGTGAAAAAATTAGGTGACATTGCCTTTCATTGAAGTTTCACACATCATATAAATGTTACACAAACTTAGTTTTAAATATTCAGCTATTAACTGACAATAATCTAGTCCAGGTTGTAATTTTTATTAACTAGAGTACATAAAAGATGCTGAAGGTCGTGAAAAATGAGATGGAATCGCCCTTTAACCATTTCCCAAATCGGGAGCTGCAGTCGGGAAACCAACTTCAGCTCCGTGTAACCACACCCACCACAGCATGCCTGCTGCCCCCACCCTGCCCCCACCACAGAGTGCCTGCTGCCCCCACCCTGCCCCCACCCTGCCCCCACCACAGAGTGCCTGCTGCCCCCACCCTGCCCCCACCCTTCCCCCACCCTGCCCCCACCCTGCCCCCACCACAGAGTGCCTGCTGCCCCCACCCTGCCCCCACCCTGCCCCCACCACAGCGTGCCTGCTGCCCCCACCCTGCCCCACCACAGCGTGCCTGCTGGAACCTCCAGGAAACATTCATCGTGCTATTTGGTGGAACGATTCAGAACGAGGCCCTAACATGCCCACGAAACAAATCTCCTCGTGTTTCTCCCATTTGTGCTTTTTTCTGCCACTTCTGTTTGAAGCGCTACATCCGGGTCTCGCTGCTCGCCCGTTACTTGTGTTTTTGCTGGACGGTTTTCGTTATGACTACATAGATGAACTATATGAACTTCCAGGGTTTCGCGAGCTGGTGGAGAGAGGAGTGAAGGTGGACTACATGACTCCAGATTTTCCGAGTCTGTCGTACCCAAATTACTATTCCTTAATGACAGGTAAGCTATCAAGCCATCAGTCAAGTTATTTGTTCACAGACCGTTTGTATCATATTATAAGTTATATAAGCATTATTTTTTTTCTGTAAAACCTAAGTGCCTTTGTGGTAGTGTACATTTTGATTTAGCACAACTGTAATCTGTTGTGAAATTATTTAAATCCCAGTCATAATAATATTTTAACATAAATTTTAAGCGAACTGTTGCAGACTGAGAGGCATAGTATTCTGTTATCCATACTCAAAAAGGACTTTGGCCTTTAAAAATTTTGCAATCATTAATAATTATCCTATGACTATGGCATTTCTGCTCCTCATAGACAACAGTGCAGACAAGTTGTCCAGCAAATAGTTGAGTAGTCTGAAGATATTCTTTGACAATATTCAGTGATGAGTAAATATATTTTGACGACTGTCTATCAAACTTTCTTTATATGTATCAAATCATCTTCTTCTTGTTGTGAGTATATGAAGCAGGTGCATATATAGGTGTATATATACAGTTAAAGTTTCTAATTGGGGCTAATAATTTTGATCTTAAGTTTTGATATTTCAAAAAAAAAAATTCAAGTGCTATTTAACAGATCAATGCTTTTTTTCAGTACAGCTTTTTCAGACATCCAGTTCATTTATATATCACCAATTCAATGCACTTTGGAAAAAAATCTTTTCAATTCATTCACACATTCCAATTGATTCTAGTTATCAAACAGTACAGGATGCTCAGTTAATTATTCAAAGTAGATTAAAAAGTTTCTACGTTATGGAAGTGTATGCACTGACTTTATAAAAAAGAAAAGTTTTAAGCCTCGTTTTAAAAGTAGCTGATTCCATAGGAGAGGAGCCTGATACCTAAAGGATCTGCCCACAGTAACCCTGTGGGTAAAGCTTTAACTCCTACTTGGTTATCCTGGAAGCCCAAAGTGCAAAGGGCCCCTTTTTTTAATTTAGTTTTTTTAATTATATTTTTTTATTTCCTTTTTAAACAGCTCAGTATAGAACATAGAAAACATTACCTAGGATAAACACAACGTAGATCTTCACAGTTAAGGCAGGGTGCCACACAAATACATACATATACAGCTCTGGACAAAATTAAGAGACCCTTAAAATGATCAGTTTCTCTGACTTTTTCTTTATGGATGTATGTTTGAGTAAAATGAACATTGTTCTTTCATTATATGTACCACTCACGACATATCTCTGAAGTACCAGGCAAAATGTTTTTATTTATTTGCAGAAAATGAGAAATGGTCAAAAAACAAAAAAGTGGCAGTGCCTTCAGACCTCAAAGAAAACAGCTTCATATTAATTTAGAAACAACAATTCTAATATTTTAACTCAGGAGGAGTTTAATAATCAATAGTTTGTGGAATAAGAGTTAGGAATCAATATTTAGTTGAATAACCATGAGGTTTTCAATGAATTTCAGTGCAGCGATTTCTACATTTTTTCCAGAGCTGTATTTACATTCACGGTTAATCTATCATAAGGCTGTTTAGTATAAATGCAACAGTAGAATTTGTGAAACGGAGATAAGTAATCCAAATACACGGAAATTGTCCCTTTGTATAATGAAGAGAGTAGGTTAAGTATTACAAAGGAGAAAGTTCCATGATGAGTTTGTGCCAAAATGTTTTGGAAGGAGGTTTATCTCTGATTCATGACAAGAAGATGTTCTTCCGGTCAGCACAGGTGAGACTGTCAGACAGTCTGCCAGAACCAGGATTGAGTTAAGGCTGTTTGAACTTCTCTTTAGGTTAAAAAAGTATCTTAAATACTGAAAATGTTAGCACAAACATACAACATTAAAATTTCAGGGCCATTTTTAACTCAACTCCTAGTGACACTTACTTACTTTCATACACCCTCCTACAAAACACTGTCAGTCTCACAGTCCTCCAGCCTTCACTCTTCAGCCTTTCAACCATCAAGTACATTGACTACTCAAAAAAGTACATCAGAAAAAAATCCCCTGGCCTGGATGGAGTACTTGGGGAAGTGGTGAAAGCCTGTGCTTAGCAGCTAGCAGAGGTCCTCACTCAGATTTTCAGCCAACTGTCAGTCTCTGTCTCAAGTCAGCAACCATCATCAAATTAGGCAAAACATCTGCCATACAAAGCTTTAATAACTAAAACTGTGTATGGCTGCTTTAATTAGCTGCCATACATTGCAGGGTTTCCCCCAGAAAACTTGCGAAGCCCTGTGATTGGGGCACCGAGGTGGCCCTCATATTAAAAGATGTTAATTTGACAGGAAATGTAAAAATATTCCTGGGTAACTGTAATAAATTGTATTTAACCCAGAATTAGTCTTAAAAACAACTAATCAAAAAATAAAATTAAAATGAATATCGGTTATTTGCACTTCTGTTTGATCAAAATTAAGTCAGTGGCTCCATCAGGTCCCCCAGGGCTTCAGGGGCCCTAAAAATGCTAATATTATGCTAGTAAAGCATGGTGGGTCACCAGGTTTCTAATACACTGGGGGAAACCCTGCTATTGCATAACATCAGTAATCATGAAGTTCTTTGAGAGACTTGTTGCTCAGCATATCAAATACCTCATCCCACCTGTTTTGGATCTTCATCAATTTGTGAATAGTAGGATGTCCATGTTTTTATTGTTTTTGATTTAGTGAGTAGTTTTTTGAGATTTGAAATAATCAGTTTTCAAACTTTCCAATACTATTATTTTTCAGGCCGTCACTGTGAGACCCATCAGATGGTTGGAAATTACATGTGGGATGAAGTCTTAAACAAAGAGTTTCTTATTGGAACCAATTCTGACAGTCGGTTGCCTCTTTGGTGGAATGGATCGGAACCTCTCTGGGTCACCATGCAAAACCTGGGAAAAAAAGTTTTCATGTACTTCTGGCCTGGTGAGTGCACCACTGTTAACGTAAGGGTTTCTTAACACTTTTGATAACATTTCTTCAACTGCAGCTGAAAGATTGTAAAGAAATCCATTGTTGTAGCTTCTTTTTGTGACTTTATTGGATCTTATTTATTTTTCATTCAGGTTGGTGTAAATAAGACTAGTTCACAGCTCACAGCTTATAGCTTAGCCATAAATTATGGTTAGCTTATGGCTGAGCTAACTATATGTAACAACTTTAGAAAATGTGCTTTTATTTTTTTATTATTATAATGTTTGAAATTTCACCAAATCCTGATTAATGCTGAAGAATCCTATTTTTTTGTTATATTTTATGAATTTTGTGATTTTATTCATTTTGATAAGCACTAGTGCCGGTACTGTTACTTTAAGAGAGCATCAGTACTGTACTACCTGCAGTTGATGCTAGACTGACTGAGAAGAGGTAGGAAATTCTCTTTGCTTGTGGTTAAGCTCACATTCTATGAAATATATAAAATCATTGTAAGTGAATGTTTATTTGTTTTAAGACATACAGTGGAGTATTCTTTCTGACAAGTGAAGAACATTTTCCTTAAATGTTAGAGCAGATATTATTAGTTAGTCACAGGGTTTCTCCACTTGCTTGGGGAATTCTGATTCCTGTTCTATTTGTGCAGGTTCTTTTGTTCTACAATGTTTAAACTGGTTTTATTACAGGCACAAAACAGCTGTGATATATAATTATTTAAGAGGTTTTTTATTGAACAAAAAATTGACCTTTTTTATTATTGTGGATTCATTTACAAGAGCAATAATACTATAATACTTTGAGTTGAGGGGAATTCCGGCTCCTGGGAATGGAAGAGCTGCATGTTAAGGGGCATTTTTATTTCTATTTGTGCAGGCCTCTGCCAGCAACCTGCATTAAAGAACAACCAGCAATTTCTGTGGTTCAATTTCTCCTTTCTTCAACAGAACACAACGCAGAACACATCAAGGTTAACAGACAGTATAAAACAGTATGCTGTCTTATACTTAAAGAACACTAATAGTACACACCGGTTACACATAACTCCTAAACTTTCACTTCAGTCCCCTCACTTTCAAATAGGTGTTTTTTTTTTGTAAATATAGGACAGCAATATTTCTCTGCCTCTGAAGTATGGGATTCCCCAAGGGTTGATATTAGTGCCTGTTCTTTTTGCTTTTTGTGTGCAATAAGCACAGAGATAGCCTCAGAAAAGACTCTGTCCCCTCTAGTTGTTTTTTGCCTCTGGGTTGTATTTTTTATAAAGCACAAAATATCTTTTTATCGTTTGCAGATGACGTTCATTGGATTACCTGTAACTACAAAAGACAGTCAGTCTGCTGTCCATATGTTGCAGGATTGTCTTCAAAATGTGCAGGAATGGTTAAGAGCAAATGTTCTGAAACTAAATAAGGTTTTCAGTGTTTGGTCAACACAATCCCCTGCTTGGACATGTGTTTGGTCCCCTGTCTTTTGTTGTTCTTTAGTGAAAAAATTTGGGTGTGATTGTTTAAATTTGATAAACATATTAGCCTATTATCAAAGCCAGTTTCTTTCAGCTGAGGAGCCTTAATAAAATAAAATATTTATCTCCCTCTGGCTGATTTTGAGAGGGTTATCCACACATTTACATCACATTTAGATTATTTAAGGTTGGAGCAGCGCTCCCTGCAGTGACTGCAGAGCATCCAAAATGCTGCAGCCTGTCTGTTGACAAAAACAAGCAGGCGTGAATTTATTACCCGAGTTTTACACTTCCATCACTGGCTCCCTGTTTTTAGGATAAAATTTAAGGTCTTATTGATTGTTTTCAAGTGTTTAAACTCTATGGGCCCTTCTTACTTTAGTGAGCTCTTGCAGCACTTCAGCCTACCCTGAACTCTAAAGTCAACTGACCAGCTTTTAATGTCCATCCCTAAAGCTAGGCAAAAAACTAGAGGGGACAGAGCCTTTTCTGAGGCTGTCCCTAGATTTTGGAACAGTTTCCCTCTGTCTATTAAGCTTTCTCAGTCAGTAGGTCAGTTTAAGTCCTGCCTGAAAACTCATCCATTCTCCCTGGTGTAACACCAGTTACAGAGAAAAAGGTCAAGGATGGAAGGAAATTGCTGCAGATAAAATTCAATTGTTTTTTGTTTCATGGTATTAGCTTTTGGTATCTCTACCAATTTTATATTTATCTTATTATTTTTTTACTAAAATTAATTTCTATATTACCATTTATCTACTTGTGATGTTGTTTGTTGTGAAGCACTTTGGTCAGCTGAGACTGTTGTAAATGTGCTATATAAATAAACATTGACTTGACTCTCCATCGTGTCAAAATCTCTTTGATCAGGCATTGAGAGACAGTCTCTATAGCAGCTTTTTGGAAGGGAAACATGTCAACCCACAGAGAGAAATAATCCACAAAAACCAGGAGGTGGACATTGGCATTACTACTTTGTGGAAAGGGTTCAGTCAAGTATAGTCCTATCATTTGCCATTGTGCATTCACCTGTGTTTGCTGTAATTTACCAAAGTCTTTTTGGGTTTCTGGTTTGTGCATTTGGCAGACTTGGCAACATCTTACGTAGACCTGAATGTCCATGCGCAACCCTAACAATACACCAATGCTTGTTGGTTTTTATAGGTTTTGTATTATCTGAAATGTCCAAATAAGGGGTCATTATGGTTGTGATGCAATAATTGTGGAGAAAGTGATGGAGGGATGTTGACCTGATAGAGTTTTATGTGGTAAATGGACAACTCTGCAGATCTTCTCTTGTAGAATGGTGTACTTGATGGTATATGGTAATGCCCCTGTCAGCAGGTCAATTTGTTGAGTCAAATTGATCTTTTGACTCAACAAGTCCATTTATCATGGACCTGTGTTTGTTATAGAGAAATTGTGATTGACAGCAAAGATTCAAAGAAGGTCAAATTTATTATATGCTTCAGGTTAAAGTAAATCCAAGTCTAATACTCATCTGAACTGTGATATTAGTTATTATTTTTTAATGCGTTTACAGGTAACATATAACAAGCACAATGATTTCTTATACTTGCTTTTAGGCTGTGAAGTGGAAATTCTGAATGTTCGTCCGGCTTTCTGCAAAGAATACGTCAACAGTCCATCAAAAGAAGATCTTATACATTCGATAACCAGTTCACTTGCTGCCCTGAGGTGAGAAGACATTTTTTTTCAAACATAATATCTGATAAATTAAGATATAGAATAAGATATGTAAGTCTTTGGCAACACATGTAATACTCATTGGTAAAAGAGGTTCACTTTTTTTGTTTAATTGTGGGATTTATTAACTAGAAGAAAAATATGGTGACAGAGGAGGTGAGGACACACACACACACACACACACACACACACACATATATATATATGTGTGTATATATATATATATATATATATATATATATATATATATATATATATATATATATATATATATATATATATATATATGTGTGTGTGCTCGGGTCCTCTACCAGAGGCCTGGGAGCTTGAGGGTCCTGCAGTATCTTGGCTGTGCCAAGGACTGCTGCACATTTCTGGACTGAGATGTCTGATGTGTTCCTGGGATCTGTTGTAGCCACTGCTCCAGTTTGGGGGTTACTGCCCCGAGGGCCCCGATGACCACAGGCACCACTGTGGTCTTCACCTTCCAGGCCCTCTCCAGTTCTTCCCTGAGGCCCTGGTATTTCTCCAGTTTCTCCTTTTTCCAGATGTTGCAATCACTTGGTATTGCTACATCTACCACAACGGCTTTCCTCTGATGTTTATCCACTACGACAATGTCTGGTTGGTTCGCCATTACCATTTTGTCTGTCTGGATCTGGAAGTCCCACAGGATCTTAGCTCTGGCGTTCTCCACCACCTTTGGGGGTGTTTCCCACTTTGATCTCAGGGTTTCCAGTCCATATTCTGCACAGATGTTTCTGTACACTATGCCTGCCACTTGGTTATGTCGCTCCATGTACGCTTTCCCTGCCAGTATCTTGCACCCTGCTGTGATGTGCTGGACTGTCTCAGGGGCCTCCTTGCACAACCTACACCTTGGGTCTTGTCTGGTGTGGTAGATCTGGGCCTCTATTGCTCTGGTGTTTAGGGCCTGTTCCTGGGCGGCCAGGATGAGGGCCTCTGTGCTGTCCTTGAGTCCAGCTTTTTCCAGCCATTGGTAGGATTTACTTATATCAGCCACTTGGGTTATTTGCTGGTGGTACATCCCATGTAGGGGCTTGTCCATCAGAAATCTCAGTCCAGAAATGTGCAGTCCTTGGCACAGTTGAGATAATGTGCAGAACCCTCAAGCTCCCAGGCCTCTGGTAGAGGACCCGAGCTCAGAGGATAAGAACCACCTCGGTGGGTGAGAAGGGAATTTTTTTAATATAATGTGTGTGTTTTTTTTTTTTTCACACACACACATATTTGCAGAAAATATGTATATTTTTGACGGAATTCAATATATGACTTAAATGCAGTGTGTAAATTAATATTCCCAACTCAAAAGTCAGTGCAAATATATATATATTTTAATCCTATATTTCTGCCTTTTCCTCCTCTCCTTTCTTAAAATTACATATTTACAAATGCAAGTTCAATCAAGCATTATAAACTTTCAAAAAGTCAACGTAATGAATAACTGCATTGGGCATTTAGTCCAGCACTTAGGCAGAATGTTGAAATTGACGTCAAAAGTTTCCCTGTGTTTGGGCTCGCAAACACAGAAATGCTGCTGTAAACTTCTTTGATTGCTACACTGCATTTACAAGAACAATTAACAACATAAAAAGAAATGTTTTTTCTAACTTCCACATCAGACCTATGTCTTTATTCACAGTTTAAAATAAATGATTTTTGACCATAATCTGATAGAGTGTATAGAACCCCTTAATACTTGTACCCCTTTAGTATTAGACCAAGGGTAGCCAGACTAATGCTGAATTGCTATATTTAGCTACATATTATTGTTGAGGGGCACAAGCAGGTCTCCTGACCCACAGATAAAAAAATGGAGAAAATTGTGAAAATAAAAACTTAAAAAAGGGCACTTGGGGCATCAAGGATAAAAGGGGCAGGGTCTCAAGCCCTCAGCCCTGCACGTGCTTGAGGCTCTGTATGTATTGCTTCATTTGTTTTCATAGACATTTATTCGATACTATTGGTTGGAGATTCATTATAATATGCCTTTTCTTTTAGTTCAGGAAAAGCAGACATGGCAGCTGTTTACTATGAGCAAATAGATGTGGAAGGACATCACTTTGGACCAGAGTCTCCTCAGGTCAAAACAGCTGTGCAACACCTCGATCTCACCATGCAGATCCTAAACCAAAAAATCAAGGTAATAACATTACTATTGCTTTTACAAAGGTTTACCTTTATATGTATATCTATGTATTTGATGTATGCTTCTTTTTGTTAATGCTAGTGTCGAGACTGTTGATTTCAGTTCAGACTGATGAACTGAAATGTTTAAAATGAAGAGTTCTTCCTGTTCTACATATCAAAAGGAATGCACTAAGGCCCCAGCACAACATCAAAATTGTCCGCAGATGATGTACAAACACTAAAAAGTGTTGAACAAACTTAATATGATCTAAGTCTGGAAGTTATAACCAAATAAGTATTTATTTTGAGGAACTGTAGACCAGGGGTCACAACCTTTTTGAGACTGGGAGCTACTTCACGGGAACAGAGTAACACGAAGGACGACTTGTTTGATACAGACAGAAATTTTCTTGGCTCAGGGTTTATAACAAAAGTATATATATGTATATATGTAGACAGGAAGAGCAGGTTTCCTGGAAAAAGAGGAAGTAAGTTTCCAGCTTGCAGCTGTATAAACATAGCTGAGACCCGTCCTTGTTTAAAAGCATAAAAGTTTTAAAGGATAAAATCTAAACATTTTGAGTAATTAGATAAGATTTAAAGTAAAGTACTTATGTTAATATTGGTTTACTTATAACAATACTTATTTACACTTGTGGAAAAACGTACAAGTAAAACAAGTAACTGTAACTTTGGTATCAAATAATAAAAGAGTAATAAGTTGTGGTTATCATAAACTTATAAATTAATGCTAAATTAAAGACACTAAAAGGATTATGAATGTGATTTTAACATTGAATTTGAAATGGTGTAAAACATGTAACTGCTATTAAAGATCACTGATGATGTGTTGGAGGTGGATGACATAGTTTGATTTAACTTGCGGACCCACATGCAGGAACCACACACTGGATAGAAAGGCAAGTGATTTATTTACAACAGGACAAATAAAATTCAGTCCTCTGGACTTCGATAGGCGGCGAGGGTCGCTCGACCAGGTTGGCCTGAAACGAGAGCTGAATTATAACGGGTTCAGAGTGTGAGTTCGGAGGAGGAATCAGGAGCTGGTTTACATTGGTGCGGATCTTCCAGAGCTTAGGGGTGAGGCGTCAGGATCCGGCGTGAGGGTGTGCAACAGTGCCGGGGGTGAGTGCGAGGAGAAATCACAAGTGGTTGGAACAGGATGGAGTCAGTGGAAATGGCGGAGCAGGCAGGGATTCTCAGGAGCTTCTTGAAACGAGAACACAAAAAGTCCTAGAAACGAACAGGACACGGAGAGTAAGTAACTTCGAGTTACACAACAAGGTTCTAGAAACAAGTTTTCAACAGGTGAGGCCAGAGTGACTACCGGTAGCGTCAACCATCTAGCGATGACTGGAGGATTCTGCCGCTCCTATATTCCAGCACGCTGATGAGGCAGATCAGCGTCACCTGCGCTGGCTCCCCAGACTCCTCACGAAGATCCTCGCTGAAGGAAGATGTAACACTCCCACTCACACTCTCATGCACACGCTCTCACACCGGAATCCTGACAGTGGACAGTAGGTGAAGGGTTAGGGGTAAGATGGGGACTAACGGGAAAGCAGAGATGACCAAGGCCTTATTAGGACATAGATTGTTGAACAACTTAAACATGTCAGAGACACGGGAGGAACGTTGAGCAACCCTGAGACATTAGCCAAGACATCAGGACAAAATGTCTCTAAGACAGTGATGGATATGAGTGTATCTGTCCAAACAAGTTACCCAATAAAGCACAGCAACAGTGTTAGCCAATGAAAATGCACTGAAAGCGGGTATAAACCCATATAAGGGGAGAGCAAAAGAGGAATCTTTGGTTGGATCCTCCAGGCAGCTTCGAGCCAAGACCGAGATGGACAAAGAACTCTGCAGCTGAAGAAGAGCCGGGGCTACAGAGCCGAAGACTGTCCTGTTCACGGGGACCAATCCATCAGCCCCGCAACATGTGGCTTCAAATCGGACTTCTCTCATCGGCTGGGTTCAGACCCCAAAGACTCCAAAGACAAAGATGAAGACCAAGGAAAAGATAAAGACCCAAGTCCTGCGTGTCCTCATCACCCATGCAGAGATGACAGTTATTCAGACCAACAGAGATCCCTGCCTTCGTCAATCAACTCCTTTTCCTGCTGCAACACCTTCTTTATCATCGATCCAGTTCTGGGGTTGGAGACACCAAACTCCATCCGTCTCTCTAAAGATTCCCTTTTTAGTTCTTAATATCAGCGTTAGGGAAAGACAGGCTAGATGATTGATTTTACTTATTGGATTATTTCTGCTACTGAATTAAGCTGTACTGACCCTTGCAAAATTCCTTTACTAATAAAATATTTAGCATAAAGAAAATCTAAAAGATGTTGTGGACATTCAATTAATGAGTCAACTCAAAGTTCTTTGATGGTAGTAAAATAGCTGTGATGTTTGATTCTGGGGAAGAAAACTAGGTCATGTTTTATAGGTTGCTTTAGCCCAAATTTAAAACAACATCCTTGGGACTCGCCCGAGTCACTAAACCAACCTGATTCACTAACAAGTGCAAGTTGTAAAAAAGAGAAGGAGCAACCGTTAACAGATGTGCTCTGTGAAACTAGTTATCTGTATGTTGCTCAGTCTGGCTAATTCACAGGGGGAAGAAGGGTGAGACATCTGGATGTAGGCCGTCAGTAACCAGGCGAATCCTTTCTGGAAACCAGCTTAAACAGAGTTTACTTCAGTTCTGGATAGGGTAAATCCCAGCAGATTTAGGAAACTCAATTGACCCGTTAGATGGAGAGCTGGTAGCACATCTCCCCTCTCAGAAGAGGAAGTAGTGACTGAGAGAGGAGAGAGTGAAGGAAGGGGGTCATGAGGGGGGGTGTAGCGGCAATGACAAGCTGCTAAATAAACCAAAGTAAATGGACCAAAGTAAATGGACCAATAAGATTCACACTTTGGCCTGCCACACCCACTTTGGCCTGCCACACCCACTTTGGCCTGCCACACCCACTTTGGCCTGCCACACCCACTTTGGCCTGCCACACCCACTTTGGCCTGCCACACCCACTTTGGCCTGCCACACCCACTTTGGCCTGCCACACCCACGTCTTGAACGTGTGCTACGTTCAAGACGTTTTGACACATAAGATTTTTTTTTCTCCGCAGTTTTGTTCATTGTAAAGAAGGTTCGATAATAAAAATTTCAGAAATGATTGTTTTCTTGTTTTACTTCATGGAAAATGTTAAGCTAGACAGAGCGGGTTCAGCTGCCCTCTGATAACATCCTGCAGGATGTTATCAGAGGGTTATTCTGAACTTTAACCATAGAAGAGAGTTATGCATAAGGCATAAAGTGTGAGTTTCATGTCAAAATGAATGTTTAAATAAGTGTGTATATATATATATATATATATATATATATATATATATATATACATATATATATATTATATATATATATATGTATATATATATATATATATATATATATATATATATATAGGAAGGAGGTCATGAGGGGGGGTGTAGCGGCATATATATATATATATATATATATATATATATATATATATATATATATATATATATATATATATATATATATATATATATAATTTCTTATTTCCTTTCAGGACAGCAACCTGGAGAATCAGTTAAATGTGATGTTATTTTCAGACCATGGTATGACAAAGATCCAGTGGATGGAGAAGGTGATAGAACTGGACAAATATATAGACATGTCAGACATTGTGAAGATAATGGATAGAGGACCAGTAGTCAGCCTGTGGCCTAAAAACACCACATACCAAAAGGTAACCCTGTGTCATTTTTTTTACTATATTTTTTAGAAATAAAACTCTGCATAAATGTTGCGATTTTGTGGCCTCAGCATGTTGATGGAGAACATTCTTATTTTTACATGTAATATCATAAAAATAAGGAACACAACAAACATATCAGGAACAAAGATGAATCAAATCTAAACTAATGCTTTGTTCTAAAATAAAATGCAACAATATGTATCTCTTGAAAATGGAAAATATATGACAAACGTATACATTTGTTCTATAAATCCATCAGAATTGACAAGCTGACAAGGAGGGAATTAACCTATTTAATCCCAAAAATTTTCCTGCAAAATATGTGCATGCATTTCAATCCTCTGACCTTCCTAACACATCATATTTATGAATTTTTACATTTTATGTTGATTATGTTAGTAAAAATTTAGGTTTTATACTTGGCAACAATTGTTGCTAGTGGGAAACAGCATAGTGTAAATTGCACATATATGGCCTATTTATACTTATAAAAAGAAGAAAAATTATGACATGTATGACCTATTATAACAAAGAATGGTTACAAGAGTGTTCAGAAATATTTTAGATACATAAAGATTTAATACTGCATCCTGCAGATGTCATTGTCTCAACCTTCGACCTCAATTGGTAATTTCATCAAAGAGGCAAAATCAGGTAAAAATGTTCTGAACAAATCTGCATCTGGGAGGAAATTGTCCCTGTTCCACTAGACCAATCACTACACCGTGGCCCTGTCCTGAACCGTCATCTTGTAGTCGTCATTCAATGAATAGGCCACACTTTGTGTAAAGAGTTGCCTTTGTGGGGGTTAGAGAAGGGAGGGTTTCAACTATGGGAATGACAGTGATGTAGAAGACATCATTTTCAGATTCCTTTAGGTCTAGAAGATCTAAAATATCTGATAGTTTTAAGCTATGTGGGAACAGCAAGGTATATTGAATGGACAGTAAAGCTGTGGAGACCTAGCATAGTACTGTCTATGTATTGTGCTAGCGGCAACAATTGTTGCCATGTTTACATTCACTCTACTTATGATCAAAATATGATTGAAGGGATACAATATTCTTTATATATCAGCAGAAGACACCAGCTGTCTACAGCTTCCTGAGTAGAGCTGGATTTAAAGTGTACTCATTCCAATTACAGGGCCTTGAAAGAGGCCTCTATTGTTATTTTTCATCACTACCTCACCCGAGTTAGGAATGGGTAATTTGCACGCCTGCTGCCTTCCTTGGATGTGGTAGCAAACTTCACTATATGACAGCTGGAGTGTCTTGCCGAGCAGTCATATATCAGCAGAGTGAAGAGGAGGGGGCTCACCACGTACCCCTGAGGCGAGCCAGTACTGAGGGGGATGAAGGAGGAGACAGTATTGTGAATCCTGACAGTCTGACGTCTGTTGGTCAGGAGGTCCAGAATCCACTTCCCCAGTATGGAACTCAATCCAAGAGAGGAGAGCTTCTGCACCAGGGTCTCTGGGATGATGGTGTTGAAAGCTGAAAAGAAATCCAGAAAAAGCAGACAGATGTAGGAGTTCCTTCTCTCCAGTTGTGTGAAGGCTGTGTGGATCACCGATGAAATGGCGTCCGCAGTGAACCGGTTCTTCCTATAGGCATACTTTGGGGGTTCACAGTGATGTCAATGGAGTCCTTGATGTGATTCATGACTAGCCTCTCAAAGCACTTCATGACTACCAATGTTAAGGCTATTGGTTGATAGTCATTCAGGCTTGTCACTGGGGAGCATTTGGGGTCAGTAATAATAGTCTTTAAGCAGGTGGGCACAGATGACAGTGTGCCCACCTGTCATCTGTCTCAATACCTGTCTGAGGTGTGCACACCTCAGATGGACACCTGTCTGAGGTGTCCATCAACACCTCAGACAGCTGGTGTGCACAGTCCCTCAGTACTCGCCCTGGGATTTTGTTGGAGCCAGCAGACTTACAGGGGTTGATTTCCTGGAGGGAAGCTGATCACGTTGCTATGTGTGAGGCGTGTCACCAGGTGGTGGTGTTAGTCTGGTGCTGAGGGAAGCGTTAGCATCCTCAAAGCTGATGTAGAACTTATTAAATGCATCTGGCAGTGAAGGGGCCCTTGGACATTGTGCACCCCTGATGTTGTGCTTAGTAATGCACTTGATGCATTACTAACTCTTTTAATAAAAAAATTGTTTAATTTATTTAAGTAATAACATGTTAATACATATTTTAGTAAACTAACTGAAGACCTCCCCTGAGCATCCTTTGTCTCTAGCACTGCCATCCAATGTCATACATGTTGATAAATAAAGGATGAAGTGTTGTGCAGCCATTGCTCACACTGATTTTACACTTTAAACAGAAAACAGCTCATTTTGCTGCTGTTTCAGTCTCATTATGATGAGAAATAAAACATTGTGGCTCGAGTAGCTAACTTTTAGACAAAATTACTAGTAAAACATTGGACTATTTCAGAATTAAAACGACTTAGCCAAAAATATTTGGTTATGAAAGTAAACTAAGAAGTTAAACAAGCAATATTCATGGCAACGTTCCCAACAGATGTTCACATTCATGTGAAAGGAGTTTCTGACTTTTTGCTGTTTCCTGTCTCTATGGAGCCCTGTGTTGACGGTGGTGTGTTGTACCTACATAGTAGAAAAATTCAAAATCAAATAGTTTTTGCAATTGTGGTGAAATTCTTGGGTGAAACAAATGCATATGTTTGGGACAAATGCACCTGTCTCTAATATTGGGGGTGACACGTCCCCTCCGTCCCACCTGGTTCCTATGCCTATGGAATAGAGCCATTTCAGAGTTGCTTTATAAAATTAGTTTTTTCTGTTTGTGTGTATTACCAGGTCTATGCTGCCTTGAGCCAAGTCCGTAACATGCGTGTCTATTCCAGGCAGGAAATCCCTGAACGGTTTCTTTACAAAAAAGGGAACTTTGTTTCTTCTCTCACTTTGGTTGCTGAACCAGGCTGGTTTATCACTAAGGTATGAAATAACATTATATCAACTTATATAATTTTTTATTTGTCATCTCATCTTTTATAGTTATAGTATCTGCCTTTGAGAATAGAATATAATTTTCCAGCTAAACGTTTAGAGTTAGAAAGTAAAAGAAATATCAAAGTAAAAGAAAACTCACTTTAAATTCAATGTATTTACTTACAAAATTGCTAAAAAACAAATATACTTAGCATGTTAAACTTCAGCATACTTGAAGCCAGACCACTCATCGGTGTATTTTAAGTGTGTTATTTTAAACAACTAATTTTGTTCTTAGTGTATTTTAGTACTAATTCAATTGTTCTATATCACAATTTAAAGTATGCTAAGTGTACTATAACATGCGTTTTTTTTTTTGTTGGAACAACTAACGTTATACTTTGTATACTTTAAGTATATGGTTTCTTAAGAATATCTTAAGTGTACTATTTTTGTGATCGAATTACATTTAAAATATATTTATTTTATAAATTTAGAATCTATAAAATAAAGGGTTAAGAGGGATTTCCCTTTTTGTACATAATCACACTTATTCTCCAAGCTTCTGGTATAAATTTTGTATCAATAGAACAATATTTGGGGAAAATAGACAGGGCATGCAAATATCAGCAGGCTCAAAATCCATATTGCCAAAAAACGCATTCCCCTCCAAATTTGAAGAAACAAAGAGCTAAGAGTGAAATAACATTTTCTACATAATCACACCTGTTTTCTAAGCTACTGGTATAAGTTTTATATCAATAGGACAGTAGACAGGGGATGTAGATATTGGCAGGCTAAAGATAGCCTTTATTTATTCTTGCTGGAGTTTTTTTTCTTTTTGTCTTAACGGTTGTGAGGTGACATGGAGTGGAAGAAAAGACTAATAACTCCTCATCTTTTACTCGTGTGAAATATTTCGTTATAGTTTTTTTTTTTTGTAATTTTTTTCTCAGGGGATTTTGGTTGGCTCTAGTGGCCCGTATTGTTTTTAAAGTAGGCTGACAGGAAAGAAAGGATGGAGAAAGATGGTAGGCATGCGGCAAATGTCACTGGGACTGGGAGTCAAACCTGCGACGGCCGCGTCGGCCTCAACGCGGTGTAGGGTGATAGTGTAGGGGTTATGATGAACCCCTACATTATCACAGCACTCCCCTTGTTCTTTTATTTCTTTTGTGCGTGTATGTGGGAGACAGCATGGAATTCTCTTTTGTTCTTTGTGTTGTAACTGAACTAAAATGAATCAAAACAATAATAATAATAAAAATAATAATAATTTTGATCATTCTAGCTAAGCATAAAAGAGAGGTTTGGTCTGATTTAACTTTAAAATTATGTAGAAATATCTTGTTTCATTTTTCTTTCAGTAAAGACTGGTATTATATATTCTCTACATACATTGTGTAAATATGATTATGTTACATGTTGTTTACTTTGTCTGAAAGCATGTTATGTCTTATGTCATCGTGTCATATTTATTGGTGTTCTCTGCAGAACAAGACAACACTTCCCTACTGGAAAAATGACTCGGGGGAGGCATCAGCTTGGCAAAATGGCTGGCATGGTTATGATAACGAGTTTATCGACATGAGAGGCTTTTTCATGGCAGTAGGGCCAGGTAAATTCATTTCAAATTTAGCATGGTATTTTGTTTTATTTGTGATCTAGTAACACCTTTTTACACCACTTTTAAGTGTAACACACTTACACAGTAAGTGTATCACATACAGTAAGTGTGGAACACAGAAACAAAAGATGCATTTGCCTAAAAGAGATAAAAATACGAGATTTGCTATAATATAAGAGAAAAAAATAACTCTTTGGGATTGGGATGACATTTAGCTCAATTAAGAAAGTTGACTGCTTCATCTTTTTGTTTATGAGTGATGGTGGTATAAAGTGGAAGATGGTCAGACTGACTTGGACTTTTTCTGCTCTAATGCCAGTAAGAAAAAAAGAGCCGAGCCATAAAGCAAAGCTCTTGATCACCATTTCATCTGCATTTTGATCCTAGGACCATGACATATGGATTTCAACTTCTGTCATTCAGAAAGCCTCCAAAGTAAAACCACTGCTTCTCTCCACCAAAGGTGTCAATTTAGATGGCTTGTAAATGCCTCAACCCATTTTACAAACTATTTCATATTCAGGTCCAGTGGATCCAAATACAAATACAACTCAGAGTTGTGACTGGTTCTCCTCTAGAAAAGTTAAGGAAATCATGGTTTACTCTAACTTATCATGTCACAAGTCATGAACAACTTTAAGTTAAGAGCCTAAAATGTTAAGTTTTCAAATTATATATCCAAATAAAATTCGAAATGAAAATCATTACTTATATTGCATTTCAGTATTTGTTTGTCTTCAAATCATATTTGTTTACTTATGGTTGCAGTTTGAAATTGTTTGAAAATAGAAAATACATTTAAATCAAGTAAAACTATTTTTTGTAGGTTAGAGTATCCTTATATTCTTGTAACCTTTCAAGAAAAACAAAGGTCTGTGGTTATTTCTTTTGATAGCTTTCGAAAACTGTAATTCTTGTGTTTGTGCAATAATTTAAATGATCACTTAGCAATTACATTTCCCAATTAATTGATTCAAAACTGTTGTTTTTAGTCTAGAGCTGAATGAATTGATCATTTCAAAACAGTTAGTGTTTATTTTAGATGTATAAACACTGTAATTTGACATGTCCAAATGACCTAATTAATCTTCTAAAAATGGTTTTCAACAATACACTCTTCAATGATTTCATCATTACCATTAACATTCAGATACACTAACTGAATGTTCCTCTGTACAAAGTGCATTCTGTTCTCAAAATGTCTTACCAGCAGAAAAAAACATTCCATCTACCTGTTTAATTGTGCTCACAAGCTCCATTTTTGGACATCATGGCCTGGAATTTCCTTGAGAAGGGTGCCCTGGTCTCAGGAACCTGGAAACCGACTTGGACAAGCCCCCGGTTTTTGATTTGCACAATTTTTCTGTTCCATGTAACTCCCAGGTCCATTAAACAATTCTGGGACCAGAGCATTACCCCTCAGAGTCACTGCTTTGTTTAAGAATACAACAGCATTTTATGCAAAAAATGATGAAATGTTACAAGAAATGGATACAGAGTGACATTCACGTTCCAGTTGGGCTCCACTCAGCACACCATAAAGATTGTAATGCAATATCTGCTTTTATCTTTTCCTCATTCTGCTTCCTCTCTAAGAGGTGTTAGCCTGTTTTGATCAGTTTTGTTTATGTGTGACTGTCGCCAATCTTATATGTTATGGCAATGTTTATTCGTGCAACAGTGTGCATGTGTGCAGATAAAAAATAGAGGAAAGACACAAAACACACAAAATCATATATTCATAACAATCTGACCTTGCCTAACCAAAAAACTCTGTTTTATGATATTTGACAACCACTACTAGCTTGATGGATAAATTTAAATAATATGCCATATTTTATATGCTGCTACCCCCGCGACCCGACCCCGGATAAGCGGCAGAAGATGGATGGATGGATGGATGGATGGATGGATGGATGGATGGATGGATGGATGGATGGATGGATGGATGGATGGATGGATGGATGGATGGATGGATGGATGGATGGATGGATGCCATATTTTATGGATTTGCTATGAATACCATCTGTTATCTTATGTCCTCCCACTGTTGTGTGTTTTATTTGGGAGGTGACTGTGGTGTGGTTTTTTTCATGTTGAAAATCTATAAAATCAATCGATTTACAAAAAAACACAAGATGTATATTTGGAATAGAAAATGTATGTTGGTGCTTTGTCAGGTTTTTATGAAATTGTGTTCAAACTGGAATGACAAAATATAAAGCAGAGATCTAAATATATTTTCTTTGTCTACCCAGATTTCAAGAAGAATGTTCGAGCAGCCCCCATTAGAGCAGTGGATGTCTACAACCTGATGTGCTGGACTTTAGGTGTAAATCCTTTGCCTAATAATGGATCTTGGTCTCGAGTTGAGTACCTACTTAATGGCTTTGAAAGTCCATTACAGTCTGGAATGCTTTGGACCTACAGTGTGGGTTTTCTGGGAGTACTGTTAGAATTTTACTAGGAGATGCAAATTAATTACCACATATAGATTTTTGTTGTAATGATCTGCTGTGGTTGGTGAAAGAATAATTACAAATTTAATTACACTTATACTTCTGACAAGTAGTATCTATATTTAGATATCTAACTATACTGAAATTGTACTTTTAGCTTATGTTTCAATTTACTTCTGTTTTTATTTTTGCTTGATTTTTAGATTGATAAAAACTATGCATAATATAATTTTGCTTTGTATTGTTTTCAGTCAATGTTTTTTTCTCTGTTTTTTAAAAAGAATTTTATCTAAGAACATAATTTTCCGTTTCCGTAAACTGATGGACTAATTAACCATATAACAAAACTGTAATCTTCAAAGAGAATATATGGTTGTCCAAAAATAACGCTAGAAATTTTTTTTCCAAAAAACTGAATAACTTCCTGTAAAGTTGATCACAATGTGTCGGTCTAACATTTAGAGATTATTTTGTGAGCCTTCTATGAGAATCTGCATGTGGAACTAAACTGAAAACAGAGATGCAGTTTTGAAAATTAACAAATGGATGATGGGTAATTTCTGTCAGAAAAGCTGAAATTTGCTGACTGTTAGTCTATAAGACTGAGAGGAAGAGAGAATGCTTTGGACCTACAGTATGGGTTTGTGATTCAGGCTGGAACTACATGGTGCTCTGTTCCACATCGACTGCTTTTTTATTTCATGAAGTACCAAAATACTGTTTTATAGGAACACAGTATTTTGGGGTACATTTTTTCCTGCACTTTCTAAGCAACAGTGCCATGTGCCCTTGAGCATCAATTGCAGGTTGACAACAACCTGCATGCTGTTCACAAACTGCTGAAGCGTGGCCTCCTATTCTGCTTTAAGAGTGGCCTTCAGGTCACCGTGGCTGTGGGATATAGAGTTAGAGAATCTGATTCCACAGATATCCTATCTAACGTATTTTATCACATCAATAAAGCAGCAATATACAATAATGAAAGCATCCGAATTTTCACACTTAAATGTTCTCCCTAAACACAAAGCAGACAGCAATAAATTGTTGGAAGCTGTCCTAATCAGTGAACCACTCAAAGAAATAAGAATAGAAAATAAAATAAAAAAAGAAACAGGGGATCTCTCTAAAAAATGCAGAAAAGGGTTGTAAAACTTGCTTTGCTGTGGTTTCAGAAACACAAATTGTAGATTAAATTTTTTCTAAGCCCATAGGGCCATACATGTAAGATAGGTCCATCAGATGCAGCCTCAGATACAACGACAACTGCAGAGTCATCTGAGTATTTCTGTAGATTACAGAAGTCAGACTTGTGCTTTTAGTCTGAAGTGTAGAGAGTGAAAAGGATGGGTGAGAGTACAGTCCCCTACAGTGCTCCTGTGTTGCTGGTCAGTCTCACAAGCTGTAGTCTGTCTGTCATATATCCAGGTGATTGTTGAGGCCTTCACTTGTGTCTTCTGGATTTTCTGACAAAGCAAATCAGACTGAACCGTATTAAGTGCACTGGAGAAAGAGACTCCACTTCTTGGTGTTGCCTTGCAACCAGGCCTCTCCTCTCACCATCCACTGGGCATGCCCTGATCTGGAATTTACACACACTGCCCCCCTCTTCTGCAAACTCCCTGGACCAGCAGTCAGTGGTAGAGTTCAGCTTCTGAGTAATGTGATGGATATCAAACTGAAATGGTTGCATTGCCGAATGCCAGTAGGCTATTCTGTTGTTTGAGGCTTTCATTCTTTCAAACCACTTATGATCCATTTCTAGGGAAAACTGTTTGATGCCGTTAAACTTACCTCACCACTGTAAATCTAAAGCAAAATATGATATAAATGTTTAGTTAGAAGCAGGAGGGAATGGTAAGACGATCTGGAAACAATTAAACAGTTTATTGAATCCCAATAATGCACGCACTAATTACAAATATGAACTTGCGGTAGAAGAAAAAATCATAACTGATCCTGCTCAGCTAGCAACAATGTTTAATGATTTTTTCCTCTCTTCAGTTGAAGACTTGGCATCAAAGTTCCCACCAGCTCCAATGGATATACATGGTACAAAATAAATGAAAAAGTGTTCCGATTGGTTTGAGACAAAGGAAATTCATCACTGACATTCAAAAAGCTATCAACAGCTTAAGCAATTCTTCCGCAAAGATATGTATAATTTAGATGCTGTTTTAAAAAAATACAGCAATATTTTAATAAAATCTTTAACTCACTTAGTTAATATTTCCATCAGAACAGGGCAATTTCCCGATGCATGGAAAAAAAGCTTTGGAGAAACCGGTTTACAAATCAGGAAGTCTCCATGAAATCAGCAACTACAGGCCAGTAAGTCTCATTCCGGTCATGTCAAAAGTGCTGGAGAAAATTATTCTAGAACTACTACTATTGTAATTAGAACGCCCCAATCTTCTGCATCCTCTTCAGTTTGGCTTCAGATGGAATCATTCCACAGTGACTGCTAGAAGTTTGCTGCTTGAAAAGGTTAAACAATCACTTGATAGAGAACAAATCAGTGGTGCCGTTTTCCTTGACTTGAAAAAGGCTTTCCATACCGTGAATCACAATTTACTGATCTCAAGGCTTTCATCTTTTAATTTCTCAGAACGATCATTGTCTTGGTTTCAATCATATTTGAAAGATCGTGAACAATGTGTTGTCGTTAATAATAGTAAATCTGTCTTCTGCAAAATAGCAACAAGGATTCTGCAAGGAACCATCTTATGTCCGGTTGATTTAAAGTCCATAACCAGTTTCAGTATATTCAAAAAACAAAACTCTGGTTATATCAAAAACAGAACTGCATCCATTTTCAGTGTTTTATGTTCCACTGTTGGTTTGTAGATGTTGTCAACATTATGTTAATTTAAATTTTATCACTTCAATTTTTAAATGTACTTTTTAAAAGCCCATCCAGGGCAAGGCTGCAAATTAGCAGTTGCTATTGCACTATGACGCAAACATGAGACTGCTGTTTTGTGCAGTTCGTCTATGTCAATGTGTGTCCGTCCCTATCAAATAAACTTAAAAATAAATAAAGCAACTTGAAACAGCTCTGTTTAAAGGGTCCGACCCTCTTTAGCCAGATGGGCTGGTGCAAAGCAAGTCAACAAGAAGACTTTTTAAGCTAGTGTTGAGGAGAATATGTCAGGAGATGCTGCTTAGCATCCCAAAGTCAATCTCCACTTCAGACTGCATAGCCTGCAGCAACCAAACCTTTTCACCAAAGCAGAGATACTTTGCTTGTGACAGAAAGTCAACCAGCATAGGTTTGGTAAGACTATCACTATGTTAAAATGAGTTGTAACATTGAAACTGCTATAAAATATTTAATGTGTCTATGTTCAGATGATGACCTTCAGTTGTTTCTGTGGGCTAACCAAAAGCCAGCTCAGCATTTTTATTAGAAGTTTCCATTCCAGCAGCTGCATACACCACAACACAAGAAATCACTTGAAAGCTTTCTTTAACCTGACATTGTGAGATGTTCAGATCTGGTGACATCACAAGGATGAGTTTTAGACAAGAACATTTATATTACAAATGCGTTATGGTGCCGATACGTTCATGCTTTGGCTAACAGGATTTTTTGTATTTTGTAATCACAAACGAGGAAAAGCTTAGTTGTACAACCATCATGTAGCTTTAAAACCATGGCATTACTGAAATGCCATGGTTTCAAGAAAGCAAGAAAGAAGAAAGCAGAGAGGATGTTTAAATAATTCATCCTGATTCATTGTTTCAAACAACTCTTTTCTGAAGAATACAAATAAAAGAACATAAGGGCCATTCCAAATTTTGAGACATTCTTATAATGTGAAGAAGATCCACTTTGTTGTTTACATTACAAACATGAAATTAAGAGTGTTAAGAAAGGATTAGCCCATGTTGTGGCGGTTTCCATATCCTCGGCGGTGATCGTCTTTCCACTCATCCCAGTTTCTGGCTTTTAACAAAGAAGCTTCATCATCATTCTCAGCCTTTTCCTCTTTTTCTTCATCATTTGCCTGCACATCAGTGTCGTCCTCCACAGCAACTTTGCTCGGCATGCCCTGATCAGGCAGGACTCCGTGTTTTTTGTGTTGCTCATACCAATCATCCACCGTCATGGTGGGGAGGCTAGGATACCCAGCGCCGAATACTTGAGCCTGTGGACAAGAGAAATGAAATTCATCGCACAGTGACTCAGCATAGTTTGAAAATGACAACCTATACTGCAGCTGATGGCACTAGCAGCATGTACAGTGAACAGAGCTAGCTGAAACTGTTTCTTAAAATGCATATTCAAGGTTCTGTTAAATGGTAGAAAAATATTTTTCTGGGGTCAAATTGTAAATCTAGTTGCTGTATTTGGTTTTTAATTTGCTAGTGAATATTTGAAAGTGCTGAATAAACAAAAAAGCTCTCCTAGAAAAAACGTGTGATTTGTGACAACTGCAGGTGAACGGAGCCAAACGGCTGCCATGCAATCACTGAGCTTAAGGAGGTTTTGTTCGTTCATGTGTGGTTAAAACGTGTTTATGTGCGACTGCTCAGGCTGCAATTGGTCTGGACATGGTGAGGCAGGAAAAATGATTAGCTTTGGGTGAGATTCATCCAGCTGGGAAGGTAAGATTTCACCACTCACAGTATGAAAACTAACATGGTGATCAGTGTGCACTGCTGCAAGGAGAAACTACAAAATTTGAGCTGAAATCCACTGCAGTACCACTATAACACATATGTGTGTGTGTGTATATATATGTGGCATTGTCTCCATTGTCACTAATGACATATACCTTCTCCATAATGTAATATTTGTTGACACCTGCTTCAACTAACCCACTGTCACCTGGACAAAGCAGGCAGCACTGTGAGGACCATGTTCTATGGTTTCACCATTAATTCAGCCTGATTTGCTCAGTGAGGAACTCTAGCAGACAGGTGGAAGCCTCAACAGTCACCTGTATCTATGACTAGGTCTGTCGGCATAAACAATAAATTAATCAATTGCAGGATAAATAAAAATTGTCGACATTTTACTTTATTGGTTTTCTTGTTTTTTCTTGCCTTTTTCTCTATTGACACTGGTTGAAAAAAGGTTCAACTCCAATGCTCTCCACTGACCCTCCCTTCCTCATTTCCTTAGCATAAGGGAGAAGTGAACTACTGCATCAGGTAGTTGGCTGTGCCTGTCTTCTCCATCTAAATCGAATGATTACTGAGGGGCTGTATAGCATACACACTTCATAATCTGTACTGAATGTAATTTTTTTTGCGCTTTGGTTTTATGTTGCGTTTGCTTTTTATTCGAGTGATTTTTTGTTAACAGAGACTGAGACTCCATTTTACTTTTGTTTTTGGTTGATTAGTGTATTTTGTTTACCATTTCCAGTGTTAAATGTTCATTTGAAAATAAAGTATCTATTTTTGGCAGGATGTGCTCACATCATTATGTTATTACCATTACATCAGTTTAAAATGGTCTTCAAACAATATTATAGATTATTGCAATAATTTGAGACAGTTAATCGTTTTTGTTATTGTCACAGGCCTGTCTCTATGACTACCTCACAAACACACCAGTTTGTGAGACTGAAGGAGTGTGTGTCTTACAAGATGACCAGCAACACAGGAACACCAGAGGGGACTGTACTCTCACCATTCCTTTTCACTCTCTACACAAGTCTGACTTCTGTTATCAACAGAAATACTCCGATGACTCTGCAGTTGTCAGTTGCATCAGAAATGGCCAAGAAGCAGAGCATAGAGATCTGGTGGACTGTTTTGTGTCATGGTGTGGGAGCAATGATCTCATCTTAAATGTGAACAAGACATAGCAAATGATTGTTGATTTCAGGAGGAACAGCGATAGATCAAACCCTATTTCCATCATGGGAGGAGAAGGGGAGTTGATTGAGGAATATAAATACCTTGGTGTTTGCTTTGACAGCAGACTGGACTGGATACGCAACAGTGAAGCCTTTTATAAGAAGGGACAGAGCAGACTGGACTCGATGAGGAAGCTAAGACCCTCCAAGGTTTGCACTAAGATGCTGCAGATCTGCCATCAATCTGTTATTGAGAGTGTCATCTCTTCTGCAGTCTTGGGGCAGCAGCATCAGAGCCAGGGACATAAAAAGGCTCAACAACCTGATTAAGGAGGCAGGTTCTGTTTGGGGGGTGACTATGGAATCCCTGGAAATGATTATGGAAATAAGGATTCTTCATTGAATCAAGAAAATTATGGACAACCCAGACCATCCTCTTCACGAGACTGTATTGGGAAGACAAGAACCATCTTCAATCAGTGAATTCTTTCGATTCAGAGTATACTCAGCACATTGGCCCAGCCCTATTTCTAGGTCTGTCTGCATGCTGTTTTCCATTTCAACATCTGCTTTCCAACCATTTAAATGAACTCTGTTTACCATGCTGTCAACAGGTCGAGCTTCTGGTTCACGTACATATGAGCCTTCAATGTTAAACATGTAGCCAATTTAATGCTCAGGACTGGTCACCTCCTCCAGGTCTTGTTGCATAGTCTAGAACAGGGGTGTCAAACTGCAGTCCTTGAGGGCCGGTGTCCTGCAACTTTTAGATGTGCCTCAGCTGTACCACCTGAATAGAATAATAGGTCATTAGCAAGACTCTGGAGAACAAGGAGGAGGTAATTCAGCCATTTCATTCCAGTGTTTTGTACCCGTGGCACATCTAAAACCTGCAGGACAGCGGCCCTTGAGGACTGGATGTTGACACCCCTGGTCTAGAAGCTTTCACTCTGCATATATCATTAACGGTTGTCGCTAAGGGGCGTTATTTACAGGCGCAGCAGAAAGTAGGCTAGGAAGAGGAGGAACTAGTACTTTTTCTTTGAAATATGGGCCATTTATGCAGTGAGAATGTGAATTTCAGACCTGTTGCAATGCAAAGGCGTCAACATGTGTTTTAAGTGAAAGATGCACTTTAAGAATGTTGATGATTCTTAAAGTTCACATGAACTGACTTACAAACCAGTTCATCTGTTGCCATCATCAGACAAACTCACCTGTAAAGCATCTCTAGAGAGGATTAAGGGTTTCATGGGCTTTCTGGGAGGCTGCGCTGGTTGGTTAGCAGGACTCTGCTTCAGAACATCCATGTTTTTCAGTATCTCCACCTCCTGGTCAATGGCCTCCATCTCCTCCAGACAAATAGTGATCCATCTCTGGACATTCAGAAGGTAAAATTCTCTGCTGACCTCGTCATCGGCCTGTCCACTGTCCACTACTTTGTGAACATCTGACAGTTTAGTCTCCAGTTCCTTTCTCTGTCGATAAAGTTCAATCTTCGCTTGTCTCTTTGCTGCCATGGCAACCAAATTTGATGAACCTGCAGAAAAAGACTGAAACCACAGCAACATAAGTAAATCAAAGTCCATGAATTTATGTCTAACGGTATCAAGCAACCGTTGCACCGAGTTAAAACAAGGATGTTGACAAATAAACTAGACAATATCCTGGTAATTTAGTTATATTTCCACAGCTGTGGTCTTGAAATAAAACACACAGTCCTCAATGTCTGACATCGAGACGAGACCAAATGTAGTGGAATCCAAGATGAGAACCACAGAAACTCATGCCATAGAAAAAGATGGCATTTTTTGCCCTTATTTGCAAATTCCATGACTTTTCTTGACCTGAAATTCTATGACTTTCCAGGCCTTGAAAATGGAAAAATAAATAAAAATAAATGACTTTTGTTGAGGCGCTTACCAAGGTCAAATACACACATTTGCTTCTACACACATTACACTCTCATACTTTCAAACAAAGGCCTTTGTATTTGTAACAGACACAGAAACTGAATCATCTCCTCACTCCCATCTCAAGCAAATAGAGATTTAGGCGACGCAGGACATCGGATGACCACTGGGCGTGTTCTTAGATCATAAGCAACAAATCTTCCCGTTTTTCTGACATTCTGTATCGACTCGGGGCCCCTGGTTTTCACTTCTGGTCTGTGATGGTAAGCGTCTCTTTTTTAGCGCTAAAAAAGAATAAAAAACGTAAAGATGTCTGATTGCTTTATGTTGGCTGATTTGTTGCTCGTGCGCTTGCACGTTTTTGGTCTATCGGGTTTAGAATAAATGATGGTTTTCACAACACTTTCCAGATTTTTTATGACCAGTATGAAAAAAGCAAAAAGCAAAGCTCTTCATTTACCACTGCTGCCCCCATCCATGGTCATGAGCTTTGAATTATGACCAAAAGAACGAGGTCACAGATACAAGCAGCAAAAATGGCTTTTCTCCACATGGTGTCTGAGCTCTCCCTTAAAGATAGAGAGAGAAGCTTGGTCATCTTGAAAGGACTCAGAGTAGAGCCGCTGCTCCTTCACGTCGAGAGGAGCCAGTTGAGGCTCAGGCATCGGGTCAGGATCCCTCCTGGTCGCCTGCTGGGCAGGTGTTCCAGGCACGCCACAAGTTTCTCATATGTGGCATGGGCAAGACACCACAAATGACAAACCCGGGGAAGACCCAGGATATGGTATGTTTCTCAGCTGGCCTGGGATCCTCCTGGAGAAGCTGGAACAAGTGGCTGGGAAAATAGAAGTCTGAGCCTCACTTCTTAGGCTGCTATCCCCGCGGCCCGACCACGGATAAGCGGAAGAAAATGGATAGATGGAGGTCAGACAATTCTTTCATCAGTGAAATCTTCAGAGGCTTGTGCACTGCAACTTCCAATCTTAAATAACATTTCCCCCCGCCCTCCCAAAAATTGTAGTGGGCTGTATTATGGTTGGTCAAAATCAAAGTCAAACCTTTGGGACACATTTCTTGGGGTACCTAGTGCAAAGATTACACTGCACATGATCAAAACTACACAAAAGCCACGGTATAACCTGAAGAACATAACATCTGGGCTCAGTTCTGTCCACATAAGTGGAAAAACGATCAGTTCTAAATAGCAGTCAGAGTCCAAATCTGGATCTGTAGAAGGCAAACTAAAAGATCACCCAAGCTTTCCCCCAGTGCACTGTAAGCATGGCAGCTGCCAGGCTTTTTATGGCCGGCGAAGCGTTTGTTTTAATAAAAAAAAATAAAATTAAAATAACAAAAACTTTTTTCTTTTAATAAGCTGGATTGAAAGCTTCTCTGCTGTGGTGAACATTTTACTAGCAGGGCAGAATTATTCCTGAAAGAGTAGGTTTTTTTGTAGTTTTAATAGCTGATGCTTTGAACACGGCGTGTGCACCAATCACACCACTGACACCTCCGTGCGTTTCCTCGGCTTGATGTCTACAGTTTACCTCGGTACAGATTGTGAGCGCCTCCTTCCACTCAAACTGAACACAGGCTGAGCTATATGGATATTTATATCAACCCCTGGGAGGATCCATGTTTCTTTGTAGAATTAATCAAGGTAGGAGTCGAGTATAAATCCACCGCATTTGCTTTGCTTGCACAGCTCAATGTGAACCACAAATGTTCACATTGAGCTGCACTCACTGTTCATTGGTGTGCATTTAGAGATGGGCGTTGAACATGCAGTGAGATTGAAATTTGTTTAAGAACAAAGTATTAAGTGCAGTGTATGTGTTTACATCTCCACACATTGACTCTGTCTGCGCTGTTAAAGTCTGAGTTTCCAGTTAGCAGGTGTGTTAGTGGACCGGAAGTTCAGCCTGTGGAGAAGCTTTCGCGTTTGCCTGATAGTCGTGCAGCATGCTGGTTTGTTCATTTAATTTTTTTTGCAGCAACACAATGCATATCAAATGCTATGTCCACTTGCTGGAGTTGCTGCACGACCATCAGAAAAACTCGTCCCATAAAGCTTGGGTAACCAAAACTATTTCTGTTGCGCTAATTGGCCCCTAATGACATCCGGACCACTAACAGCCTTTGTATTTAGTGAAATCTGGGAGAGGGGGCTGAGTAGTTTACTAAGATGGATGAACACACACATCTTATGTATGTAAACAAACAGCTTAAATAAACTCAAAGATCAAACTGACAGCATCATATTGTTGCTGTGGTAACAAAATAATCTAACTATAAATATTGTTCTTTGAAATTTTACAAAGTATACTTAAAATCTTAAATTTAGATGTTAAACAATTAAAATTCTTTTAATTTATGTATACTGAAAGCATTAAATCAAAAGTAGCACCAATAATATTCTCTTAGTTCATTTATGCCTTGGTTCTCAATGTGATCAGCATTACATAGTGGTTTTAGATCCATTAACGGATTATTTAATTTGGATTTAACAATAATAGATATTTATTTTTATTTTATTTCTTTTTATTTATTGTTTTTAAGTTGTGGGTTTAATTATTGTTGGCGATGTCTTCCAGTAATAATATTTTACATTTCCTGTCAACTTAACATCTTTCAATGTTAAGGTAACCCTGGCTACGTTGCAGGAGAAAACGGCGGCTCTAAACAAACCCGGTGCCCTGATCACCAGGTCCCTGTGCTAAGACAAGGAGAGGCTTGAGCCTTCTGTCTGTCTCTCTCTGTCTGTCTCTGTCTGTCTGTCTGTCTCTCTCTCTCTCTCTCTGTCTGTCTCTCTCTGTCTGTCTGTCTCTCTCTGTCTGTCTGTCTCTCTCTGTCTGTCTGTCTCTCTCTGTCTGTCTGTCTCTCTCTGTCTGTCTCTCTCTGTCTGTCTGTCTCTCTCTGTCTGTCTGTCTCTCTCTGTCTGTCTGTCTCTCTCTGTCTGTCTGTCTCTCTGTCTGTCTGTCTCTCTCTGTCTGTCTGTGCTTCAATACGGTTTAATGTGCAAGACTGCAGCTAAAATAAAAATATTAGATTCACGTACAAAAGGTGATGTATAAATCTCATTTTTATATCAAAGCCCTGCGTTTTGAAAACAAACTTCTTTAAACCATACCTGCAACATTTGGCGGAAGTCAGCATGAGACATGTATGTTACGAGTCGTACACATGTATATAAAGTTCAAGGTAGTTTTTACCTTGCTTTTTGAAAATACGCCCTCTGATGTTTCCTCGGAAACATCGTTTTCATTTGATGCCTTCGGCAGCTCAAACTGTGAGATGTTGTAGTCATGACACGTCTTTAAAAAATCCATGAAGTAAGCCCGAGCTGTCTGCACCGTCTCCAGTCGTTTGTGCGGGCTGCTCTGCTTCATGTGCAGGGCCCCCAGCAGGGCGGGGAGCAGCAGGTACTTCAGGTCTGCAGTGGCGATCTCTTCCACCTCTTCGTTACGGCTGAACAGGTCGAGCTGAACGACCATCCTGGACGCGGCATCCAACATGTTAATACCGCGTTTAATGCGATGTACGGTGTTGGGGCCAAACGGTTCGTTTGAACTGTCCAGTTCCTCGAGTATCTTCCAGCCTCGCTCCAATAAGTCAGAGAGTTTTAATTGTTCAGTGTCAGAAGCGGATGACTGTTCAGCCGCATTGGCCATACTTTCAGCCATTTTCTTCTTCTTGTTCTTCTTCTCCTTCTTCTTCCTTCCCTTTCTTTTCTTCTTCTTCTATTTTTTTGAGGCGGTTGGCAAGCAACTTACTGATGTGCATTACCGCCATCCACTGGAATGGCGTGTGGATCGGGATACTATACCAGACTTTAAAATTCATGTCTATGTTCTAAAACCTTTGTTTAACAAGCCATGTCCTGTTAAATTATTCTACAAATAAATGTTTTGTTAAAAATCTTTTTCATAGTTATATTTTAGAGGTTGGCAAACAACTGAAGGAAGCATTACTGCCACTAAGTAGTGTGGACCAAATGACAAACATGCAATAAAAAAGAAAACATTTTCGATCCTATTATCAGGGCCTGCCCAAAGCATAAGCAAACTAAGTCAGTGCAACCCAGGGCCAGTCGGGAACCCTCTATGTCAGGGGTGTCCAACTCCAGTCCTCTGTTGTGCAGTTTTTAGCTACAGGTACAGAACACTGGAATGAAACGGCTTAATTACCTCCATCTTGTGTAGATCAGTTCTCCAGAGTCCTGCGAATGACCGAATTAGTCTATTCAGGTGTGGTGCAGCAGAGGCACATCTAAAATTTCCATTAGTCTCTTGAAATTGCCCTTAGTTGTATGTATTTGCACGGTTGGTTGTCCTATGCATCTGTTGCATGTGTCAACCTGTCCAGGGTGAACCCTGCAGGTATAAATAATAGATAATAGATGGCAGCCGTTGGAATGTATGAACTTGACTTGGAATTTGTCTGTGAGACTGAATTGTCTTTTTTTTTTTTTGTAAAGTGCAGTGAGATGGTGAGATGATGAATAGGGCTTTGTGTGGTCCAGATGATCCCAAAGTGCTTCACAATGCATTCACTCATTCATGCATTCACATGCTGACAGTAGTAAGCTACTGGATTGTCTGACAGGTGAGGCCACCAGCAGGCCAGGGCATGATGTGTTCAGCACAAGGAAACAACAGTTGGACAGAGTGACTATCTCCTACCTCCGTCAGCACCAATTCACACTTATTGCATATAAATAAACTGAATTGAATTAAAAGTAATTTGAAATGATAGAATTAACTTTGTACAATTCCTGGCCAATCAACATGTGAAAGGAAAAGTGAAAAAATAAGTATTTGTCTGTGATTCTGTTTTCTTATCTCTGTGTTTTGACTTTTTTTTTTATCACCCTTCATTAAAACACCACTAATTAATTTTGGTGTTTAGTCAAGTACTATTATTTTAACTTTACAGTGGTAGAAAATACAATTATTAGTTTTAAAATGACAGACAAAACTAATTGGTTTCTGTTCTATGTGACCACTGACTGAACAGATAGTCTGTCAGAAGCACAGACTGAACAGATAGTCTGTCAGAAGCACAGACTGAACAGATAGTCTGTCAGAAGCACAAACTGAACAGATAGTCTGTCAGAAGCACAAACTGAACAGATAGTCTGTCAGAAGCACAGACTGAACAGATAGTCTGTCAGAAGCACAAACTGAACAGATAGTCTGTCAGAAGCACAGACTGAACAGATAGTCTGTCAGAAACACAGACTGAACAGATAGTCTGTCAGAAGCACAAACTGAACAGATAGTCTGTCAGAAGCACAGACTGAACAGATAGTCTGTCAGAAGCACAGACTGAACAGATAGTCTGTCAGAAACACAGACTGAACAGATAGTCTGTCAGAAGCACAAACTGAACAGATAGTCTGTCAGAAGCACAGACTGAACAGATAGTCTGTCAGAAGCACAGACTGAACAGATAGTCTGTCAGAAGCACAGACTGAACAGATAGTCTGTCAGAAACACAGACTGAACAGATAGTCTGTCAGAAGCACTGACTGAACAGATAGTCTGTCAGAAGCACAGACTGAACAGATAGTCTGTCAGAAGCACAGACTGAACAGATAGTCTGTCAGAAGCACTGACTGAACAGATAGTCTGTCAGAAGCACAGACTGAACAGATAGTCTGTCAGAAGCACAGACTGAACAGATAGTCTGTCAGAAGCACAGACTGAACAGATAGTCTGTCAGAAGCACAAACTGAACAGATAGTCTGTCAGAAGCACAGACTGAACAGATAGTCTGTCAGAAGCACAAACTGAACAGATAGTCTGTCAGAAGCACAAACTGAACAGATAGTCTGTCAGAAGCACAGACTGAACAGATAGTCTGTCAGAAGCACAGACTGAACAGATAGTCTGTCAGAAGCACAGACTGAACAGATAGTCTGTCAGAAGCACAGACTAACTGACAGGCTGCAGAGTCACCATGGTCATCCTGTGCTATAATTCTTAGGCGTTACGTCTTTGTGAAACCGAATTGAGGCTTGATTAAACCAAGATAAGAGGCTGATCCAGACTTAATCCACCATCCTGGTTTTGTGACAAATTCCTAATGTGAAACCTTAAGGCAAGCTCAAACTGCAAACCAGGAAAGTGTGTTGATTTTGTAGTTTTGAAAGAAATAAAAATAGAAAATAAAAGAAAAAAGAATCGCAATCTGGATGTTTTTCTGCTCCTCTACTGTTTCATCCTCCAGTCCAGTTGGTGGCGGCCTCGCTCCTATTTGTCGATTAACCAACAATCAAAAGAAAAACGAAAATCCATTTGGACGCATCTTGAATGTACTCGGTTGTCTTCCTTCCACCCAGAGTTTCGGCCGAAGAGTTTTCTGCAACCTTAACAGCAGCCTGACCTCCCACCGATTAAGAATGCTCTGAGGTAGAGTGACCATCCTCTGCTCATCGTTTGACTAGAATGGATCCGGCCGGCAAGCTGCCGCCATGCTTCTAACAGTGAGCTGAACTTTGACCAGCTTTCTAACAAGTGTTTTAGTTCCTGTCATGGGCGCATGAGGGACAGACAGTATGTATGTATGCACGTAGATACGTACAAGCGACATTCACCCTGAAGGGTTTTCGATATGTGTCGGTGGTGTTCGCTGACCTTCATTCATTACCTTCTCTTCTCTTCATTGTTGTCTCCATTGTTCTGGTTTTCTGGTCTTGTCTCGGCTCTGGATCATACTGTCACAGCGCTCTCCTAAAATCCCTTTGTACTGTGTTGTTATCTTAGACTTATACTTTATTGATCCCTTGGGAAGACTCCCTCAGGAAATTATAGTTACCAGCAGCTCACAGGCAAAAATGTGGCACACAGTAAGCATACACAAAAGAATACAAAAAATACAAATTAAATACAAGGTACACAGTAAATATAATAAGAATATAAATACAACACAAAGAATATAAATACAACACAAAAGGAAATTATAGCAATTTGGTGGATAGATTGACCAGTGATATGGTATTGCACTGTATGGTTTGGCCTGATAAATATGGAGTTCACATTTGTAGAAAAACTACTCCTTCTTCCCTCTGTCCTGTGTCACCTCCCAACCCCCAGTGAGGAGTTGTACAGTCTGAAGGCGTGGGGGACAAAGGAGTTCTTGAATCTATTGGTCCGGCACTTGGGAAGCAGCAGTCTGTCACTGAACAGGCTCCTCTGGCTGCTGATGACGGCGTGTAGAGGGTGGCTGCTATCGTCCATGATGTCCAGCAGTTTGTTCAGTGTCCTCGCCTCTGCCACCGTTACCAGAGAGTCCAGCTTCATGCCGACCACAGAGCCGGCACGTCTGATCAGTTTGTCCAGTCTGGACGTGTCCTTCTTGGATGTGCTGCCTCCCCAGCACACCACGGTGTAGAAGAGGACACTGGCGATCACTGACTGGTAGAACATCCACAGCAGTTTGCTGCAGATGTTAAAGGACCGCAGTCTCCTCAGGAAGTACATCCTGCTCTGCACCTTCCCATACAGGTGGCTGGTGTGTTTTGACCAATCCAGTTTACTGTCCAGCCACAGCCCGAGGTACTTGTAGGAGCCCACGACCTCAACCTCCGTTCCCTCTAGAACAACTGGTCTCGGCTTTGGTCTGGACCTCCCAAAGTCTATAATCAGCTCCTTCGTCCTAGCGGTGTTGAGTTCCAGATGGTTTGTGTGGCACCAGAGTGCAAAGTCCCTCACCAGACAGCGATATTCCTCCTCTCTGTCGTCCATGATACATCCGACTATGGCTGTGTCATCGGCATACTTCTGTATGTGACACAGCTCCGAGTTGTAGTGGAAGTCAGAGGAGTACAGGGTGAAGAGAAGAGGGGCCAGCACTGTGCCCTGAGGGGCTCCTGTGCTGCTGACCACAGTGTCAGACACGGTGTCCTTCAGCCTGACATACTGCGGCCTGTTGGTGAGGTAACTATGGATCCAGGTGACCAGGTGCTGGTCCACTCCCATGCTGTTTAGTTTGTCCTGGAGCAGAAGGGGCTGGATTGTATTAAAGGCACTGGAGAAGTCCAAGAAAAGGATCCTCACTGTGCCGCTGCCCTTATCCAGGTGGCAGTGGGCCCGGTGCAGCAGGTAGAGGATGGCATCCTCCACACCAACATCTGCCTGGTAGGCGAATTGCAGGAGATCCTGAGCATGTTCCACCTGAGGTCTGAGGAGGCCGAGGAAGAGCTAGAGTAAAACATTTAAGAGTTGGTTCACAAAAATGTATGAAAGAAAAAGGTGAATGAAGCAGACAATTAACGCATTCTGATTGCGTTTTATCAGGTTATTTTGTTTTGTTACAAATTCTCTACAGAGGTTGACATTCCACAGACTGTTTGATATATTTAATATATATAAAATTAAATTAAAAATATAAGTTAAATATAGATATATATTTAATTGTGTGTGACGTATTTAATAGCTGGTCTGCCATAAACAAAATGTTGAACATTTAGAGATCATATTCCTGTCCTGGAATTGCACACAGCCCCCCTCTGTTTCTCACTTTGACACCGTTTTTGATTTCAATTTGTAGTAATTTGTGTACCATAAAGTTCTGGTTGATCTACTTTGTGAAGACGGCTCCTGTCTCTCTGTGTAGATGCCCAGGTCTAGTCCATGGGTATCAGTCGGCTGGATGTATTTTACAGAAGGCTTCTCCTCACCAAACTTTTCATTGGGGGATGGGGAAAGCCCGAAGACCTCAAAAGGTAACAAAATTCTTGCTTTACCACCTAGAACTTTATTTACTAGTAGTCTGTTGTGTGTTCGAGTTTACATTCTTGGAATAATGCAAAACTACTAAAATACCTTTAGTTAAATATGCCATTCCACTTATTATTACACTATGTTAAACGTTTTGCGGCTGAGGTTGCAGACTTAGAACCTAATGGATGACTGTCTCCTGACCGGCCCTGGCTCCAGACGAGTTTAAGAGGGGGGGCATCGGCTCATTTTTGGGTGGATAAAATCAATCTACGCAGCAATAATAATAATAATACTCAATAAAAGGAAGAGGTACTACAGAGCTCTCTAGGCACATGGGGATTTATTTTTTATTTTTTTGCGTTCTCTCCCAATAAGTTTTGCATTCGCTTGCAATATTTGCTGGTCTATTTCAAATGTTAAGCTGACATTTATGACTACGAATGTCAGCTTAACATTTGAAATATATACATATTTAAAGAGTGTAAACGTGCGGCAAACGAATGGTGGTAGAGGGCCACACTGGGTTAACTCTGGGAAACCCATCTGACCGATGCGTGTATCTATCAACTCTAGGCCAACTCTAGATCTTTAATTGTGTTCTGTCACAATTAAAGATCTGTTCCATTTTTATTATCTCGTTTCAAACTTTATAAGGACTGAGACACAGACTGACCAGGCCAAACAATGCACAAGTGCCAACAATCAACGATACGGTCAACAGAAACTACTCAACTCAGTTGGTTGGTTTGGGGAAAAAACTGTGCAAGGTTCCTTGCATTTTGCTGGTTTGCTGCCATGATTGTAACACACACCTGTGTAGCTCTGCACAGCAGCAGCAGCAGGTCTCCATCACTGCTGCACAGGGGTAAACCCAGCGTGAGCATCGAAGCGCTCATGTTGCATTTAAAGGTGGCTCGGAAAAACACGGTACGACTTGTTAACAATGAATTCAACAATTTTAACAGCTGAAACAAGTGAAACAGAGCATAGATGTGGGAAGTGTGGAAGCCCCCACTGTATCAAATCAATATAGGAATAACAAAGAGTTGGCCATTCTGAGGTTAAAAAAACTAACAGTTTTCAGTCCAGAGGGGGGCACAGCTGATGCTGGACCTTCTCCTGATCCCCCGTCTCTCCATCACTTATTTTAGTCTCACCAAGCTGACCTTCCTATCAGGGAACAACACTTAGCCAGAGGTTTAGAAGAAGTGATTGATCTTGGATAAGCAGACAATAATGAATGGATATTCATGACCTCCATTATTCCTCCCAACACTAAATATACACAGATTTCAAACACTCATTCTTTGTTTTTTGTGTTTTGCAGAATCTTTGAGTTCCGAAAGATTATTGGAGACAGAGAAAAGTGCAAGACACTTGTGCCTGTGGACTATCCTGTTTACATAAACAAGGTTTGTGATGGGTTTTTGTATAAAAAAACATTGGTACTAAGTTTTTGTGTTCTCAGATCTTTTCTTCTGCATTCTGCCTAGACAGAGGAGCTCACTGACTGCCACATCCATGATGGTTTTTTCATTTCTCCACTGGAGCATTTGGTGCCAGGCATCCTGCCACAAGAGGCTGTCAAAGCAAGGTACCTAACATGGCAGTCTGGTGATCCTTTGAATCTGTGATGGAAACATTTGCATCACAAACTTGGAGTTTTTAGATAATCTCAAGCCATTTTTACTTAACATTTCCAAAATATCCAAATTAAATAAGTCATGGTTTAATTTTGTTTATTAAGATTTTTTAGTTTAAGCAGATTAAAAATAATCTGCTTAAGTAAAAACTATTACACTAACATTTTTACTTGTGTAAAAGTAAGTAATTTCTTTTAAAAATACATTAAAGTATTGAAAGTAAAAGTACTTGTTGAATATATTCCTCAGGTTCTAGAAAGATCTAGAACCTGAGTGAAGTTGGTTCCCCCACCTTCATCAAATCATTCAAAATTTGTGTCAAACGTTTCTGCTCGACATGGCACTAACATTTCACACAAATTTTGTTTGACTTTGTAAAAGTGGGGATTTTGACCTCTAAACTTTCATTAATATATTCAAAGCCAAAGCAGCACAAATGTAGTTGAGTTGATTGACAACAATTTTGTCTGATCTGAAGAATGTGCGATGGCTGGTTGACCCATTTCATGACCTGTGGAAACAGTTGCATCATTGTAGAGATATTAAGTTAGCTCAGTTAATTAAGTTAGTTAAGCTGTAATGACTATATTACAGTTAATTGGAATTGACCAGTGGGGAACTTCTTTGAACACAGTTGTGTCCACTTCTGGCCCGTTTTGCTAATTATTTTCACTCCTTGATCTGAAATCTTGTGAGGACGTCTAGTCCCAGTTTCACTTCTGGAGTTTGGCCCAAACAGTGCTCACTGGAAAGTACAACTGGATATACAGTTTATCCAAACATGTTTTATTTGAAGAGCATCATAAACACTGAATAAACTCTAGAGCTACAGATGTGCTGCACTTCTGTAGCTTGTCATACACATTGTAATATGACAACGATTCATAATGATGTAATATGTAAGAATGAGTCTGAGAAATATTCTTGAGAAATACATGCATCTACAAGTTATTAAAGAATATACCTTTTTCTCCATGCTGCAGCAGATTATTTCTGTCTAGAGTAATGTTTTAAACTAGAAAACAAGAAACAAGAAAAATCTATTTTGTCACTTTATTTTAGCTCACATGCAGTAATGTGTTTTTCTAATGTGTAAGCAGTACCTCCGGTGTGTGTGTTGTTTCAGGTTCCAATTTATTGTACCAAAGAGGTGGCAGTGGAACAGACCAGTATGTATTCAGTTAGCTGGGACTGGAGATCATGTAAGCTCTCTGCATTTTCATCTCCATAATATTGAATATTTGAGTTTTTTTGAATCATAAAACAAAATCATTTGATATTCACTGGATTTCATAACTATACAGATTCAGTTCAGTTTATATAGCGCCAGTTAACAGCAAATGTTGTCTCAAGGCACTTCACAAAAAACACATTTCAATCATAGATGCATTCCACTTGATCCTAGTTGCTAAACAATGCAGTATTCTCAATACAGTGTCGAAGGAAACTCAGTAGATCGAGTCACTGACTTGCAGCATTCAACCCTTCTGGACCAGCAGGGGGCCACAACCACTTGTTTTGTGTTAACTTTACAGCAAAACTCATTGCATGTTGCAGTGTGTCATAATTTTAACACATGTTTACAACCTCTAGCAAAAATTATGAAACAAATAACTTGTTCTGGAAAAGCAAGAGCCTGTGGATTTACATCAAGATTGGAATCACATATTGAAACTTTGAGTATTTTGTCAGAACGCTGGTAGCAGTATTTTGGACAACTTGCAACCGCTGTGTAGAAGTTTTGCTGAGACTTGCTTCAATTTAATTTCAATAATCCAAACATGATGAAACACAAGCATGCTTCATTAACTACAGATGTGACACAATGGACCTTAATTTGAATATTTCTCACATAATAGAAATAGGAATGGACCAGAGGCTTAACATGTCTATCAAAAGTAAAACCAGACTTAAAGGTTAAACTTAAGCTCCTAATATAGCACCTCTCCTAACATACCTGAGGAGATGTCATTGAGACATCATGATGTCATCTAGACATCATGATGTCATCTACTAGACATCATCATGTCATCTACTAGACATCATCATGTCATCTAGACATCATGATGTCATCTACTAGACATCATCATGTCATCTACTAGACATCATCATGTCATCTAGACATGATGTCTAGATGACACATCGTGTCATCATGACATGATGATGTCTTGATGACATCATGTCTAGATGACATCATCATGTCTTGATGACACCATCATGTCTTGATGACATCATTATGTCATTGAGACATCATCATGTGATCTAGACATCATCAAGTCTTGATGACATCATTATGTCTTGATGACATTTTGAAATTTCATATTACTTAATACGAGCTCTAAGTTTTTGCACAAGTTTTCAAAGTCTATATACTTCAGTGTCCCTTAGCCCATCAGAAGTCCTTTGTCTCATTAACCATTTAACTGAGTCAACAAACAATTTTTTATTAGGAAAAAAATCATCTATGGCCACATCCCGTTTCCCTTTTGTCACTTCCAAAAACCTTCTAATCTGTTCTAGATTGTAACCATTAGTACTCTGGCCATCAGGAATAGAGGAATCAGAAGATTCTCTTTCGCTATCAGAATCACTCTTTCTTTCATACTCTTTTCTTTTAACTCTTAACTCTTTTTAGGTTTCACCCCTTTCGGTCCTTTAGATTTTCTTTTAGTGTTTGGCACTTTGAAAACACTTTCATCATCCCTAATCAGTCTTCCTTCACTGTGAACTAAATCATCAAAATCCATTTCTTCTTGTAATCCTTCAGGTGTGGTCGTTTGACTCTCTTCAGTTCTTTCAACAGAACTAATGACATCCTCAATGTCACGTTCTGCAACATTTGACAGCTTTTGCTCTCCAGTTGAAACTCCTTCCTCATCATTAATTTCTTGAGCTCCTTCCCCACCGGCAGCTACCGGGTCTCCCTCCCCAGCATCAGCCTCCGGAGCTCCCTCCCCAACTGTGCCCACTGGAGCTCCATTCACTGTATCCGCTGATGTCATCAGCTCTGGATTTTCGTTAACCTGAACAGTCTCTTTTTGAACCTTTTCAGGGCAGTTTCGGACTGAATGTCCCTCCTGATTACATCCAAAACACCTCATCGTTTTCGTTGTCGCAAAAATAGTGTAATCAAAGCCGTCAACCTTAAATTTCATCACTATGCTCAGTTCCTCAATATCACTTTTAAGAATCATAAACACTTGTCTTCTAAAAGACACAACATGTTTCAACTTCGGTGATTTGCAACCCGAAGGGAGCATTTTCATTGCTGACACGATCTGACCGTGACGTGACAATTCCTTCAGCAACACTTCGTCACTAATGAAAGGCGGCAAATTAGACAAGATGATCTTTTTTTGCAGGGTTTATTAAAGGGAAAACAGTAGTTTGTGTATTTCTCAAAACAATTCCCCTCTCAACTACGCTGTTCACCTTTTCAATTGAGTCCAAAATAAAACCACTGCGTTGTTCATTCTGGACGCTGCTTTCACACTTTCACATCCGACAATTTCCACAACAGCCAAACCACACTCCTCAACCGAGAAAAATTTGTAAAATTTGATACAAATGTTCAGTAAAATTTGATCATGTAAAAGTTCAGAACTTGAAAATTATACTGACCATCATTTATACTGATCATTTAAGAAAATCTGAGAAAATATGACTTGCATAATAATCTGAAACATGGTGTATGTGTACGTGTGTATGTATGCAGTCGGCTTTGGGTTGCGCAGTGGTAAGGTTTGTGTACAGAAGCCTCAGTTAGCATTGCGGTTGTTGCGGGTTAGAGTCCTGTCCCATTATTGACCTTTGGTGCATGACTTCTCCCTCTTTCATAAACCACCATCTTGTCAGTTCTTTATCAAATAAAGGCCACTAGAGCCAAAAGTATTCTATGAAGAAAACAAAAGAAAAAACAGTGCAGTCAGCTTTGCAGCAGCAATCTTTCTCACACGTCTCCAGTAACCAGCAGTAGGAGAATTTACAGTCCAAGCGGAACTGCACATCAGAAAACTGTTCAGTAAAGAGTGCTATAAGATTTTCTCATTCTGTTCTATGTGTCTCTTCTATATTTGTAGTTTTTTTGGCGGCGTCGGACCTTGATGGCCAGGCCCATGATCAAGGAGGCAGGAATGGCTTCTCTGCTTCTGGAAAATCCGTATTATATCCTTTATGTATCTTTGAGCATATGTCTAAACAGGCAATGTATCCTTATATGTAAATAAATACATCTATTTAAGTTTTCTTTGTTAAACTACTATAGTAGTGTCTGTAAATGTTCGATACCAGTGTTAGATGGTTAAACTTGCCTTTTTGTTTGATACTCATGATCTAGTTTTGGTTATGTAGAGAAGTGGTACCCCATAACCAGCTCAAAGTATTTGGTTGGAAAAACGATCCCCAACTTATTCAACTTCGTACCTACTAAACCAAAAGTAATTATTTACCTGGAGATCCCTCTTTGGGATCATAGAAAAATTCTCAGCTTATTATTTGTGCATAAACTCTTTCATTTATAAAGAACAAACTTTATTTCAACAAAAAAAGTGGCTTTAATTAACCTTGAATTGTATTTTTAAGAATATGATAAGCTTGTTTACCTTACACTTTGCTTGAAAGTGTAAGGTAAACTTTCAAGCAATGAAGTCTTGTTTTGATTTGATAATAAGCATTGGAAAGAAGTGTGATAGAAATACATGGCTGCAAATGCTGCAAATATTTCTCTCCCAGCTCAGGTTGTTCCTGGAAGGACTAGGATGAAGAACGCCTCACCAAACTGATGCACAGTTTCAAGTGCAACAGGCTTGTCCATTGAAGACAACAAGCCTGCTGTTGTCTCACTAAACTGCCCTACAATCAGAGCACACATAGCTCTAACATGGATCTTCCCCACTTTGGAATAACAACAGAAATGTGTGGTTTTAGTTTTTTGATACATAACATGCAGCTGTAGTGTTTGCAATCTTTTATGTTCCTTGACCACCAGGTCACATGGCTATCGCAAACCCAAAGATCAACTGTAAGTGAACTATCCAAACATGTGGTGGCCTGTTTTGTAGAAGCAGATAATAATCTGAGATTTCCCAACATGGCAGTAGCATATGAGATTGTAATTGACAGCTATAAGATCCGCCAGTTAACTTTAAGTTATTTTTATATCTCAGGAGGTCATGTTTAAAGAATGTGTCGGACCTCTTTGTGATGGGAGGAGCGTTGATCTTGGAGTCAACTGTGCTGTTGCGCTGGCTGGAGAGAGAAGGATACTGGCCCTTAGGAATGACTGGCATCTCTATGGGAGGATATGTGAGTAGATCGAATATGCTCACACACCTTATCCTGGCCCTCAGTAACCTGCCAATTGCTAACTTGTTCCTTACTTCACCTGAAAGATGTTCTTCTGGAGAAACTGTCTGTGGCAAACGCTGTGAAACAATATGGCTTATAGTCATTTAGCAGGTAGATATATAAAAAGGACAACATCCTTTTGTCCTGTGTTTTTGTCAACATGTTAAAATAAGTTTCAATGTTTGTATTTCTTTGTCAAAAGCAATATTTGAGAAAACAAGATCATTTATGTTGGGGATTGGTGTATCTCTTGATCACATGGTGTTGGTAGTGATCGTAGATCACCTGTTGCTCACCTTGGTGACTTTAGTGAGTGGGTGATGGGGGAAGTCTACTTTTTGCTGACTACTTTAAGTTTGTATGATTTTTTTTGTCTTTGATTTCTGTTTAAACCTAAGGATCTGTTTTTATGCTGATGTTCTGCCTTGGATTTTTGAAGATACTGATAAACAAATAGTGTTGGGTACCTGTGGACATTAATACATAGAAACAAAGTCTTTCCTCTCTATTTTCTGCCTTGATCTGCAGTGCTAATAATTCCATGATGCCATTGAATGCCACTATTTACATATGTTGCTTGAACAAGCCTTTTTGAATCTGTGTACTGCTTTGTTTTGCTGTGGCGCGTTTGGCACTGAGAGTGAGACAAGCTGGCTCATTATGTTCACCAGAAAAGATAAACCTTTTTTGCACAAAGACAACTCCAGATGTCATCTGTGCCTGATCCCAGCAACATGTTTACTGTGTTTTCACGTATTTTCAGTACTCAGCAGAAGATAAACTCGTGGCTGATTTCCAAAGTGAACTTCATTTTGTCCTGATCTGACATGTATAAATTTGCGATTTCTTTTTGGAACTAATGGCGTAATTGCTCTGTTTCCAGTTGTTCCAAGCAGTCAGCCAGTCAGTAAACCTTGAAGCTCCATGGACAGATACGTTTGATGAAATGATACCAGCCAGTGTTGCCACACTGTATCCTGGGAAGTTTTTTTTCCACCCAGAAAGTCATCTTTCACCATCTTTCCATGAAGTTACTAAAATCTTGTTGGATAATGAAAATAAAAGAAAGCTATGTTATGATGAGATGATTTCTATGTACAGATCATTTGTTTCATGGACCCTGTTTTGTATCTAGATGGCATCTCTGGCAGTGACCAACTGGCCCAAACCCATTCCTCTGATTCCCTGTCTGTCGTGGTCTACTGCCTCCAGTGTGTTCACCACGGTAAAGCATTGTTTCTAAAATCTTGCAGATAAACATAGCATAGCACAAAAGCAAGGAAATACAGGTCAGGTTATTATTTGTAACAATATTCTAAATATCTTTTTTCCTTAGAAAGCCTCTTTCACATTCGTAAAAAAAATGCATTATTGAGTTGAGTATTTGTGTTATGGGCATAAAAACTTTCCAAAATACAATTTTTTTTCAGTAGCAAAAAGCTTTGGGTGGAGGCAGTGTGGTGATGTGGGGCAAGGCAATGCCTGTAATCTTGGAGGCGATCTCAGTGCAGAGATGTTGAGATGAGACTCTGCAAAATATCTGCACTCTATAGAGCCAAACTCCTAGAAGTCAATGTTCTCCTACACAGTTTGGGATGTATTGGACTTCCTCCAATCCAGACCCAACTCTATTGAAAATTGGTAGGATCAGCTCAAGAGTGCTGATAGTTTACAAGTGCAAATTCTTCAAGTTGCAGAAATGCTATTGTTTAATTTGAGTGGCTTTGTGTATATTTTATTTTATTGTATGTTTAATGTAATTATGTGGTGTAATTGAGTGTTTTTTAACTGAATGCTGTCATTCTTAACCGACTCTGACAAATCTTTTGATCTCAGTGGGTCAAACCTCGTTAAATTAAGATTATTATTATTATTATTATTATCATTATTATTATTATTATTATTATTATTTTTGCCAGAATGACTGAACTTTAAACCTTTTCTTGATTGAAGAAAATGTTGTCATCCCTCAGCAGTTTGTGAAAAACTTCAGATGTCCATTGCTGAAAAATTTAAACGGCATCAAATAAAAATTTTGGCTCAAATTTTGGCAAAAACATCGACCAAAGTTTAATTCCACAGCTACAAGTTTCCTTTTCTGCATATTTAACCAGCTGTCCAGACCACAGCTGGTTGACTGGCTGGACAGTGTAGCCTGTGATGGTCAGATACAAAAATAAAATGACATAATGTCTAAAGAAAAATACTGAAAGATTGTTAGAACTTGTGCTTTGATGTATGGCTGCCAAGTAGTGTGTCTGTTTTCATTCAGTTGTTCCATCAAACTAAGAGTGAGCTGGTGTAATGTCTGTGTGTGAATCCAGGGTGTGCTTAGCAGAGCAGTAAACTGGGCCGAGTTGGAGAAGCAGTATGCAGTTAATTCAGTGTATGAGACAGAGATCATCAAGCTGCTGGAGTACTGTGGGGTAAACATCTCATCGTTCCTTAAACATCACTAAATTACTGCATAACAATTCCATTTATTCACAACCTTCATGGAATGAATAGTTATAACCTCAGAATTCCATAAGGTTTATGAAATTTTTATGGAAATATATCAGGTTAATTAGTAAGGCGAGTAAATACAAATATACAGACCTCTATTCTATTCTATTCTGATCACACAGCACAAGCGTTATGCTTATTGTTTCCTCTCTATGCCTCTGCCTGCCAGGCCGATTCCTTTAAGATGGGAACAGAACTGCAGAGGAATGTGGACTCTTTAGGGAATCTGCTTGGCCTTTCCGGAGCGCTGCCAATCAAAGATGGTCATTTCGTTAAAGTGGAGACACAGTCTGAAGTCAGCTCATCACTAGTCAACAGAAGCGGAACTAATACCGGGTAATTGTTGTTAATAATAACAACTCAGTGAATGAAACCAGCAGAGAAATACTCCATTTCCTGAAAAAATGCTCATAGTTAAATAAAACTATGTTTTTCAGACAGGAAGCCAAAATCCTCAGTATGTTCATCTAAAACTAGATGTGGAAACACAGGATAAAGAAATGAACCTGCCACATAAAAAATACTCTCATACATGCAGCTTTTCACAACTCAAGAACTTAATGCATGTCACAATTTTGAACTAATCTTTATTATTCAGTTTAAAATCCTTACCTCCTCTTACAAAGTGTTAGCACCTAGATTTTAAAGTTAAGGAATTGGTTTCTCTTTGTGTTTTAGAACCATCACTGCTCACAGTGTAGGTCATGGGAAGAAGATGAACTCCCACAAATGTTGTCAGCCATCGCTGCACACAGAGTCAATCAGCTTCATGAAAGGGGTGATGGATGAATGCACACACATGGCCAACTTTTCTGGTAAGTTCCTCTGCCTGGTGTCTGGCAAAAGATCCTCTCCATGATCAAAGATGGTGGCTTCTTGAATAGTATTCAAGAGTAGAGCACAGTTTTTCATTTTCCACTCCACCTCGTTTTTCCATGTCAGTGCCTCCTCTGGACATGCCAGATGACCTGGGATTTACATTTTTTTGCAAGTTCAAGTAAAATTTGGTGAAACAATCTTGTGACTAGCACTTTGGTCTCAGGAATATTGGCAAAATCAGAAACATTTAAGAGTAATGTTGATAAACTAGTCCATGCATTTGTTACTTCCAGGCTGGACTATGCAACTCTTCACTATCAGGAAGCCCACAAATACAGTCACTCAGATCACTCAGAGGGTTTTACCTCTGAGTGATCCAAAATGCCTCAGTAAGAGTTTGAATCAAAATTAAAGAGATCAAATTTCTCCCAATTTAGCTTCTCACTCTGCTGCATTCTCCTACTACTCTCCAATTAGCATTATCTCCTATTTTGTGTGATTTTAGCTATCTTTTTAATTTTCTTTTTATTATTGTGGTACAAAAATGTGAATGCTCAGAACGAGAAAATCAAACGTCAGAGGATGTCTTCCACATTGCTGTACCAAACTGAGGTAAATATTTCTACTGAAACAACTTAAGGACAACCATGTGGAGTAAAAAATCTGACTGACACTCAGAAAATATACCTTTTCTTTCTTGTTGCATTTGAATGAATTTTTATTTCCACCATGTTTTAAATGTCCCAGTATGTCTTTTATTAAAGCCAAGTGAGGTCGAGGTTGGGAGTATATGTGTGTGTGTATGTGTGTCTGTCAGCATTAAAATCTTCACATCTAATGGAGCCATAATTGAGTGTTTTTCTTTTTTTCAAAACTTTGGAAAAAGTTTGAAAAATAGTATATGTTATGACAATTCCAAAACGTGTGCTAGTGAGGTCATTCTATGAAAGGAAGGATGAATAGAGGGAAACATCTCTGACCACTCGAGTTTAGATGTAAACTTAGTCATAGATATGAATTGGATCTATGTCTAGGTCCAATCTAGAACTAATTCTTACAGAGTAAGGATAAACATATTCTTGATTTATTGTGTGTAAAAATCACTCCTGGCTTCTCCTGCCAAGTGTTTTTGCTTTAACAGTGTTTCCGACGAGTACTGACCAGACCTGATGTGTGTTTTGACTGTCCAGCGTTGTCAACGGAATGCCTCCCCCAGGAAGGATTCGTCTATTGATTAGACTCTAATCATTGACTCAATTTAAATCTTGCCTCTTAATAAACAAAAGCTACAACTTTACCCTGGCAGCTTGCAATGAAAATCATGCCACTGGAAATGGCTTTGTAGAACGTCTTAAAATACCAACAGTGGATACAAAATTAAAAAAAAAATGTTTTGTGACTCTTCCAGTTCCCGTAGACACTGGTCTCATAATTGTGGTGCAGGCCAGAGAGGACGCCTACATTCCTCGAACAGGAGTCCTCAGCCTTCAGGAGATTTGGCCTGGATGTGAAATCAGATATCTGAATGGAGGACACATCAGTGCTTACCTGTTTAAACAGAATTTCTTCAGGTAAGCTAAAGACTTGTCTTCTTAGATTTTGGCATAATTCCTCAGAAACGTAGACCACCTAACCTGAGACCAAGACTAGCGGACCATGCTACATGACATAACAAAATATGAAGGATGGTCAAAACCTTCTGAAACTCATGTGAAAGATTCACATTCCGATTAAAAACTCCTGGATATTAAACATTGAAATGAATTTAACCAGTATCATTATCAATTCAAATTCTTCTTTGTTTTCTCTGTGGAACAATCCGCACCGTTTGGATGTGATACTATGATAACTATGATAGAAACCAATAGAAATACAGGTAAGGAAAGCTGTTACCCTGGAAACAGATTTCAATACCAAATTATTCTGTTTCCATCAGTCACCTACAAACTCTGCTCCAAGACTGAAACAACTTGGTCATTTGACACAGACTGGATCTTCTCTTCAAAGAGCCATTGAAATGATTTTTATAAGCACATGTTTGTAAGAACATGCCATTTATCCCAAATATAGTTTTATAGTTTTTGTGGTTCAAACTCCCAAAAAAGTTGAATCAGCTGCATTAATAAAAAAAAATGTTCTTGCAGATAAAAATATGTTTATAGCCTTATAAAAGATACAATTCAAGATATCAATGTAAAATACCGATCTAGTATTTTTAAAATTTTTGTGCTATTTGTAAAATTGAAACAAATTAAAAAGAAAATATGACAAATAGAGAAAAAAGTGGATTTGAGTTGCTTTGGCAGAAACAAAATTGATCTCATGCATCATTAAATCCAACAATTAAGGCAACACAATAGCGGTAAAAAACAAACATTCTATTATGAACATTAGCTTAGGAGTAACAAGCAAGAAGAGTGAAGAACATTATTACTGTCCTCATTCTCTCTGCGGCTGCATGAAGCCTGCAGCTGACAAAAACAGAGCAATGAGCAAATGAGCATGCACTCTGATCAATCCTACCATGTTCTATTTCTTTTATTTATTGCAGATTATATACACTGCTCCAAAAAATAAAGGGAACACTCAAATAACACATCCTAGATCTGAATGAATGAAATAAATATGAAAATAATTTCCACCTGTTGTCTATTCCATTTGCACAACAGCAGGTGATATTGATTGTCTGTCAATCAGTGTTGATTTCTAAGTGGACAGTTTGATTTCACAGAAGTTTGATTTACTTGGAGTTATATTGTGTTGTTTGAGTGTTCCCTTTATTTTTTGAGCGGTATATTTCAATTACAGAGAAAAATAATAACTACTGCAATGTGTGCAAAACATTACAAAAGAACAGCTCTCACTGAGTCCAACCGTTCATAAAGACCTGTTCAAAGAATCATCATTTGTGAACGTTACATCACTATATGAGACAGGACCAAGACTGGACTCAAGCTCTACTACACTGCCAGAATATATATCTATTCTTTCATGTTGAATTCCACTTTAAGAGTTTTGATAAAGCCACTGAAGTGTCTCAGCCTCAAGGCTTTGGCTCCCAGTCCCTTCTGACTGCCTTTATGCCACTTTTGATGGTGATCAACATTTCTCAATCCAAGTGTTCCACATATTAAACATTATTTTTATTTTTTTATTTTAATTAAAAATAATGCTTAGGGTGCTGATGATGCCTAAAACTCTGAGATGCAACAATCTGTGAAAGACTGATATATTACTGGCACCAGCAACTCCTGACCTCTAGGATGGATGGATGGATGATGGATGATGGATGATGGATGGATGATGGATGGATGGATGGATGATGGATGGATGGATGGATGGAGGATGATGGATGATGATGGATGGATGGAGGATGGATGGATGGATGGATGATGGATGGATGGATGGATGGATGGATGGATGGATGGATGGATGATGGATGGATGGATGGATGGATGGATGGATGGATGATGGATGGATGGATGGATGGATGATGGATGGATGATGGATGGATGGATGGATGGATGATGGATGGATGGATGATGGATGGATGGATGATGGATGGATGGAGGATGGATGGATGGATGGAGGATGAATGGATGATGGATGGATGGATGGAGGATGGATGGATGGATGGATGGATGATGGATGGATGGATGATGGATGGATGGAGGATGAATGGATGATGGATGGATGGATGGAGGATGAATGGATGATGGATGGATGGATGGAGGATGGATGGATGGATGGATGATGGATGGAGGATGGATGGATGGAGGATGAATGGATGATGGATGGATGGATGGATGGATGGATGGATGGATGGATGGATGGATGATGGATGGATGGATGGATGGATGGATGATGGATGGATGGATGTAGGATGGATGATGGATGGATGATGGATGGATGGATGGATGGATGGATGATGGATGGATGGATGGAGGATGGATGGATGGATGATGGATGGATGGATGGATGGATGGATGATGGATGGATGATGGATGGATGGATGGATGGATGATGGATGGATGATGGATGGATGGATGGATGATGGATGGATGGATGGATGGATGATGGATGGATGGATGGATGGATGGATGATGGATGGATGATGGATGGATGGATGGATGGATGGATGATGGATGGATGATGGATGGATGGATGGATGATGGATGATGGATGGATGGAGGATGAATGGATGATGGATGGATGGATGGAGGATGGATGGATGGATGGATGATGGATGGATGGATGATGGATGGATGGATGATGGATGGATGGAGGATGGATGGATGGATGGAGGATGGATGGATGGATGGATGGATGGATGATGGATGGATGGATGATGGATGGGATGGATGGATGATGGATGGATGGATGGATGGAGGATGATGGATGGATGATGGTGGATGGATGGATGGATGGATGATGGATGGATGATGGATGGATGGATGGATGATGGATGATGGATGGATGGAGGATGAATGGATGATGGATGGATGGATGGAGGATGGATGGATGGATGGATGATGGATGGATGGATGATGGATGGATGGATGATGGATGGATGGAGGATGGATGGATGGATGGAGGATGGATGGATGGATGGATGGATGGATGATGGATGGATGGATGATGGATGGATGGATGATGGGATGGAGAGGATGAATGGATGATGGATGGATGGATGGAGGATGGATGGATGGATGGATGATGGATGGATGATGGATGGATGGATGGATGGATGGATGGATGGATGGATGATGGATGGATGGATGGATGGATGGATGATGGATGGATGGATGATGGATGGATGGATGGATGATGGATGGATGGAGGATGAATGGATGATGGTGGATGGATGGAGGATGAATGGATGATGGATGGATGGATGGAGGATGGATGGATGGATGGATGATGGATGGATGATGGATGGATGGATGGATGGATGGATGGATGATGGATGGATGGATGGATGGATGGATGGATGATGGATGGATGGAGGATGGATGGATGATGGATGGATGGATGATGGATGGATGGATGATGGATGGATGGAGGATGAATGGATGATGGATGGATGGATGGAGGATGAATGGATGATGGATGGATGGATGGAGGATGGATGGATGGATGGATGATGGATGGATGATGGATGGATGGATGGATGGATGGATGGATGGATGGATGATGGATGGATGGATGGATGTAGGATGGATGATGGATGGATGATGGATGGATGGATGATGGATGGATGGATGGATGGAGGATGGATGGATGGATGGATGATGGATGGATGGATGGATGGATGGATGGATGATGGATGGATGGATGGATGGATGGATGGATGGATGGATGATGGATGGATGGATGGATGATGGATGGATGGATGATGGATGGATGGATGGATGGATGGATGATGGATGGATGGATGGATGGATGGATGGATGATGGATGGATGGAGATGGATGATGGATGGATGGATGGATGGATGGATGGATGATGGATGGATGGATGATGGATGGATGGATGGATGGATGGATGATGGATGGATGGATGATGGATGGATGGATGGATGGATGGATGGATGGATGGAGGATGGATGGATGATGGATGGATGGATGGATGGAGGATGGATGGATGGATGGAGGATGGATGGATGATGGATGGATGGATTGATGGATGGATGGATGACAAAGCAGTTAGAACCTTTTTTGTAAAGACTTTCTAAACATATGAAGGAGCCACCTTCATGTTTATGTTTAAACAATAATGCATATATAGCAGAAACTATCAGACCATTCAAAGGAAGACAAGTTCTGTTTATTTGTTTACTGTTTTACATTGCAAAACCTGTCTTCCTCAACAGAGTTATGGCTTTTATGTATTTTATTTCTTAATGTAATTTTTCTTCATCCTTGGCTTTAGGCATCATTATGTCAGCCAAATAATTAGATGATGTTTCTCTTTTTCCTCCAGACAGGCCATTTATGATGCATTTAACAGGTTTTGCCTGAAGTATCCAAGCTCCCAGTAGCTGTGGGAGGCTGAGGCCCTGTTAACGCTGGGACAGGCACCACAGCCTGAAGAAAGGACCAGAACTTTATGGACAGCAGCAACGATCAGAAACATGTCAAATTTTTGACAAATCAAGAGCGGCAGCTTTTGCCTCCTCTTGATTTTCTTGACTTGCCTGATGTGTGTCTCATGAAAACCCAAACTAATGTGGATGACTGAAGATTTGTGTGCCTGTATGTGGTGATTAAGGATATACTTAAACCTTGTTTTGATAGGATCCTATGGGAATCATGGAACATTGGAAGTGATCTCCTGTTTTTATTATTTTTGAAATCTATGGATTTTGCAAATCTGCAATAAGCTACAGAAATCATGAATGTGGGAGTGTAATTACAGAAACTAAGTATTCATTTAAGGGTGTAAAAAAATATCAGCCTGATAGTTTCTTGCTGTATTTGGACCACTGTGCAAAATTCATAAATTAAAATGTAGTTTTGTGAGTATTTTATCTAACATTTAATCATTTTTTGTATCTTCTGTTTTGAAATATAATGAAGCTGAATACTGTTGGCTTGTGTGTTCTTTGTTCTTCTTCTTTTGAGTTTGTTTGGTGTAGTAGATGGTTCAGTCTTTGACCAGCGAGAACTGATTTAAATAAATGTTTTTTAAAATCTCCCAGATGTTCTGCAGCTGGCTTGTTATGTCCGTAAACATTGTATATCTGTAATGTGGGTCCAAATGTGCAAGATGGTCATATGGAAACTGTTTTATTCCAAGATTTTATAGGAGAATTATCAGTCACCCCAGAGCCCTTTTTGTATGATGTTTGTTATCATGATATAAACATTGTCTTAACAACTGATTCATTTGGAGACATTTTTGGTGATTTCTGATAACTATGCTCCATTCAGAACTGGAGTATCTGACCCAGTTATACAGTGGGCCAACATTAAAGACTTGAAGAAAGTCAGCCTTGAAAACATGTCTTCTAACTTCTAGTTTTCTTTTTCATGTGAATATGAGTAAAACTTTTCACTGTAAGCACATGGTGACATCAAATGTCAAATAAGTCAATGATCAATAATTAGCATCTTACATTCACTCTAGCCTTCTGAATAAAATGTCTATGTATAGTAGCAATTTTTTTCTGAAATCTAACTGATGATAATCCATTCATCCATTGTCTAACTGTTATTCTACTTTGCTCTTTTCATTTAGAAAAAAAAATGAATATCTAAAACAATCCAGATATCCTAGTTTTGTGACATAGCCCTCTGGACTTTGTTGTGGCCACACCAAAACACTGACTTTGTTGTCAACCCACTTTGGTCTTCCAAATGGACAATAACTAAGAATACTGTTAGTCTGTGCCCAAACTGTAACTTCTTTATATGTTGCTTCAACATTTCTACGTAATGTTCTTTCCTTATGATGGGTACCAGTTTCTCCTGCAGCAAAACACTCCCACAGCACCCACTGAAAAAGAAGAGACAAGTGTATTTTTCACTCTACAGCAGAGAGCGGGAAAAAAAATTCTTCATCTCAGTCTTTTAAAGCCGCATCCTCATTTTATTTTTCTAGGGCGGTCCCTTTTTACATAGAGGTTAACGACTGCTTGTGGGGAGGGGCAAAACCAACACACAATAAGAAAGCTTTTCTAATACAATGATGTTTCCTGCCTTAGTGCATCTGAGTTCTTAAGTGCAGTTCCTGTGTCTTTGAGTCATAAACTTTGACCCTTAGCCTTTGGTTGTTTTTCCTGCCAGGTTAGCTCTCAGTTTAGCTCGTATCTCAGTTTAACTGCAGACAATTTAAAAATCACACAATACAGAAACAAACAGATCTTCCCTGTCCGTAATGATATAAATGGGTATTTATATGGAATATTTATTTACAATTCTAACGTGCTGCCACCCCTCTTCTTTAGTTAGGATTGTACAAAAAATAAAACAATACTCTTATGATCTCTTAGTTCTTTTTTCCAGTAAGAAAACCAAAGTACAAAGGACAGATCAGGGTATTTTGAGGGATATTTTCATTTTAAAAAGGTCAGAGGATGTAGAACCTAACAGTATGAGACTTACATCTTTATTGTTTGCATGTATTGTATACTGTTGAAATGGGAAGTTCTGTAAAAGGAAGTGACAAGCACTGCAGGACGAGACTAAGAAGCAATGTGTGTACTTTATTTATTCTCATTTTCTCTGAGAATCTTCAACAGCCTTTTTGTTGGCCTTTGAATAAATTGTCCTGAAAGACAAATGTGCATTTCTTTCTTGTTGATTGATCCAGTGTTTTCACTTTTTAATTGAGAACGTCCGTAACAACTGGCACTTCAAGAGTCCAAGGACTGTGAGGATGGGGTTTTAAATCTGTCCAAAGAGTAATATAAAGAAAATATGTTTCTGTAAAATATGTTTACAAAACTAGTAGGTTGTAGAGGCTGCTAACTGCACCGCTAACACATGCTATTTATCAGGTTCCGTTGGGACCGATGCACTGATTCATGGCAAAAGTATCCTGCAGAAAACTAAATACATAGAGGATAATGAGGTGCTTTTCAAGAGGGGAAAGCAGTAACCAAATTTCTCAAGTTCAGAAAACACAGCAAGAGGCTTTCTACACAAAATAGTTTATTTCAGAAATTCCAATTTTCAGGGACCATTTGTAAACAGTATTTATTAAAAGGCAGGAATAATAAAAAAAACATTACTCAAGTCTCACACTGTACATGTATTAGAAATCCATTGGCAGCTACTGCTGAGACCTGCACCTTCTCACAACACAATTATGTTACCAAATAGCCCTCGAAGTCAGCACATTTCAACAGTTAAACTGATTTGAAAATTTCCACACAGGCCCAATAATTAACATAGAGCTGGAATGATCAGTTACCCAGGAGCCAAAACAAGATGGCCGCCAATTCTTTCTGAGAACAGATCTGCCTCCCTTCAACTTGTAGACGTATCCCTGCTCCAACACACCTGAATCAAATGAACTGCTTGTTAGCCGTATGGCTGCTAGTGGAGCGACTCAATTCAGCCCCTGGTTCACAAACAGACACCAGAATCAGAAACGAGTCAGGCCTTCAGCTGCATTAACGCTACTGCCATATCTATTCCTGTCTCCAGTGGATTTCTAACTTTATCTCCATTTCTTTTAGCAACCGTTCAAGCTAAATAACAGCTGTATGAATGAGGAGTTCCACATGATTAGTTCTTAACATTTTTCCCCCTCAATCAAATGTCTTTTCAAATCCCAGTCTGCCAGATGGCAGCATGAGTAGCGGGACTCCATCTGCTGGAGGGAGAAATTCAAACTAACTCCATTAAAACCATTTACAGGCTGGGATTACTGAGCTACATCAGATTGAAAGTTATTGTCATGAAACACATGCAGTTAGTGTGAAATACATTTTTGATTATACAAACAGGTGAACACTTTGCAAATAAAGAGAAACAAATAAAGAGAAACTGCCAGTCTGTTCAGCCCGACTAAGATCTGTTCAGGTTTCCATTTTGGACAGACACTGTAGTCCAGGCAGTCGCCAGCGACGAGTACTGCTGTGGACCCGGAGGTCCAACCACTCCTGGTGGGTGGCGCCCAACACCGTACTGGAAGCACAAAAAAAGATTAGAGCTCCAGCAAGCACTCCAGTAGGATGAGTACCATGGAACATGGCCGTTCCTTACACAGCGCTTTATCAAGTCCAGAGGACTTCAAACCACTTCATGCTACAATGTAGCCACAACTGGCCTGGGGCAAACGGACACCAGCACGCAAGGCCGGTGAAGCCACTTACCCAAGGACAGTTCCAAAAAGTCAGTCAAAAGCCAAAAATGCAATTCTTCGTTTATTCCACAGTTCCAGGCAGACAAGTTACAGGCCTTGAATTTGTTGTGCCTTTTGTTGTGCAAAAGGCACAACAAATTCAAAAACCAGCAACACAGTTCTGGTTCCTCCGACAGAACACACAAGAAGTAAAACCTCTAATTCTCTTGCTCTAATTATCTCACCTGTTTAACCACACAACTCTGACATTGTTTCTCTGGACTTGATTTTGAGCTGCTTCTGTATACTCTTCAGCACGGGCGCCATTTAGGGGGGAAAGTTAGGACAATTCCAAGGGCCCCTGACCAACAGGGGGCCCTCCATAATTGTCTAATATTTTATTAGACTTCCTCTACATTCCAAGTAGCTTACCTTAAAGCCAGGTAAGGCTCTGCAGGGCGAGATGTGTCCACTGGACGGTGGACAGTCTGATCAGACTGAGTCAGCTCTTCACCTTCCACACAGCCCAGGTTGGTTATATTACTGCCCACAGCAGCAGTATCCAAGCTGTCTCTGCTGCCTTTAACTGGACCTGGGGTGGCAACCCACACGGACACATTTCACTCTAGCAGTCTTTCAGTAAGCCAAACAACAACATGTTTTTGGTTCTATGAACTGAAAGCGTTTGTAAGATATTTCAAGTCCCAGGGTATCTTGACATAGATACAACTGCAAAGCATCGAGGCTTTTAGGACTCAGTTTGACGTAAAGGTGGGACACTTACAGCACCGTGTGAACGACTCCCAGGCTGGGCGCTGCAGGTACGGCTTGGCCTGTGGCTGCTGCAGCAAACATAGAAGCGCCGAGTCTACCTGCTGAAAAACACTTCACACACAGGCAACAGTCCAGTCAATATCAAGTGTTGCAGAAATTATTCAGTTGCCATAATTTTTCAGTTTCCATTTTTCCATGTCTATCACGTCCTGCCAGTGGTCTGACCCTGGTGGTCCTGCTGGGTTTATTAGCCTTTCTGAGACATTCAGGGTTCTTCTTTTCTGATTAGCTTAATCTGACCAGACATTTGTTTTCAGCTTCAAATCTTTCTGAATGGACAGATTTGTGCAGCTAATAAGTCAGATCAGTGTGAGCAGTTGCAGTGTTACCTGAGGCTGAGAAGTCTCTGGTGAAGTTCGGATGACAGACCATACTTGTCAGACTTGATCATCTCCCGGACAGAATCAAAGTCTTCCTTCAGCTGCAGCGCCCCCTGCAGACTGAGGACAAACAACCACAGCACACTATTCAGACAGGCCACTGCAGGATGTGTGTGTCAGCACTCACACACAAAAAGCTGACAAAAAAGTTTTTCCTGAGTCAAATGATCATTTCAGAGCCTGACGTCCCAGAGGAACACAGAGGTCGCCTTGACAACATGTCTGTTTCATAGCAGCTTTCAGACATCTTTAAAATTGTTTTGTTACATTACTAAGTTATCATAATATTTTATTATATTACACAAAATGTGTTCTGTCAACTAAATAGTTCACATATCAGTGTCCATTCAGAACATGAGGCTTTAAGTTCAGGTCCTTCCTCTTCATTTCTTCTTCTGTGGTAGATAAATTCTTTCTTTTTTTATCTCTCAGCCCTCTGCCCTTTTGTAATACTCACCTGGGCTGATAATTAAGTAAGTATAATTTGGCTTCTATCATATTTGTTTCAACCCATTAACATAAATATCTGGTTAGATTTATTCAAGATGCATTTATGAAGTAAGCATAAACAGCTTAAAGTTCAGGCATTAACAGACTTTAGCTAAACATCAGCATGAAGACACAAAGCTTAAGGCTTTCAGTGGGCAGCACATAATGTGGGTTTGTTCACTGCTATTCAGAATGGAAAAAACCAACAAACAGGGAATGCCTCTCTGCAAAAGGCACAACAAATTCAAAAACCAGCAACACAGTTCTGGTTCCTCCGACAGAACACACAAGAAGTAAAACCTCTATATGTCACAAAGTCAGTTGACGGTGATATGCTGTTTCAGAGAAAAATACTAAAGGCAAACCTGAATTTGATCTTCTGCCGTAATATGTGCTCCATCCATGCCTCCATGAAAGCCGTCATCGTGACAGCTAGTGCTTGGACGTGAGCATCTTCTGACAATGGCGCAACAGCCTCTAGAACTTGGCCAATCACAGTCTGAGCTGCCAGAGATGCATATTCACTGGGACTGCTGGGAAAACCTGCAATGCATAAGAAACATTCACTTTTACCTTGCATAGTAACTACTGTTGTTGTGTTATGTAGTTGAAACTAGAAACCTCAGCTTTGTTACTAATTGAAGGAAAGAAATGTCTTTTCCTCCATTTTATGCTGATGAAGCAAAGCGTGTTTCATCAGCATTGCAAAGGGGTGGAGATGATCAGAAAGAACATAACTGCTGAAGTTCTTCTCCTTCAGCAGAGCTTCTGTCCGATCGTTGCTTTCCATGAGTCTCATGATTCTACTGCTGAAATATTACAGCTCAGGCCATTAAATCAATATGACGTCCACAGTTGGTTCCACCAGCTTCACCATTTTTTACAATTAATTAATTTATTTATTTTAAAATGGTCGATTGATGGAGAAGGGGTGGATAAAATACATTTCAATAAAAGAATGTATTTCTTTTATTACAATCAGCATAAAGACTGAAATGAAGAACAGTTTAAAAGGGAATCAAAGATTGGAAGAGCAGCGACCTTCACACACTCATCTGAAGAAATGAAGACCAAGCACTGTAGTAACTGGTTACTATGGTGATGACTCAATGATGCCCAAACACAAAGAGCAACCAGTTGCTCTCGATCCAGCCTGCTGAGCCTGGTTCGGCCCATCAGTACCACTCTGGCATGCGTACCCGTCCTCTGGCTCGGCCTCCAGTATCCTGCAGACGGCATGGTGCGTTCAAAGATCTCCCCAGACATCCGCTTGCAGTCAGTAGAGAAGTTGCTCAGCACCATAGAGGAGAATGCCTGGTGGAGTGGAATGTCGAGATCAGACCCATCAAAATGATTTGCTTTGCATAACCTCATTTCTAACATGCAAAGAAAACAGTTTTAACACATTTATTTTTGGAAAAACTGTTAAAGGACTTCTACACTTATTGTAATATTTTGCAGGTTTATCATAATTCCATCTTACATTTTAAACAGGTTTCTAAGTATTAGCCTTGAATCTGCTTGAATAGTAGGCAAGTCTTTTTCCCTATAGGCTATTGGACAATTGGAAACTAGAAAAACTTAGATCATTTATTTATAAAAATCTAAGTCTAACTTTTGAAAAGATAGTTTTATTATATTTTTAAAAAAATAAAAGACAGTGAAGGGACAAGAACACAGTTATAAAGTAATAAATGCACCACAAGATGCTTCAGACCATGAAGTAATTCAGAGTTACAACATCGTAGACATAAGACTGAAGTCTGTTCCACCACAACCTCATTTCTGGCATTTAATATTCTAAGCATCATCTAACATGCTGAATTTTCAATCAGTTTTTCTCTCCACATTTTGAAGGCTGGAGTCTGAGGTTCTTTCAATAGCATTATTGAAATAAAGTGAACACAAGTAACAAGTTTTCATACTATGAAAACTGCAGCAGCTTGCCTCTATCCCCAATAAAAACGGTCTTCTTGGTGATTCGGGTAATTTAAACCCCCATGAATTATGACACATTGCTCGATATCGGAGACCTGAACCCTCCCACAAAGCATGCAAGAGAGCACCTTTTGCTTCGTGACATTCCAACACAGGATGTCTATCTATACCAAGTTTTTGAAGTCTAGATTCTGTTGGGTGGGACCGGTCCTTCCTTTTTTGGTTGAGGCAACCTACTAATGCTAACACTTGTTTGGTATTTTGACCCAGTTTAGGATCCACAGGTCCAGTTTAATTCGAATCGAAAGCATTTTAGGGACCACTGTCATTTGAAACAAGTATGTATTCAGTGAGAATCAAAATTATATAAAATGCTGATGTGTGAACAGGAAAATATTAAAGTTATTTATAAGTTCAAAGATAAAGCATGTCAGATTACTATCAATCTCAGCATGTGCTGGACACAGCCATGAAACAGTAAGAAAAATGGTCCAAAGAATCAGCTATGAAAGGAACATTGTAGAAAACAAGATGCTCACACATGAACAAATGACAGACAGCAATAACACTGGAACAAGCATCATCAATGAATCAAACTGTCCTGCACAGACTCACTTGCAGCTCACATGCAGCCCGATCAAGAGCTTCCAGTTGGAGCCTCTGTAGATGCTGACTGTGGCTCTGCAGAGTGGGATGATGGTCACAGTCTGAACTCAGCAGTGGGGACTTTGTCTGACCAATTGTCTTATCCAGGCTCTCCAACAACATCTAAAGACAAAACAACAGCAGCTTTACACTACCTGAACAAACTGATAGTTTTTGGATTACATACACCTTATGCTAAAAAAAATCATAAGTATTTGTTTGACTTTACTTATCAAACTAATTCCAGGACAGAATGGTAGGGCAATATCTTGAGAATGAATACAAGAACAGTTTTTAGGTGCCAACAGTTTGATCTGGATTTTGTTTTGTAGTTGGTGTTTATGCACACATTGCTTGGCATAACATTTTCTCCAGCATATTAATGCTGCTGTAGCAGCAGCGATAATAATGGTTTTCTGATGACATGCTGTCAGAAGATATGAGGTTATCTTTAATAGTTTTCATAAATTTACTTCCATAAATTTACGTGTGATCTGAAGATTGGAACGTGTCTCAGTCAATTTTGAAAGTCCAAAACGACCTACTCATGGAGCTGGTTAGCAGAAACTAGGTTAGCATCTGAGCAGAGATCAGTGTAGTTCATAGTGGTTTGAATCTGTCTTTGAATAGTTTGGAGTGAATAAAGTCAAACAAACTCTGCTTTTTAGTGGCAGTCGTCCAATTGTAATGTAAACTTTTGTAAATAAATTATGCTGTAAATGTGAACCATCATTGTGCTCAGTTGTGTTAGCCGTATATACAGGCAAGAGCATAGCTGGTGACTACTGACCAGGATTTTATCTTTAAATGTCATGATTTTCTTTTCAGATTTAATAATTCTGAAAAGAATGGTTCTCCCAGCACTGTGGGAGAACCACGGTGTTGGTTCTGTTGGACCTCAGTGCAGCTTTTGACATATTATTGAATCGACTGGAGAGTTGGGTTGGACTCTCTGGTTCGGTGCTCGACTGGTTTGAATCTTACATAAAGAACAGGGATTTCTTTGTTTCAATTGGAAACTTCTGATCAAAGAGGTCAACGGTCACATGTGGGATACCCCACGGTTCAATCCTAGGACCCCTCTTATTTAATATTTATATTCTCCCACTAGCTCAGGTTATAAAAGGAAATAATATTAGCTACCATAACTATGCGGATGACACACAGCTCTACATTATGATGTCACCAGGTGACCTTTGACCCCATCCAATCACTGAATAAATGTTTAGAACAGATAAATGTGTGGATGTGCCAAAACTTTCTCCAACTGAACAAAAACAAAACTGAAGTCATTATTTTTGGACCTAAAGAGGAACGATCTAGAGTCAATGCACAGCTTCAGTTATTACAACTAAAAACTAGCGATCAGGCCTGAAACCTGGGAGTAGTGATGGACTCAGACTTGAACATCCAGAGCCACATAAGGACAGTAACAAAATCGGCCTTCTATCACCTGAAGAACATCTCCAGGATTAGAGGACTAATGTCTCAGCCAGATCTAGAGAAACTCATTCATGCGTTTATCTTTAGTCACATTGATTATTGCAACAGCGTCTTCACAGGCCTGTCCAACAACTCAATCAAACAGCTGCAGCTGATCCAGAATGCTGCTGCTCGCGTTCTCACTAAAACCAGGAAGATAGAGACATAACAGCAGTTTTAAAGTCCCTCCACTGGCTCCTTGTAGCTCAAAGAATAGATTTGAAAATACTGTTGTTAGTTTACAAATCACTGAACGGTTTAGCACCACAATACATCAAAGATCTGCTGTTGTTGTATCAACCTTCCAGACTCTCAGGTTCTGGTTCTGGTTCTGCTCTGCATCCCCAGAACCAGAACCAAGAGAGGAGAAACAGCTTTCAGCATCTATGCACCAAAAATTAGGAACAAACTTCCAGAAAACTGTAAAACAGCGGAAACCCTGACTTCCTTCAAATCTCAAGTAAAAATGCACCTGTTTAGAATTGTTTTTGAAATGTAATATGTAACAATGTATTGTTTATTATATGTTGCATGACTTTGTGTTCTTATGTTTAAGATGTAAAGCACTTTGAAATGCCTTGCTGCTGAAATGTGCTATACAAATAAAATTTGATTGATTGATTAATTATTCAAATACAAAGTTTACCAAACTTTGGTTAAAAAAAAACAAAACATACAAATTATTCTCAACAAACTGCACTTACAAGGTAAAGTGTGCAACTGAATTCAATAATCGTCTAATTATTGAAAACCAATAGTGGAAACAAGGCTTTTAAAATCAATGAACAGCTCACTCTGAGATCTCCCTGGGTGACGAGAAGGAACTTATTAGGACTCCATGAAGAAAGGAACTGCTGTGCTTTGGACATGATCCAGACTGTAGAGATTTGGATCGAAGCAAACAGCAAACCAACAGTCCATCTCTGTAGTACACAGCTGGGCTGGAGGAGGCCAAAAGATTCTGGAGGGAGAAGGATAAATACCCTTGAAGAGGCAGTGTTTGAAGTTGCTTTGGGTTTATTTAACTTGAGTGATTAAAATTCTTCTTTCTGGGAGGACTCTAAACAAAATGGACCAGAATGACAAGAATAAAAAAAGTGAAATCCTTAAAAAACAAAACCATTAGCCATAAATAACTGACGTAAGAAAAATTGCCAATTTCTTCAAAAGTTACAGGCAGTCTTAGTTTCACAGATAAATTAAAGTTCATCATATTAGATTACTAACCAACATCTCTTTCTGGTTACTCCCATGAAAAACTGACAGGGCAATATTATGTTTCATTGTGTGATTATGGCAAAATGTACCATAAAATGGCACTGCCAAGTAACTGTCACCTTCAGTTGTTATAAAAATACTATATATATCAAATATAACTTTGAAGAAATTGGATTTCACAAATTAATGCCTTGAAATTGAAATTGGGCCTCTGTTTTTTTTAAAAAGCTTCTGCTCTTTCCCACATGCTACCTTCAGGTAGACATCACAGTAAAGCTCCTATGATCCTCTAACATTGTTTTTTGCAGCATTTCACTGAAAAGTAGTTCCTATAATGAGCTAAGCAGATGCACAGTTCCACCAGGTGTTTAATTGCTGCTGCCGCTAGCCTGAAGGAGCTGAGTTGGGGAGTGGTGGAGGATTGCTGTCTGAGACGGAAGCTCTGCTGGATACTGCAGCTCCTTCAGCATCTACCAGCTGGAAGCTTGAGAATCTTCCAGCTGGTGTTCAGTGAAAGCAAGAATTTCTAAACCTCGATGGTTGCCAAATGAGATTCAAGGTTTTCTCAAACTGCATGAAAGAGTCAAAGCAACTCTTTGAGGTATGTTTTTGATGAGGGAATACTTTATAGCATGATGTGAAGATCAAAAAAGTCAATTTTACATAATATGGCCCCATTAGAAGCAAAAACATTAAAAAAATTCTGCTAATAAAAGAATAATAAAAGGTTACAACCCTTTTCCATCCTGATTGTCTTACCACACATTGAGCTGTTTGACTGGCAACAGCACAGAGACGACAGCAGTGGAGGGAGGAGCTGGAGGAAGTGAGCCATGGTCTGAGATATCAGGACATTTCCCTCTTCGCTTGAAGTTGCTGCTGCAAAGCTGCTGACACATTTATCCTTCAGGGCCGAACCCAAACCTCTGCCTGCCACTGATGACACACACACACACACACACACACACACACACACACACACACACACACACACACACACACACACACACACACACACACACACCGCAGCAGTTTAACCACACACACACACACACACACACACACACACACACACACACACACACACACACACACACACACACACATACGCACCGCAGCAGTTTAACCACACACACACACACACACACACACACACACACACACACACACACACACACACACACACACACACACACACACACACACACACACACACACCCATACACACACACACGCACACACACCAATGTAGCACATCATCATAGCAGAACTCACATGCATCTATTAACATGGCAACTTACATGTCAGTACAACCACTCCACCCCTAAAGAAAATCAGACTTTTTCGATAAGTGGTGAGGCTTGAATGTCTCTGACAGGCAGGTCTGCTGCAGATTTTCTACAGCAGAAACACTTGAGGACAACAGCTGTAATGCTGTGAAAGCTTTCTAATGTATTTGATTAGATTTTTTGTGAGTGAAATGATCCAGCAGTGTTCTAAGACTTTACAAGGTGAGGGAGATTCTTTGTTTGACCCATCAGCCTGACAAGATAACACGATACATAACATGCATTTCAACAACAATACAGATGACGCACATTTTTGATATTACGGCTCAGCTAGGACAAAAGTCATCATTGTCTCATTTACAAGAGAGACCTCTTAAAGCCAATCCTGTGTCTATTTACCACTAATGCCAGGTGATGCAAAGTCAACACATATCAACACATGGAATTACTTCACTGCCATCTAGTAGATGGAGTTATGGCAAATGATGATTAATATACCCAGTTTGTGCATGGATTATGTAAACATCGGCTGTATGTGCTAAATTCAAGGTACAAGTCTTTTTTTTTATTTAGAATATTTGACAGCATATCTATTTTTATGTAGCTGTTTAAACACACATTGCCAAAATTATACTATTTATCGCCCAAGTGCAAGAACTCTGATCCATGTTTTACTAACAGCAAAACAGATTATCATAGCACTCTTGTATTACGTGATGCAGCATGCTTTTTGACTAGAGAGACAATTTATTGTAATTTATAGGTCTCTTTACTGGCTTCCTACTTCAAGGACTGATTTTCTAAAAGTCTCCCCCTCAGATTACTGAAGAGCCACATGGGAGCAGCCTGACAGCAGCTGGAAGCATTCAAAGTTTTAAAGGCAGACTCAAGACATTTCTTTTTTGCAAATCTTTAATCTCAATTTTTAACATAAATTTATATTTTTATTTAATCTTTTTGGGTTTTATGCTGTGCCTGTTTTGAACTATCTATAGTGAGTGCAATATCGATCCATGTGTGTATGGGGTGCCAGAAGCTTGTTTTTTCCCTGTACATTGAAATATGTAAAGTACTTTGCAGTTGATGATGTGCCAACTGACTGGTTGGGACCATTAGATTGTGAGTGCAGCACTAACCAGAGTCCCAGTGGGTGTGTGCCGACTGGACAAACAAATACAGCCTGAAGTTCTCCAGTATGGTTCGGAACGCCTTTGGAAACAGACCTAAAATACACAGACCAAAATACGTCCTGTTTAGTAAATACTCATTGTTCACAGAGACAGAACAGAACACAAGCCTGAAATCCTAACAGAAAATATGAACTATACTACAGTCTTCATCTTCCAGCAGCAGTTTAACAACATATTTCTGAGTGCATGTGACTTGATTCCCTAAAGTAGTCAAGGAATTCGGTTAGGAAAGTGAGACAGCCAGTTTGACTTGATTCTTCATTGCCCTCTTAATGTTGAGCATTTGTGAGTGCTTTTCTGCATGAGTCTACTCAGTACCAGTTAAGATACCAGATGGCTTCAGAAAGGAGGATAATATGAGAACATCACTCTTTCAAACTGAGAACTTCAAATCATCTGCTTAAGGATGGTTATTTAGCTACATTTCCTGTTAGTTTCTTTATTGTTCTACTTCTAAAATGTTGTATTAATTTCAGAATTCTGTCTAATAATATAACTAGTTCTGCCAGTATCTACAGATTCATTAAATCCATTCTGGCCTAGTCCAATCACAGTTCCACTAGCATGTTTACGTGGCTGAAAAGTGACCGTTTTCTTTGTTCTTACAGATTTATATGATCAAATACTTCCAGTTTTGGTTGGTGTAGCACAGTTGCCTCATGGCAGCAACATTTCCAGTTTGAATTGTAGCTGGGCGCTCTCTGTATGGAGTCTACAGGACTCAACTGATCCACTGGAGCTACACCATCAGCAGGCAGAAATCCTACCTGTTCATGTGATCTTTAGCAAACTTAACATGGACAGAAAACATAATGAAGGCTGTCAGGTGAAATGCTGTTAGAAGTATTGTAAAGGTGATAAACACTAAGAGTATAAGTATTTAAGTGCAATTGAGTATAATATTAATTTAAATAACCAGAAAGAACCCTTTGCTATTCAGAGAGAATATTTTGTGTTGGTTTGTGGAATAAATGAAGAACCTGGTTGGTGAAGGTTTTATGGAATGATCCATAATGTTGAAAGAATACAAGATGGTGAAAGAAAAAGATCAGATTTAAAGCTGGGAGAAGGAAAAAGAAATCATTTTCATTAGTTTCAAGTGAAAAAATGTTTATATGATAGTATCTGTTTCAATACAAACATGAACAATTCAAATAAAACATTAAGAATAAATTACATTTCAAAAATGTGTCACAGATCTAATACTTAAGAATTGTAGGATTTAATGGATTAATATTGCTCTTGCTCAACTAGATAGACTGAGTTTATAAAACACTTGTTGAGTCACACTGAGCATGCAAATCCCTTTACATAGAGCCACATTCACCATGTCACACTCACAGACACGCATGCCATACAGAGCGGTAGTAACGTGGGGTTCAGTGCCTTGTCCAGAGGGACAAACACACATGACATGATAATGTGGAAATTGAGTCCACAACTTTGAGATTGCAAGAGGACTCCACCCACTGATCCACAGTGACCTACAACCAGCTGCATGTGGAACTTCAAGTCGCATGTGCAGAACTGTTTAGAAGGAGAAATGTGTGAAACCAAGCAGCACACAGGTCCACAGCACCACTTCCTGTCTCTTCTCCAGCTTGTAAAAATACTTGAGTAATGGTGGTCTTCACAAACTGCCTGTGGGAACACATGCTATGTTAAACATTTTTAAGTCTAACTTTATCATTGATATTTTCTGTTGCTCCATGAATAATTAAAACTGTTTTTTGCCCAGCACTGTGATGATGCCATGTTCCCCATTTTAACATCCTGGATGAATGTTTTACTATTCACAGTGTCAGGTTAGCTGGTCACCGTAATCCTTTGCTGATGGAGTTGCTGGGAGATGATTGTGACGATTTCTGAATGTCTTTAATCTGTACAATTTACTGGTGTTGGGTGAAAGGTGAGTTTATAATCCAATAATCATCTCTAGATTGGATCCCTTATTAGCAGGTATTCTAGCTTATATTAACTAATTGAGTGATCTGCTATAATAATATCATTATATAGATAATGATGTGTGGCACGGCTGTGGCACTTGTGGAATATTATGCGGACATTCCTTTCCTGGTCAGGCAGATCCCACCAGGCTGGGTCTGCACCTGGAGCTACAAAATCTTGGAAACCAAAATTACTTATTAGAAAATAGGACTGATAAACTGACACTGTTGAAAGTAACACAAACCATTGGTTACGCAAGCAGACAGTGCTGAAATATTCCAGAAGCGTTTGTTGTGCAGCTTAAGGTGTGGCTTAAATATAAGGCTGCAGGCAGAATGGATACCAGATCTGATATATTTTGCATTTTATTAAAGTTTTGTGAATTTTAACTTGCCAACTCGTCTTTGATCTCTCATATCACAAGCCTGGGGGAAGACATTTGGACGTCTAACACCACATGGCACATCATCATCTACACAGAAAACTAGCCTGAGATTACCTGCATTTTTCAGAAATAGATACTACGATCAATATAATAAGAGGACAGTAGTGCAGGCTTCTTAAAACTCCAAAAATACACAGCAGTGTGTGTAATACAGTGGGCTGAGAGGAAATGTGCAAGTTACCTGTCTCTAAAGCATGAGTAATGCTGTGCAGGGTCTGGAAGCTCCTATGATCATCTTGAAGGTTGATGCTGCCTGCAGCGTTTCCTGCTGCTGCTGTGTGGCGTTTAAGCCACAGAGCGTTAGTGCAGAAGACCAACAGTTGAGACTGATAGTGTTGGACCAGATCAGCAAGGAGAACTGATCGACCCATGTCCATCCACTGCACGGAGTGAGGCCCACCAACACACTCTGGCTCCACAGTGCTGAACCTTGTTCCATCTCTGCCTCCTCTCCTCAAGTCCTCATCCTTCTGAACACCAGAACTGAAAAGCAAAAATAGTCTCTTCATCATTAACCTGTGAGAAGCCAAGTAAAAATATCATGAACAGAACGCCGATGTAAACTAGCTTGCAGTGCAGAACAGATGATCACAGAATCGGACGCTTTTCAGTCATTCACTTTAATCATTGACAGTGGAAAATGACTAAAGTCCACAAAAAGAAAAATGTGATTGTTTTCTAAAACAGCTAAACAATGTCACCAAGCAGCAATCATTTTGCTCATGGTATCCCTACCTTTCTGGAGCATCTGCTCCCGATGCCGTTTTGTCCCAGGTCCAGTCCTGTGTGTTGGCCCCAATGACATTCTGCTGGCTGAACGTCTCACGCTGAGCTGCTGCAGTTACACCGACTGATCCAGCCTTCCAAGCAGCCACACCAGGAGTTGAGACTGAGATGAGCTGAGCAGCTGCTTCTTCTGAGGTTGGCCTTTGAAGTGTCAGTGGAGTCAGCAGGTCAGTGGAGGTCATGAGGACCTGAAACAGTGGTTCTACAGAGGACTGGTCCAACTGAGGAGGCAGGGCTGAGGCATGATGGGAGGTGGCTACAGAGGGTGAAGGACAGTCACAGTTTCCTAAACCTTCCAGGTTAGACTGAGCTGCCTCTGCACTGAACCGAGTGAGTCCAGACTGAGGTATGCATGTTTGGCTCTGGCTGGTTCTGGGTTTTCTTGAGTTTTCTTCTTTATTTTGGAAAGGAGACAGTTTCACCAAAACAGGGAGTTGAATTTCTAAAGCAGAACTCTGCAAGAAGCGATTAGGGCTGCAAATAGGGGAGTATTTATCAGATGTTTGCTGTGATAACATCTGCACAGAAGGCTGAATACTGACAGGAAGAGGAGAGGAAGTCAGATATGTCTGCCACAGCTGTTGCCATGTCCACTTGGGAAAGCTACAACTGCATTCAGACTCTGGACTCCTGAAGTCATCACAGAATGTTTGGTGAGTGCAATGAACCTTGCAAACATGACAGCTCTCCTCAGAAATCCACAGCTCCAGTAGTCTGGCAATCATTTCTGCCCGATGCACAGCCAAGACACTCATCAGACCTCTGACTGACACAGCGGAAGCACGATGTCCTATAATCTTTGGAAGACTGCTAAAGGATTTGGATTTATGTGCCTCCTGCAAAACTAACATCCTCAGCTGGACTTTATGCTCCTCTACAGCCTGACTGTACAGGTCTATTCCTGATAAAATGTCCTCCAGAACTTCTCTGGGTACCAAGTCCAATTCAGTCTTCCCAATAACAGACATAATACCACATACACATTGCTCCATTAGGAACAAAAGCTGTAGACCAAGTAAGTTTAGAGTCTGTTTCATCTCCTCCAGCATTTTGGTGTGTGAAACTAGTGCCTGTCTCAGATAGTGGTCAGAATGGACTCGGCTGGTGATGAAACTCCAGTGGTTCAGATGAAGTCGGAACTCCTGACTTAGAGAGACGAGGCTGATTCTGGATGAAGGTGAGCCGGGCAGGACCTGAAAAGAACGTGAGAGTAGCTTGAGAGTAGCTTCTGAAACACTAGCGGTTTGTTAGTCATACATCCCCACAAAGGTCAGGAAATGCACACATAGTCTTCTACTAATACGTTTTTACTTCAATACCTTTCTTTTAAAAAAGAAGAATAGTTTGCACTTGTGAATACTTTCATGTAAAGCAGCTTTAACATCATTCACAGCTAAATGAAATCCTACAGGATGAAGCATACTGAGTCTGTCCAGAGTCTGTCCAGAGTCTGGCAGACCTGCTACTTTTACAGTCATACAAGTCAGTGGACAAGGATGCAATTCATCAGGATGAAAAATCAGTTGCTATAGTACAGTGGGAGTGGGCAATGAAATCATAATATCAAGTTCATCAAAAGAACAAAGAAAATATCTTAAATCAGATTTTAATCAGTAATCACCAATGTTGCTAATTTCTCTCAGTTACCACTAACTGTTAAAATGTACATCTTTAAGAACTCTCAGACTGAGAACATTTTGCCTCACTCAGAAAACAGAGAAAGAAAACAGTAAAAGAGAAAACTGCCTTATTGTAAAACAAAAAGCTATAATTCCAACAGAGCAAACAATCCATCCCTCCATCCACAGCTGAAAGAGAAGAGTGTTTTCAAGGGTTCTGTTTTCCTGTCACCTGAGTTTGCATGAAGTGAAGTTCCCTGAGCTGATGCTGCAACAAGTGTTTCAGTCTGGATATGAAAGCTGTTGACAGATGAAGCCTTCTGGTGTATTCATGTATGAAGAGCAGCAAAGATCGCTGCTCAAAGAGCCTCCACAGAGCTCTGTACTGCCCCTAGAGGAGAGAGGACGACAGGATGGACCTTCAGATGGAACAGCCCACTCTCAGGCCCAACTTTCAATGTGACTCAGTCATAATTAAAACAGAAAGTGGCAGATATTTGCTTGAACTCACAGGTAGGGACCTCATCTGGCCCCCTTCCACCGGTGGGCCCTGTAACACCACTGACAGAAGATGCTGCTGCAGTCGCTGCAGACGTGCAGAGGAGCGCGACACAAGGTTGTGAGCCACAACAAGGTTTTCCTCCTCTTCATCTCGACTCGGAACATGGAACAGACACTTCAAACTGGGATTAAAAGTACTTCTGAACAGAATCTCTGCTTGCTGCAGGGACCGTGACATGACCAGTTACCTGAACAGATTGGGCAAAAAAATGATCAGAAAGGAGCAAAAATCAAAGTATCAAAGTATTTTGAAATGATTCAGTAAATTCTCCAACTTGTACTTAATCCTGGGTCCTTATGATTTTTTGCCACCTGCAACCATTTATTAAATAGAATTTGTGATCACCATTCTTTGCCTCACAGTAGCATTCTGTGGTTGCAAGACAATGGAACCGTGCAACTGCAACTTGGGAACTTGGCGAAGGCCTGAGACTGTCCTTGCTATGCTTTCATTCTGCACAATTAGCTCATGAAAACCAGCATTAATGTTCGCAGATTTACTTTGCACTTTTGCTTCAATCCGTGTATAAAAATACTCATAAATAGTTGTTATGGATAAAATTATATCATTTTGTGACTGAAATAAAATTATTATTATTATTTCAGTCACAAAGCAGCATTGGACTCACACCAGCACATGTCTAACCACATTCTCTATATGTCACTGGCAGATCATGTACCTCTGGTAAAGATTCAGATTAACAGCATTTGTACAAAATCAATGTTTCTGAACACAGATATTATTCCTCCAAAAAAAAGTGCTTCTACACTTTGTGTTAAACCGATTGAGCTCTGATTGTCCATCACTGTGCATGGAAGAATTTTCATCTGCAAGATAAACAAACAAAAAAAAAAAGAACCATATGAAATGAACAGAATTTAGTTTTTCCATAGGTCAATATTAGCTCTTCTGAGAGATTTGTATCTGTGGTCTAGAGTAGTAATCTGGGTTAGAAAACAATACAAGCTGATGACACCAATATTACACCTCTTGTGCTTCTCAGGAGGTTCCAGGCCTGTAAATCCATCAACAGCTAATTGGGATTGTAAAATGTGTCATTTCGCTATGTCACACTTAAAAGTGAAGACTGAAGCAACAGCAGAGTCTGCAGGTGCAAACATAGTGGCAGCATATCAGGACCTTCCTGTCAGTTTGATCTGTGAAATATGTTCATCAGCAGAATTTGATGTAGAAAACATTTCAAAGACTGTGAACAACTTTGGATTTAAAGCATTGAATTCACAAAAGCAACCTGCATGAGGGTCAAAACACTGAGCTGAGTCCAGTGAAGATTTGTTTCATGGCTATTTTACTCAAGACTGTCACAAATTTTGCAACCTGTAAGACGTGTCCCTTTGGTTTCACAACTCCAGCGGCATGCTATTAAAGTATGCAGAGCAGGCAGGTGACTTATGATGTGAAAGGCCAAAGCAAACTATACCTGCCTTCTGGAGGTGAATATTAACTCTGGAACTATTATCTGATCAAACTCCACAGTTCTAACTCCACCGCTGCATTCTGTAATGGTTACCAATTGGTTAGCATCTAGTTAGTCTAAATATTATTAGACTATAGTCACCATAATTATCATTACCATAATTATCATTATGTTCTGGCAAATTCCCTTGATTGGAGGTGAAAAATCATTATTAAATCATGAGGTGTCTTACATCTGAACCGCTCTTTTTCTGAACAGAACATTACAGGTTCCCAATCTGAAAGAAAAAACTGAATAAAACTCAAATCAATTTAAAAAATCAAATAAAATCAAATACTGTAAAAATTAGCTTTAAACTGCACGTTTTCAACAAGTATTAAACTCTTAAAGATTCCTTTAAGCCAACTGGAACCTTTCTTGTGCTGTAAATGTGTTCTGTGAAAACCCAATGGTACAAGACAATCTAAAACAAAGAAACTCTCAGCTGTCTGCAAACAAATCAAACAGCACTTTCAACAGACAAACACAGCTACTACATACAGCAAGTGGTTCCCCAGACCAAACAAAATTCCTGAATACCTTTATGACGAGCATCATTAGGGCAAATTTGCTGTCATGTTCTGATTTGTTTGGTCACCATACTAAGATTACAAACTTGACACCAACGGGGAAAATATTTGACGCTAGATCCAAATTATGACACAGAGCAAACATTTCCTGACGGCACAAGAGGGATAATGAATGGGCCGCAGCAGGACGCCACGTAAAAATGCTGACATATAAGCAAAGCGGAAGAAAACAGGAGCGATGTGACCCTTCAGCATTGTTCAATAGAACAACACAAGAACTGAGTGACTTTCAGCTTTCAAAACGGACGTTGCATGAAAGCGACCTGCGTGATGGTTGCGTTCATGCATTCAGTAGCCAGCGGTCACCAGTTGAAGCACAAAATCAAATCTTAAAGTTCAACAGTTTAATTAAAGTCCATCAATAATGACAGAACTTTACTTTTCACCAACATCTCGTTACTTCTCCCACCAACGGTGCGTCTTGGACGGGGACAGCTTATTCCAGCTAGCTTTTAGCCTCAGAGCTTGTAAGACGTTGAAAGTTCTACGGAAATGTTCCGCACAAACGCAGCATTGCGCTGATCTGCGCCTGTCTGTCACCATAATCTGCACAGAACAGGAGCGCTTTTTAATCCCGTGTTCATGCTACGTTCAATTTCAAGTCTGAAATTGGGGGGAAAAATCAGGTTAAACGAAAATCCTTTGGATTAAAGAGCATCAACAGATCTGTCGGTAGGCAGAAGGAACGCTGTTGCCAAGCGGAAACACGTGATCTTTGGACCGGAAGTAATCAAGTATGGTCATTCACAGCAGCGTCACAGCCCCCTTTTATCACCGTTGCATTTAGGGAGAAAATATAATGTATTAATTTGTATTTGACTCTGACAACTGCTTCACAGACCTTTGCACTGAATGCCCATGTGCTGTAGTTAACATATGTGAACCAACTGGCCGTTTAATAACTCATCAAACGATTAAGACATTTTTCAAAGTGCTCTGGTAATATTTTAACAGGGTTTCTAATGTTTCTCCACCACTTCGTTAGTCATATCTCATTTAAAATAACATTTAACCCTCAAATAGCCAGGATGTCTCTGGTCACAGATTATGAAGCGCCCAATAATTTGTGACTTTACTGTAAATTATGTCAGTTTAAAACTTTTTCAGAGTTCTACCACTTCCATTTTTATTTTGGTGTATTCATATTCATGTCTATGGCCAAAATTATGATGACCAGAATAATGACGAAGAGGTGGCAGAAACATTAAAACCTTAATGTATACTTAATAAAGTAAATTAGACATTCATTTGTATGTAAACATTTCCTTATAAAAGAACTGTGTAATTGACATGTTAATGATAGCTGTGAGTCAGAGCATCCTTTGCACCAAGCAGGGCTTCAGGTCACTAAAATCATTCAAGTTTTAACATTTCACTAACACTTGATTTTCAACAGAGGAATTTAAAGTCTAAAATGTTTGACATCTGAAAGCAACTATTTTCTTGTTGATGGATCATACTCACCTGTTTACATGTAGACTTGAGGTGGGAAACCTCAAGCATAATAAAACAGCTACGAATTAACCAGTCCTGTTGCTGGTTCACTGCAAGTCTCAGAGATCAAAGTCTCAGTTGGGAGAGATGAGTGTCTCCTGCAGGTTACTGGGCTGGAAGGAGACCAGAGGACCAGTCGGAAGTGAAACTTGCACGGGCTAAACTAAAACTCGACGGAGGACAAAAGCAGTAAATAGACAGTATTCCTTCTTAATGATTTATTTAATGTGCAATATTCACAACAGTGCAGCATAACTTATTTACTGTAAAGATGACCGTGACATGTTACCAAATAAGGTAAAGAAAATGAAGCTGAAACCTAAACTGAGACTACATCTTATCTTAGTGATTTGAAACTAAGCTGTGGGTTAACGTTAATAGCTGGTTCACTGCAACAATATGGTGATTTCCTATACTGTTGTACATCTGACCACATTCTAGCGGGCTTCCTCTACCACCATACATGCTTCCTCTGAGTTGCCTGCTCAACGATGCAGCTATGGAGCCTGGGTGGTGCCTAGTCCCACTGCATTGGCATAGGCTGAAAGCAAACTGATGACCTGCCTGGTTTCCAGTGTGAGTCTGGCTTCAGTCAGCCAGTCCTCCACCACTCTCCTGGCCTCCCCTCGCAGCTGGTTCACCAGTTTGGCTGCCAGCTCCAGATCCCCATGCTCTAGGCAATAGCTGGCATATGAAAGCAGCTTGAAGGTATCCAAATCCTCGCTATGTAGCTGGGTTGGTGGGACTTCCTGTTGCTTCTCAAAAAGCAGTGCAGCTTGGACATACGATAAAAAGTACTGGTAGAGGGTGTTGTGGGATTCATCGATGAGAGCAACTCTGCGAGCGAGCGATCGCAGAGAGTTGAAACGAGCACGAAGGGAAGCCTCACTGTACACGCCGCGCTTCAGGGATTCTTCAGGCAGAGCTGACGCCAGAGCCAGGGCAAAATCATTGTCAACGCAGCTGGCACGCATAGCCTCAGCGGCATCCTCCAGGGGCATGCTGGGAGACTCAGCACTGGCTGTTTTTAAGGCGTAGGTAAGAGCTTCCACAGACAGCCACAGCTGATGAGCTTTCCGGGCCGCCTCCTCTGCTTCCACATGGCCTGCAGGCAGAAACACCTAGAATTCACTTTCCATCCTGAAGAATAGTTCAAGTAATACTTTTGTCAGAGCTCTCCAGCTAGCATGTTGCTAGCTGGAGAGCTAGCATTCAGCATTCAGGAATTTACTGTTTGGGATGATATTTTCAGGCTGCAGGGTCAATGTCGCCCATTGTCTTCACACAAACATTCAACATTTTGTTTCATGTCCAATCCAATGACCTTCCTCTCAGAGAATTGTTTCTATACAGTACAGATATTACTAAAGTACAGATATTACATTGTTTTAATCACATCAGTGATTAAAACAATGGTGACATTCTTGTAGCAAATATATTACTTAATGTCCCACAATTCTGGAAATCTGAAAATGACCACATTTTGCTATTCAAGTTGGAGTTAAACAGCTTTAACCTGCATCAAAGCTATTCAGCTGCAAAACCTGGGTGGATTGTATTTGTAGGAACTTCAATGTAAGGCGTATTTAAGCCCAGCTGTCAAATGTCTCTGATTTCAGAAATATTTGGAGAAAAATAGATAGAGCTCAGTCCTAGTTTCAATGCAGTTAAGGGTCCTGTAGGTTGGCTTAGCGTGAGTTAGTGGAAAGTTGAAGTGATTTTCCTTTTGAACTAATTTTTTTCATTTGGTAACTAGATAAAGAATTATTGCATGATCCTCCTCTGTAGAGACCATGTAGGAAACCCTACAGTGCCTCAGACAGAAGATCTCAAAGTTTACACACTGGCTGGTTTTGCTTAGGTTTGCACACCTTGAACTGATCAAATGTTAGCATTTAGCTTGGGGATTAAACTTTGCAAAAAGAAACATAAAAATGGTTTTGGGGTTTTATTATCAAGGAGAATGAAATTCTGAATATTTCCTGTCAGTCTCCAGCCAAATACTGCTCAACAGAAAGAGAACTCTGGATCAACCAAAAGCAGATTTATTAGCAGATATGGCAACTTTTGAAATTTGCTGAGCCAGATATGTGAAAATCTGGGAGATTATCTGAAAAGAGCTATGAACAAGAGATGTTCTCATAAAATGACAGATATGAAGAACCTTTGCCCAGTAAGGTGGGAAAATCAAGACCTGGCATTTTGACAGACTGAATGGCTTGATTAAACATTTACCCTAAACCAGTGGTTCCCAAAGATTTTCTGCTGGGCCCCCCATGGATTACAATAAAAAAAAAAACCCAGCAAAAAAAAAAAAAAAAATCAACTGTGTACACGCGTCATTCATGAACCAGCTCAGTGTACTGGGCCACAATCTTTGCTTATATCAATCTATACACATATTTTGTTCTCAAACTCCACTGAAGTTTATTTCACACGTCAGGCTGCAACAAAACAAACTACAAACCATCTTTACAGTGAAACACTTTTGTGTAACTGTGTTGTTGTTTTTTTCCCATTCATCCATACCGCTTCCCTGCAACAGTGCAAAAGCGCCCCACACTTTGAGAACCACTGCCCAAAACACATCTGTTTGTTTTTCAGTTAAATAGTTCAGAAAAAATGTCAGCTAAAGGAAAAGGAAAATGATTTATCATGGTCTCATTTTGTAGCATAACAGAAACCTGGGATGTGTAGGCTAGAGACATCAACTGTACTTCTGATTTATCCTGATATTAGACTGGAATGGAAGATTTTGTGTTGATCTTACTATCGATGGCCTCCTCCACTCCCTTCAATCTTGCGTAGGCAGCATTCATATCCAGAGTGAAGTCATCGAGTTGTTCCTGAGTGAGCTGACGGTACCGGGTTTCCTGCTCCAGCAGCTTACTGCTCAGCACCTGAAAACACACAGCACTCATCACTGCGTCCAGTCACCTCACTAGAGAAGTGAGAAACAGATATTTTGTCAAAATTACAGGTAATAGAAAACATTTTAAAATGAAACGATGCACTTGAATTCAACATTTTAAAATAACTGATATAAAGACTCACAAGCAGTAAGCAAACCCTAGAACACCACAAAACCTCTAGTTCTTTCTTCATGCACTTCCAGTCCATCAGTTATACTGTACCAGTAGTCCTCCATCGTGTGCTCTCAGAAAAACAAATATAAGGTTATCTTATTCTTGTTTCTCCTGCAACTCTTTACTTCTTACTCAGATTTCCGATGGCATGCCAGTTAGAGTAAGAAACAAAAAGAACCAAGGCTATGGTCTCAAATTTTTCACAAACTCTGCTCTGTTCAGTTTGTAATTGTCCATTTGGTGGACAGCAGCAGTACAAGAAAATTAGGGCATAATACAAACATGTCAACACTTAGTAACAAGGAATGAAGCAATTTAATATTCTAAAATGTGCTGAGTCAACCATCTTAGGAATCTCTTAGATCTTTCCAGCAAACTGCTGCAGTCTGTTTATCACAATCGTTCCAGACAACAACTGCCAGTCACACACACCAGTTCCCACTAGAGATCCCTCCATCATTGTTGGCACAGCTGGGTGGGGAGTTCAATTAATCACAAGATTAATATTCATATTCAATGGAATATTTGATTACTAAAATATTTGTTTACAAAAGCCCCAGACTGAACTGTTTTTTAAATTTAGAGGACTTGTGTTGCCTTTCCTCCTTTGTCCAATCAGCTGTACTCATGATAGGACAGAGCAGACCTCTACAGACAGACAAGATAGATAGGCAGACAGACAGACAACCCTCCCTCCCCACCTTCTACAGGAATAGAGTCTAGTCTATCTACAGTAAGTGCGTCTAGTGTGTATTTGTTGTGTGTGGTTGGGTGCAGACCTGCTCAGCTTCAGCTCTCAGCTCCTGCTCCTGGACTTTGAGGACATCTCGGACGTGGTCGGTGTGAGCAGCTGCCTGCCGCCGCAGCTGAGTTCTCATCTCTGCCTCAATCACTTCCCTCAGCTCAACCAGCTGCAAGCACAACATGCCTAACATCAGCACAACTCTGCAGCATGCCTGCTGCCTCCCTTAGGCATCAATCCACTGCACCTTCCTCTCCTGCTCCAGTCGGGCCTCTTCTTTAACGTGCTGCGATGCTGTGCCGATGGCTTTGTCCAGAGCTTTCTGGTCCTCCGCTCTCTGCTGCTCCAGCGCTGCTTCCATACGGATCTGCTCTCGGACTCGCTGCTCAGCCAGTTCTCGATTCAGCTGGTCAATGCGCCGATGTGCGTGGGCAATCAAAGCGTTCAGGTCATCTGTTGACAGTTTACCAGCTACACACACACACACACACACCCACAGACACGCACACACCCACAGACATGCACACAACTGAAACTATCTTTGGATTCTCTAAACAATTAAACTCTCCAGCTGGAGCCTGCATGAACAATAATGGTTGATGTGTATAATGTGTACTTACTAAGGCCTTTCCAGTTGGCCTGGATCTCTGGAGTTAGGCTACTCACTTCCCTCTGAAACTGCTGCCTGGCTTCTTGAACCAGTTCAGAGTACTGGGCCACAATCTTTGCTTCTGACTCTGCTGATTGGACCTACAAGCACATTCCATCCAGGAGACAGGGTGAGCCCAAAAGGGTGTTTTGAATGTGGAACCATGAGCAGATCTCAGAATGTCATGTGTACATATAAACAAAACCTAAAGTACTGCACACTGTCACTGATTTACATTATTAGAACATGCAAGCATATAGAGAAGAGGAAAAATATGATAGAGTGCCCAGTTAAAATAATTTTGAACATTTAAAATTGAAAACCAAATCCAGGAAGATGTGGAATAAAAAGTTAGCTAATGATCAGCTCCAAGGTGATCATAGTCAGGTGGGAAGATCAGGACAAGAAAACGGTTTGTCACCAAGTTCTCCCAGCATAAGAAAGCTCTATCTCTAAAACTTTTCCATACCCTGAGAACACAATATGGAACAGTGTGTGTAGTGTGTGAACAGCATCTCACTGCTCCTCCCAGATTACATTTGACTGGAACAGATAAAACTTGTCAGAAATTTATCAGCAGAACTGACATACTTGTGCATTTCAAAACAAATCAGTCTCAAGATAGGAAGCTAATAATTTGTTCCCTTTTTCTTTACTCTATGCAAGGTGGACTTTCACATCCAGTATCTCTGTAAAGCTGCAGCATGCAATAAAAAAAAAAGAGACAGAGATGAAGATAGATATGAGAAGATCAAGAAATACATGGATCAAATTATAATGTTTACACTAGACGTATGGTTCAAAACATTGAAAAAACATAAGATAAAGAAAGAAATGAAAGTGCTTAGGTGGGAAGCATATGATAGTGATTTCAAACCAACAATATATGACAAGGGGTTCAAACAATGGATAGGCAAGGGGGGTCACAGGATGGTATACCCTCCAGGAAAACAGGGAGCTGGAGAGCTTTCAAAAAATGAAGGACAAGTATATCTATCCATCCATTTTCTGAGCACCCTTCTCCCTAGTGGGGTCGGGAGGTGCTGGTGTCTATCTCCAGCTGCGTTCCGGGCGACAGGCGGGGTTCACCCTGGACAGGTCGCCAGTCTGTCGCAGGGCAACACAGAGAGACAAACAGGACAAACAACCATGCACACACACTCACACCTAGGGAGAATTTGGGAAGGCCAATTAACCTGACAGTCATGTTTTTGGACTGTGGGAGGAAGCCGGAGAATCCAGAGAGAACTCACGCACGCACAGGGAGAACATGCAAACTCCATGCAAAGACCCCAGGCCGGGAATCGAACCCAGGACCTTCTTGCTGCAAGGCAACAGCGCTACCCACTGCGCCACTGTGCAGCCCAGGACAAGTATAATTTAGATAAACATAAGTTTTACAGATACCTGCAATTGAGAGATTACTATAGGGCAGAAATCAAGTGGGACCCTTCTGTGGAAGTGAATGGTGTGATTGGAGTTGTGCTAAATTCATTTAGCGGCACCAAAATTAAAATCATCTCTACTCTATACCAAAAAGTGACGATGAACAAACATTCAACAAAGTATATAAATGAGAAGTGGGAATCAGAGCTTAGCATGAAAATTACAGTTGAAGATTGGTTAGATATGTGGAAAACGCATCAGACTTCCACCAATTCACAGATATGGAGGGAGTTCACATGGAAGAACCCAATACGTTTTTTTATCACGCCTAAAATCAAGAATAAATATAGAGACACAAACGCAGGGTGTTGGTGGAAATGTGGATCGATGATCATTCACATATATTTTGGAACTGTCCTAAAATTGTTCAATTTTGGAAAAATGTACATGAAACTGTGAAGAATATTCTGGGATATGATATCCCTCTGAGTAGCATGGTACTATCTTTGCAATTTTAATAATACCAAAGTAAGGGTAAAAGAGAAATATCTGATCAAGATAAAGTTAATAGCTGGCTAGAAAGCTATCACCAGGAAATGGGGAAGAGCAGACCCTCATTGTCAGGAACAATGGTCTGGAATAGTAGAAGAAATCTACATCATGGAAAAACTGACACACCGGTTGAGACTTCAGCAATCACAAATGGAAGAAAAATGGACTGCATTCAGGACAAAAGAGAGCAACAAAAGTAGAGAAAGAACTATGTAAATGAGAGGAAACAAAGGTCATATAGAGGATTAGCTCCCTAGCAACAGTTTTAGTTTTATTTTTGGTTGTGTTGGATGTGATGTGTTCATGTTCACTGTATATGTAAACAAATGTGAAAAATACCAATAAACAGTTAAATGGAAAAAAAAGAAGACGTTTTTACATATGTATGAAAACTTTTGTGGTCCCAACATGACACAGATAAGCTGTGGGAATCAATCTCATCTGTCCTCCTCTTGTGTTCTGCAGTATTACGGTGCTTGATCAAAAACAACCAACCAGAGCCAGCAGAGAACAGCTAGCCATGCTCTCAGGCAGTTTTGATTTAGTAATTCAAGATTGTATATTTTGATGCAACCTATATTAGACTTTGAGTGAATGTTTGATATTTTGTTTGACATTATTTGATATAGGCAGTGTTGTGAGATTTATTTGACTTTATGTGTAATTATGCTGTTAAATATTGTATTACCGATTACAGGTTTTACATTTGTCTGCTGCATTGCGTTTGCAAGAATTTTGCATATTTTTATCTAAATTAGGCAATTCTTTGGTTCCATTTTGCCAGATCACATAATAGCATTTATACCTGAAGTGAAAAATTGACAGCCAATCATGTGATCGGTCTCGGAATCGGCAGCAAAAAACCTGATCAGACCATCCCTTATAACCAGGCCTTACCTTGGAGACTACTTTGTCCAAGTCTACTACCATTTTATGGAGATTCTCTTCTGCTGCTAAGATCAGTGGCCGTGCAGCTGAAATCTTCAAGCCTTTGGATTTGTCAATCACTGATTTTAGACTGTCCAGAACTTCACTGCAATAGTGGAGAGAAGATTTATGTCAAGTGTCTGAACTCAAGACAAAATAAACATGCCTCCAAGACAGCAAAAACATTATTTTTAAAATGTTTCTTTACCTAGTGGTACATAACATGAAAACAGAGGGCTGTGCGTAAAGACAAGTTCAGTTCATCGCAGTAGGCTCTGAATGTGTGTACATCTCTTACTTGGCTTTGACAAGAGCAGTTTTGGCATCATTCACAGAAGTTGTTCTGCTTGCCAGAGCGGCTTCTAAATCTTTCCACTGGGTTGACTTTTCCTCTGATGGACCCTGCATTCATTAAAACATAAAATTCAACATCAAAAAATGTATGATCAGTAAAAGATAGTTGCTAAAATCATTTTATTAGAACTTCCAGCTTTTGTAACAGCTCTTCTCTTCTATGTTTTTGATTGTCATGGTAGAACTTCCTCTGAATTTTACAGCTCTGATTTTATTTTCATAAACTGCTCAGAAGTTCTGGATGAATATAGACTAAGTTCTGGATGAACTTTGGCCGGCATCCTGCATGTTTTAGTTCTCTCCCCTGGTGGTACCAACAACCTTTTCAGCATGTCAATGTTCTTTTTAGGCATCTAAGGAGCCATCATTTGATGCACTGTGTTGAACCCAGGAAAGGATTAAAAGATGCAGGATGCTGGCACTTAAGGACCGTCTTTGGGCCACCCTGGACTAAGTGAAGAGGATTTATTACTTTGCATTTTTATGCTTTGTTGCCATTGGAAGCCACACCATAAACAACTCCAACCCTATTGCTTCTCCAGTGCTTATTCCTGGATGGAGACTCTTCTTGCAGTCATGCAGCACCCTGAGCACACCTGCTCTGCCTCGTGTCTCCTAACTTTACACACACATTTGTGTGTGACATACAACCTTTGGGATATTTTCCTGATTTTGCTACATTTCAATCAATCAATCAATCAATCAAATTTTATTTGTATAGCACATTTCAGCTACAAGGCATTTCAAAGTGCTTTACATCATAAACACAAAACACAAAGGCATGCAACATAGAATAAAATACCAAGGATTTTTTTTCTTTTTTTTTCTCCCTTTCTTCCTTTTTTTTTTCTTCCCCCTTCCCTTTGTCATGGAATTTAAGCGCCCGTTACCGCCGGACTCTGCCGTCCGTTTAACCACGGGTATTCGCCGGGCCCCGTTGCCCACAACAGGAAAAAAAAAAAATAAAAAAATAAAAAATAAAAAAAAGATTACATACATATCCACAAATTCAAATCCATACATATTACATTTCAAAAACAATTCTAAACAGGTGCGTTTTTACTTTAGATTTGAAGGAAGTCAGGGTTTCTGCTGTTTTACAATTTTCTGGAAGTTTGTTCCTAATTTTTGGTGCATAGATGCTGAAAGCTGTTTCTCCTCTCTTGGTTCTGGTTCTGGGGATGCAGAGCAGAACCAGAACCAGAAGACCTGAGAGTCTGGAAGGTTGATACAACAACAGCAGATCTTTAATGTATTGTGGTGCTAAACCATTCAGTGATTTATAAACTAACAAGAGTATTTTAAAATCTATTCTTTGAGCTACAAGGAGCCAGTGGAGGGACTTTAAAACTGCTGTTATGTCTCTATCTTCCTGGTTCTAGTGAGAACGCGAGCAGCAGCGTTCTGGATCAACTGCAGCTGTTTGATTGATTTGTTGGACAGGCCTGTGAAGACGCTGTTGCAATAATCAGTGTGACTAAAGATAAACGCATGGATGAGTTTCTCTAGATCTGGCTGAGACATTAGTCCTCTAATCCTGGAGATGTTCTTCAGGTGATAGAAGGCCGATTTTGTTACTGTCCTTATGTGGCTCTGGATGTTCAAGTCTGAGTCCATCACTACTCCCAGGTTTCAGGCCTGATCGCTAGTTTTTAGTTGTAATAACTGAAGCTGTGCATTGACTCTAGATCGTTCCTCTTTAGGTCCAAAAATAATGACTTCAGTTTTATTTTTGTTCAGTTGGAGAAAGTTTTGGCACATCCACACATTTATCTGTTCTAAACATTTATTCAGTGATTGGATGGGGTCAAAGGTCACCTGGTGACATCGTAATGTAGAGTTGAGTATCATCTGCATAGTTGTGGTAGCTAATATTATTTCCTTTTATAACCTGAGCTAGTGGGAGAATATAAATATTAAATAAGAGGGGTCCTAGGACTGAACCTTGGGGTACCCCACATGTGACCGTTGACCTCTTTGATCAGAAGTTTCCAATTGAAACAAAGAAATCCCTGTTCTTTATGTAAGATTCAAACCAGTCGAGCACCGAACCAGAGAGTCCAACCCAACTCTCCAGTCGATTCAATAATATGTCAAAAGCTGCACTGAGGTCCAACAGAACCAACACCGTGGTTCTCCCACAGTCTGTATTTATATGGATATCATTGAATACTTTGACTAGGCCAGTGCTGTGGTGAGCACGAAAACCAGACTGGAAAGTGTCAAAGCAGTTGGTCATCATGAGGAAACTATTTAATTGTTTACACACAGTTTTTTTAAATAACTTTGCTGATGAATGGGACGTCAGAGGTCAGAGGTCGGCCTGTAATTCTGCAGTAGTCCAGTTGTCCAGGTTGTTCTTTTTTAGCATTGGTTTGATAACTGCTGTTTTCAAAGCCTGGGGGAAAACGCCTGATATGAGTGATGAGTTACTATTTGGATCAGATCAGTAGCAATAACAGGCAGGACTTTCTTAAAGAAATGTGTGGGTAGGACATCCAGACAGCAGGAGCTTGAACTTAATTGACTTATAATTTCTTCTAGGGTTTTATAATTAAGTAGTTGAAAGTGGGTCATTTTTTTGTATTTGTTTTGTTTTGGTACAGCAATGGTTCTGGCTTTGAAGTTGATGTGCAGATTAATCCTGTGATTTTTGTAATTTTCTCTGAAAAGAAGCTGGAAAACTTGTTACAGGCAGCATTAGATTGGAGTTCAGGTGGAAACGTCACAGGAGGGTTTGTGAGCCTGTCAACTGTTGCAAATAAAGTTCGAGCATTGTTGATGTTTTTGTTTATGACATCCGCAAAGAAAGCCTCCCTTGCATGTTTTAGTGTTAAGTGATAGTTACGTAGTAACTATCATTTGCCACCCTCAAGCATTTTAAAGACTTTTATTTACCATAAACACAATTAATGGTTTTAAGAATGATAAAATTCACAACAAAATAAAGAAAAGCCCTCAAATAGTCTTCATTAATCAATAACACTGTATGACTATTTGAACCATTTCTCATTTTTTTCTTTCTAGGCTCCCTTGTTGTCACTCTCTAAAGCAGAAGACAGACTTGAGAACAATTGAGGCTCAGAGGAATCCCTGATGCTTCCAGCTGCTTTCAAAAGAAAAATCTGTGTCTATAAAAATGCATAGCCTAATATACATAATTTAGTATTAATCATTATTTAACAATCTGTGCTCCTGTATATTATATTTGTATTATTTTGTGTTTGTATACTTGTATAAATATGTACTTTAAAAAAAATGCCCTTGTACATATAGCTATGATGGTTGTTTTAATAATGTTTCCAGCAATAAAGAGTGAAAATTTGTTTCGTACCTATCAAGTTATGATTGATTAAATGGGGTGATACTGCACTGTGCCTGCGAAGCATGTAGCTCAGAATAGAGGGGGCAGCCACTCCAAGATGGCTGCCTTACGTCATGTCAATGAAAATAAGCAAGAGTGGTCCATGAGGCGTCCATGTGAACTGACGATACGAGTGCGGATGTTTTGAAACATATCTACTTAAATAGAGGAGAGAAGGAGAAATTTGTGACAAATTTCATTGTGACAATGAAATTTGTGACAATTTTCATTTGTGACATGTTATTAGTAAACTTTGTCATAATTATAAAGCGAGTACGACAAAGTTTTATGTCGCAACAGAATTTTTTAACTACAGGAATGAAGTCATATTACATGAATAGTTATACTATACAGTCTTTAAAAGATGAGAAAAAAAACACTTTAATAAGAAGAAAAGCTTTTATAGTTATCAAGACCTGATGTGGACCTGACATGATCAGCTCATCAAGTCAGGTTTTTTGAACTAACCAGTTCTTTAAATTATCATTTCAAAGTCCTGTGACTGATGTTTGATTCTGACGTGTTAAAAGATGATTTCTTTCTTAATTGTAAAACCAATACCAACAGTAACTTTACAAGACCCTCAGTATTCCTCATTTTAGCACCGTGTGGTGTAGAGTTCTCATAAAATTACAACTTTGTTCTCTTATTAACACAGCCTTAGTGTCATATGTCAAACAAAAAACTAAAAAGTCTGGCCTTACTTTGTCATAAGCAAGTAATGGAAGCTCTCGGAAAAAGGCCAGTATATAGATGAAGTTTACCTATTTACTGTCATCATAAAATGCACTTTTCATCTCATCTTACAAGCTGGAATACAAGCAATATTGTTGCAAATTTTGCACAAAAATGTTTAAAAACTATATACCCTTTTAAGTTAGAATTTTTACAAGTTTTGGAAAGTTTTACTGTTACTCAAAATATTTACCTCCCAGGGAATCATTTCCCCGGCGGCGTAACAGAAAATAATCAAAACCCACTGCACTAGCAGCAACAGGACTGTTGTTAGTGTGTATAGTTGGCTCAGAAGACTCCGTACCTCTGCCTCCATTGCCTCCTTTAGCTTGTGTGTGTGATGAGTGATAGCCTGTAAAGCTGCCTCCTGAGCTCCAATAGCCTGCAGTGTCGCCTTGGCGGAACTGGCCAGGGAGTCATCCAGCCGGGCCGACAGCGCTGCAACACATACACACGCATACACACAAGATGTTGAAGTTGACAGCTCACATGGCTTTACTTGGTCATCTAAAGTACAGACAACTATTATTTTCATCTATTAACCTGGATCTCGTATTATGACCAAATAAACAAGTTCATGAAGAAACTTGCTCCATAGTTATTAATTTTATACTTTATCAAAAATTTAAACCACACAGGTGAGGTAACACAATGTTATTCTCGGCAACAAGTCAACCCCACTGAACACTCATAAGCATGTCACAGTTGAGATGAGTAATGTTAATATTGTGTGTGTGTGTGTGTGTGTGTGTGTGTTGCTGAAAACTCACATGCGATAACATCTTTTTCGTCCTGATTTTGTTGGGCCAGCCTAGCTGCCACTTCTTCTGCTGGCCGCTCTCTCAGAGGTTCTGCTGTTGCAGCCGACTCTGTGTCTTGAAGGACAGTTGCTGTTTCTAAGGCGAAATTATGATCATTGTGTTGTTTACAGTCCTCTAAGAAAAACCAACACATATCACTTTGACAAAGGACACTTTTAGACATGTTAGTTTCCAATAGCAGCAGCCTGCTCTGCTTGGGTTTTCAGCCTTTTCATTCTAGACTGCACTGTTAACAAGTCTAAAAGCATTTTACACATTTTATCATGTTTAAAATGTAAAAACCCCCCAAAACATTTAAAAATGTTTAAAAATGTTAACAGTGCAAAAAGTTTTACTTTTTTCATTAATTAGAACATTAATCTTTTTTGAAGTCAGTGTGTCAGTGACTGGTGTGCGTCACATTCTAACATCTCAGGTTCTTCGGAACCTGAGATGTTCTCGAGACATCAGTAGTATCTTCTGTTAGTCTAACCATATATTGCACTGAGCCAAGATAAAGGTGCTTCAGCTCACTGCAGTCAGATGTGTCCTGCTGGATTTTCTCAAATGATTGCTGGGTGTTTAAAAGTCTCAATGCTACAGATTGTTTAAGTAGACTGAATGTGACTGCAAAATTCAACTTCAAATATTACAGCCAACATTTAAAAGACACGATGTGTTGTCATGACACCACTTATCTGATCTGCTTCACCCTTAATGCAGCCTGGACCCTCACACCAACTGGCCCTCTGCTCCAAAGAGCCTCAGATCCAGATCTGACAGAACTTTCTCTGAGTCAGTAAAAATTCTCAACTTTTGTAGTCTCTGCTTAAAACATTTATCTTCAGAAACCTTCCCCTCTAGTTAGTTCAGCAGGATGGCTGAGTGTTATTTGTGCTACCTTTGGTTATTTTTGACTTTCTGTTGCATAGTTGTTGGACTTTTGTTACGTACAGAACTCTGGTAAACTGTGGATGCTTACAAATGTCGAGACATTCGATTTTTTTGCCACTAGAATTACACAGAAACCATATTCCCATCCTGACACCTTCACTTTGGAGTTTCTCCTCTTTTGCTACTTGTTGGAACAACATGGAACATGTTTATTAGTCCACAGAGGTTTGTCCTGAAATCTAAAGTTTCTAGACAAGTTTCAGCTTGCTGTTAGTCTTACTCCACACCCATCAGTCCTTGGACAGAAATTTAGGCAGACTATAAATGATTCATCAAACAGGTAATTAAATAAGAAGCTTGTTTGAAAAAAAAGATATGAATTGTAAGAAGCCTTTGTTTCGACAGTTGTCAGACAGGAAGGTATGTTGTGAGAGTGGGGGGAAGACATGCAGCTGAGGTCATCGGGCCGGGTATCAAACCTGTGATGGCCGAGTCAAGGACTCAAGCCCAGTTCACACTACACGATTTTAGAAAAGTCGTCCGATTCTGAAATCGTGAGAGACCACACACTAGCCGATTTAAAATCGTAGGTGTAACGGGTTCGATTGTAGAGTGTGAGACATTCTAATTCCAGATACGAAATCCCTTCAAATTAAAATTTTGCGCTACCACACCTGAATTTAGAGTAAACAAACAAACATGGACAACGACGTTGAAGTGGAAACTTTAGTTTGTGGACTTATGTTAACCCAAAAAAGACCTAACCAAAAACCAAAGCTTCGGAGACATCGCGAGCAAGGATATTTGTTGCATCGCAACATGGAGGTGAGGTTTTTTTTTTTTTTCATAAAAAAATACTGTTTTTAATTTTTTCGGTTTTGTCGTTTAATTAACCGTTATTGTTTACGTATAATTTTATAATTTTTCACTGTGTTTATGTTGTTGTAGAATATATGCATATTACAGAATGACTGAAACATCAAAGCAGCTTAAAGTAGAAGAAAGCATTTCCTGCATATTCGTTTTTAGAAAATCAGATGGCAGTTATCCTTTTTCCCCCCCAAATGACCTTGAAAGCTTAACGTATTCCAGCTTATTGTATTGTTTAAAATTGTATTATGACTGCAGAATAAAATCAAATGCGCCATTTCAACCAAAAGATTGGAATGTGCTTCTCAACCAGATGTACTCTGTGCAATAATTTTATAATTATCTTTCATTAAACAAAAAACAAAACAATGATCCAATAGCATGCTGCTCTGAATAAGGATAAAGTTTTACTAAAGCAAGATGATTACACGTTCAATATCCCCAATTTTAGATCAAAGCGGTCCCGACGTTCCACCGACTGGACCCGATCAGTCGTAACACACCACACACTACAGGATGATGTGTTACAATTGTCGGGAGCGACAATCTTAGAACTCAGAACATTCTAAGATTGTTGTAAGGGCAAAATCGGGGCAAAAAAATCGTGTAGTGTGAACTGGGCTTATGACACGAGTCACACTTTACACCTGCACCACTACTGCGCCCCAGAAGCTAATGTTGGCATGGAAATGTAAAAAGTGATGAATAATAAGGTTGTTCTGAGGACTAGCTGCATAAACACTTCAGTCAGAAACTGTCTCAGTGTATTATTATGGACAGTGTGTGCAATATGTTAACACTTTTGTAATTTTTGCACACATGTGATGCATCTCATTTATATGCAGGTATTGATCTTAAAGTGTCTATAAAGTGTTTGAACAATAAATATTGAACCACTACTGACGGGTGAAACACATTGTTGGGTGAGGCGACCTCATGTTTGCCGACTAGCAGCAAGGGAAAGTGATCAATTTCTCTTAAAGTCACAAAGCATGAATGCAAACACTGCCCATTAAACCAATTATGCTCATGTTGCATCATACAGTGGCATTAAAATACACTAGTGCCACCTAGAGCACCTAGCTAGCAACTGCTAGGGGGATTTAAAAACCTACAAGCACCCAAGTAACGCAGCATTCTTATAAGTGGAGCAGACTTCTGTTTTTTCTTCACCACTTTTTGACAAAAATATATTAATTTCTCCCATCTTGAAATAAATACTCAATACTGTTCCCTCCCCAGATCCCACCAAACTGATTTGTATAGAAGAATTGCAATAATATTAAGCGAACTATCGCTCCAGCCTCCAAGGCTCAGGCAGCTACATCTTTAACAGAGAAGACTGCTGGGTGCTTGCATCTCCTCCGTCTGACAGCTGTGGCTTCCTGAGGACAGAATGTTCCGAACAGCTCACCTTCAGGCTTCGTAGCATCAAATATGACAACTTGCAAAGTGTGTGTTCAAGTAGAGATTCACCTGACTATTTGTTCCAGTAAGTCCCATTTTGAACCTAAAACCTGCTTTAGTATTTGTTGTTTTCAACAACAGTTACAGAATGGCCTTTCTAGCATAAATCAAATAGTCCAGTGTGCAGGAGGATGAGGTTTTAGGGGGATTGCTATTTTTAAAGCTACCTCACAGGACTTCAAAGTGCTCCATCAGAACTCAGAATCTGTGAGAATGTTAGAAGGATGAGGAAGCTCAATGTTAACGTAGCATGAACAAAACATGGTGGAGTGTCTGACCTGCAGCTGCTGTGGGCTCGGTGTCGCATGGAGCTGGAACGGACTGGACCTCACTGATGGCCGAGATGATCTGAGTCGCTTCTGCTGAAGCCTCTGCTTAGAAACCCAACGCACAAGGAAAACACTCACACAATGCTTTGACTGGCTTGTTAGAAATGTTACAAAAACGTCACAATAAAGGGTAAATTATAAAATGAGCCAAAAAAGGAGCTTTAAAGTGACAATTAGAAAATCTGAGTCAAATCCCAGTTTCCCAGTTAAAAAAAAAAACAAAAGAAAATTAGTTTATTGTTTATTTAGAACAGGGACAATATGGAAAAAAAAACATTAATAAAAAGATGCTTTAGCTTAAGCTAGTTTCCATCATAGTCCCTGAACCAGAGTTGACACTACAGTCTAATATCATAAAATATACATTGAAAGTCCCCATATACCTTTGTGTGTGTGTGTTTATATATATATATATATAAAATCTAGAGTTTGATCTTGTTGACAAGTCGGGGTTCCAGGTTGTGGTGGTTCAGGGAGTTTCCTCTGTAGAGTCTAGAATGAGCTTAGGTGGGATCTGTTTCCTGTTTGGTCCAAGGTCCTCATGTCCCTCCTGGCAAATTCTTCCTCTCTTTAAACCATAGGTGAGCCAACTCTAATTTGGCATAATTCGCAAAAAAATAAATAAATAAATAAAATAACACAAATACTGATGTTTGGTAACAATACAAGATTCAAAAGCCCATTTCAAAATGTTACATATGGATTTATCTACTGTAATTTTTCCAGGTCATTTATAACTGTTTGGAGGTGTTGCCAGTGTTTCCCTCCTGTAGTTTGATTGTCCTCTAGTTTACTCTTTTGGGAAGAAACAAGTCAATCAAGTAGATGCAGTTTGAATTGACTGCAGAGTGAAAGTCTGGAAGAAGCAATTTCTCCAGATTTTGCTGAGACTATTGGAAATAATTCTTTTTTATAAACAAGTGTGTGAGAAAGCATGCCAACGCAGTGAGGTTTTACCCTGAATGTTCTGTGCCGGCTGTGACGATGCCGGGTCAGAATCCTGGACCCCATGCTCTGTTGTCTCCTTTAGTTTCTTTTCGGACTTAGCTTTGGATGTTTTCATCTGTTTTTCCATCATAGAAGGAGGCTGGATGAACTCCATCTAAACAGCAAACATTTGGAACACCAAAGGATTTTAGTTGAGTGTCTCAAAGAAACGTGAGGAAACAACCAAAATTGAAACCTGCAAGCACTTCTGCTGGTTTTCAGGCATCTATGAAGTGCTTGTACGCTTTCACATACAAGCACACACAGCATCATACTGTCACTGCCATGCTTCACAGTAGAATCTCTGTGCCTTCTGAATGATTGAAGGGGTAAAGCTTTGCCCCATTCTCTTAGAACTGAAAGACTCAAAACGCCATCAATGAGACATGACAGATCAGGGAGCTTGCTTTTTCTTTCTTTCTTTCCAATATAATCCAACATTCTGCAAATAGAGTTGACTGCTATGGGAGAAATCTTTTTCGTACATCAAGACATGTTTAAATGTAAAAGAATTCATTCAGACTTTCCAACCCCAGAACTAACAGAGGCTGACATGGTTTTATTAGGTGCAGATCTTTAAAAAACCTGACCTACTGATTCTGATTTTGGCCAATAGCAATTTTTTTTGTCTGAAATGTTGCTAAATATAGCAAGAAAGTCACTGAATTGGTAAGTGTGGGGTGACTATTGTTAACTGCAAACATACAGACATGACCTGGTGGGCAAGCATGTCTCACAGGAGAGCAGAAGATGACAATGTTTAAACTTTGCACCTAGGCAGAAGTAGATAAGATCAGTGGATGAGATCAGATTCACATGCAAGTATCAGCTGATCACCGATCTCCCAAAATTAAGGAAATTAGTAACAGTAATGATTTGACCCAGATGAAAAAAAATGTCTGTATCAGACACAGTCTGACATGCTGATGCTGCAGTCACCGACTTCATACAATCTGCTGGGTTTCCTTTGACAGCAAACTTTTAGCCAGTTTAATGAGTGAACGGAACATGACTGCATTGGTTGACAACTAGGATCAGTTAGGAATGGCTGTAACGGAGTTTGATATTGTCTGTAATACTGGTGTGAATTGACTTGTTTTAATAAAGTGCTTAGAGACAATATCTGAAGGGAACTGGTGCTGTCTAATAGGTGGGGTTGAACTACTAACCTGTTTCCTGGTGGGAAGACCTGCATCTTGAGAAGCAGGTCCCAAGGCCAGACCTAAAAGCCATTCTGAATATGGAACATTTCTCTCCACTGCTGCTCGAAACTTGTGGTCCCACTTGGAGTAGATGATTGTGCCTCCAATGCCCCCAGTTACTGTCAACAAGCCAGCTGTTACCACTCTGGAAGCACCACTGAGGAGGAAAAGGGGAGCACAGACAAGGAATGTTAGAATGCGACTTAGTACTTACAATAAGCAATACAAAGCTGACTGGAATATTTGTCTTAAATTCAGTTCAGATATGACAGCATTACCTGCTTTCTCCTGTTGTGTATTCCCTGCACTGGTGCACATTAGTCAGACGGATTCTCCCAGAGCTCTTCTAGAAGGTAATAGGACACACAAAAAGAAACAGGTCACATGGATCTTTACTTCAGTTCTCACATCAGAACCAAAAACCTTCTGTTGATAAGTTCTGTCCTGAATTCTCCTTGGAATGACTACAACACATGCGGACATATTCCTTCACATTTTTTATTTCAACAACTAAATGAATAGGCTTTGTAGCTTCCTTGAAACTTAATTCAAGCTGCTATTGCCCATTTATTAAACCCAGTTATGTATCAAAGTAGGTTTCCATACCAACCACATTTTATGACTGTGGATCTGCTGAGGGTTTGGCTGAAGGCTAATAATGTACTGCTTAAGCTAAATTCTCTTAAAGATCTGCTGTTGTTGCATCAACCTTCCAGATCTCTCATGTCTTCTGGTTCTGGTCTGTTGAAGGTTCTGGTCAGAAACAGAACCAATCATGGAGAAGCAGCATTCAGCTTCTATGCTGAAATCTGGAACAAATTAATCTAAACCCGTTTCTCCTGAAATCTAATCTTCTTTGTTTTGTTTACATTCAAAATGAGATGATTGTTCCCACATCATGCCAAAAAGCGTCCCACCACCTCGCTCTACTCAGCCTTTTGTCCATCTCTGATACCAGCTGTGCTGAAGCAGAGATATCTAAAAGTTGCATGAGTCTGGCCCTTGCGCACCGGATTTTGAGACCGCATTACTACAGGGTCTGCTGCTCCTCACAGAGCCGAACTCACTGCGTCACAATCCCGCCATGACATTTCACCAATAACGTATGGCGTCGAATGGTTTCAAACTTTCTAACGCCTTTTCATTTTCCTTGGCTGAAAGTGTGAGGTCCTTCAGCCAGTTCCCTGACAAAGAATGTAAACAGACCATAGATCCGTTTAAAGTGAAAATATGTCACACTACGGACCAACGTGCTGGAACCGCTGCCGTTGTTAAGATACGAACACCCGCACAACTGCAGGTTAGCAGTGAGCTCTCTGAGGCACCTTGAGCCAAACTGCGGGTCATTGAATGACAACAAGCTAACACCAACATGGCAGCTAACAGCTGCAGTGTAATTTCAGTCCTACCTGAGCTGTGGCCTTGACTCCACGCAGACAAACCCTCAGCATGGTCCTCGTTTCTTTTTTTCTGAATTCCGACCTGGAACTACCCTCTCAGCACCACTTTACTCACTTTTTCCTACTGGCCTTAGTCTAACTGACGTACACCACCATCTGACAGGCGCTTCTTCTCAGCGCTTATTAATTTCCGGTGGAATAATCAACCTATTGGAGCTTTACTGCCACGCAGTGGCGCGAAGAGGGATCACCTGGAAATGCTTTGTCCAAAAACAGACCCAGAACCTCATTACAAGGCTGTACTAACTTTTCTGTACTAATAGTAATACAACCATTAGTCTCCACTTGGATTAAAAATAACCTAACTTTTAATGTTTACAATTTCATTGCATAAATATGCAAGTTAAACTATGTACACCTAATAGTCTAATTACATGAATCTTTGCATTTCAACCTGAAGTCTCAACAATTTCTTTGTTATAAACTTCATTAAAAACAAAAAGTTTTCAGTGTGCTCTTTTATTTTAAACTCTTCAATATGAAACAGGAATAAAGAAAAAACATAGTTATAACGGCATAAAAAAAGTTCAACAATTGACTAAAAACATTTTGGTGCTTACATTTTTTCCACCCCCTCCAATCGCAAAAGGGCTTATTAAGACAAAACTATTTTCCCTCACTGAAATGAAATCACCCAACGGCAACATGCAAAGCATTAATTTCCCAATATTTGATTCATTGAAATGAGTCCAACTTGGTTAAAACAGGAAAAATAAAATCCTGTAAATAAGACTCCCTGAGCAGATGAATCTGTAAGAAATTTCAGCCTACAGTCCAGAAACAAGCAAACTTTAAACAAGAAAACCAAAAGCATCCCCAACTTGAGAATCAGTCACAGACACTGTCCATGTTAACTTTGAGAGATGTCAGTGTTGGGTGAAATCCTTGTGCATGTTGTCATCAAAGGCCCTAGGCCACTTCAGGATCTTCTGTCTTCTTGACTTTAACTGGAGTAGCTGAACAGTCTTCATTCTAGACAAAACAGAGCACAACAGGTCAGGCTTGATAAAATGTCCAACGGAGGCACACAGCTACATTGCCTTTTAAAAAGTACTTATACCTCTTAATGGGGATGTGTCACTTTGGATACAGAGATCATCAGCCTAAATGTACCAAGGAATCTTTTCTGCCAGAGGCTATCTGACTTCATTATATACATATAATACTGTGTAAAGTTGTGCGTTTTGAGCAATATACTTAGCGATATGTGTGAGTCAAGACTATTGTTGTTATTACTGCAATATGTTTATTATTTTCATTCTAATTATTTACTTAGAACTAATTAAAAGAAGACTGGTTGATTTTTAGACCTCTGCTGACATGGATAAGATCAGTTTCATATTTAAGTATTGGCTCAGTTGATAAGTCTTGTGGCCCCATAATTATTTAAGGTTGTTGCACATTTTCACTGCAGGTCAAAGGTTTGAGTATATTTGTGCAAACGTTCGTGCCAAATTCATTTTTATACATGCCAACTTGTGCGTAAAATATTTTTTGTGGTTACACAAGTTTTATACATGAGCTCCAGATGGCTGAGATTCTTTGTCATGACATGGAAGCTATTGAAAACCCATCTTATATATATTTTTATAAAAATCACGGAAAAATATAAAAAACGTAAAATGAAATAAAATCAGCGTGCCTCATCAAACATAGTGTAGTAGAACAATTTCACAGTAATTTTCAGTTAGGTTACATGACTTGGAAGCTATTGAAGGAAACTTTTAAATTTTGACAAAATTTAAAAGTTTTCTTATATATATATATATATATATATATATATATTATATATATATATATATATATATATATATATATAATATAACCTGAAAAAGAAAAAAAATGAGTGTGCCTCATCAAAATTATCCAGTAAAAAATTTTTGCACTGATTTTGAGTTAATAGGTCTCATGATTTGAAAGCTATTGAATAAAATTCCATTTTGCCAAAAAAAATTCTTAAAAACCAACATTGGAAACCAAGTCAGGTTCAGCCTGTAGAGGAGCTCACCTCAGCTGCAGAGCTATGGACCAGCAGGGAAGACGGTGTGTTCTGGGAATCAGCCAAGGCAGGAAAGTCCAACTCAATGTCCACAATATCATCAAGGTCCAGCTCCTCTCTGCAGAAACCAAACAGTGACTCATCATGGCCATGCAAGTCATGAAGGCGTTACCACCTGTTGACCACGTGCAAGACGGTCACTCAGGGTTATCATAATATAATCACAAGATCATAACATAAGCAAAGCTGACAAAAAAAGCACATTCATTATTTCAGACTCAAGATTTCAATTTTTTTTTTGAAGTTGCTGTTAGTTTGTTTTTAATGCTGTTCCTTCCTCATATCCTGACAGCACAATCCTGAAGGACTTTTTATTGTTTGTGTGGTGGCTGTTTAACTTTGGTTTTATTTGAAAAAATCCAAAATGCAGAATCGTCACAACTTGATTTAATATTTTTTCACTAACAGATGATTCTTTGATGTATAGTTGTTGCTAAATCAGCTGTGAGTATATTTGTGAAACAACAAAGTACAGTATATGGACCCATCTCTGGCAAATGCTCCACTAAAGGATGTTATTAGCTGTGCTTTTTTTGTCCGCTTTGCTTATGTTATGATCTTGTGATTATATTATCAGCTCCCATTGCTGGATATATTTTAAAATTTATAATTACTGCAGTAAACAGAGCGCTACTCTGTGATGTCAACGCTCTTCTCCGCATGTAGATTGCTTTGGGGACAGAAACACTTCACACAGAAGTCTCATTGCATTCGGGTTGAATTAGTATGAATGACCATGCAAAAAAAAAAAAGTGGATTTCAAAAAAGAAAAGAAAAAAAGAGAGATTTAGCAAGCTCTGTGAACGTAGCCTTGAAGAAGTGCATTTCTGAGGCTCACCTGTCAAAAAGTCACTAAATAAAATGATCAATGAGCTTGGCAACTTTTCAATGTCTTGTTGCAAATCGAATAATCTTTACAAGATTGATATCTAAAAATCAAGAAATTGGGGGGGAAAAAAACCATAAAACTATTGCATAACTAAAATATTTAGCCTTACTATACATGTCCTGTGAAATTCTGCTTTCACTGAATAAGAATTAAGTCTGGAAACCGTTCTCCAGACTATTCAAATGTGCAAAATTATTTTAAAAATGCAACCATTTTCCAGGCTCCATATGAATCCTGGAGATTGTGGGATTTTCTAGATCATTGGTCTTCAAGGAACAGTGCCCTGAATATTTTAGGCACTTGCCTGCTTTAAACACATCTGATTTCAATTGATGACTGATTTACAGGGTTTTGTTGATCTGCAATCACCCAGTTGGGTGTGTGAAAGCAGGGAAACATCTAAGACATGCAGGGTGGTGTGTCTTGAGAACCAGGATAGGAAACACTGCTGTAGATATCAGTGTTTATTGCTCTGCTCATTTTGTTTTCCTCCCCTTTCAGCTTCATGACCCTGGCAGAGCAATGATGAAGCAGTCACTGGAAACCTGAGGGAGCCAGTGTTTTCTTACATATTGTCACTGAGGGTGTGTTCCTGGCCGCAGCCTGCTGGGGGATCCCAGGCATGCAGCTTAACCCTCCACAGTTTGATCTGCTGATCCCAGGAACGCCGGCTGTACTTCCTGAACTTGTTGGGAGTCTTTGGGTGAACGCCCGGCTGTCGCATGTGTCTGAAAACAGAAAGGGTTCATGTTTGTATGGTTAGCATTTAAACACACAAGACCTTCTGTCCATGTTCAATGTTGCTTTAAGATGCTGACAATCTAACATGCATCATCTTACTTTGGCACCTCCTTGATGTAACGGTCATAGGCCAGGGTGTTCTTGCCGTAGCTTATCTGCTTTTGTCTTCGCATCAACACAGCTTCGTCAGTCTCCATGTTTTCACCCTCTCTGGAGTCACAGCTGTGTACACAAAGAAGTTATTGTCTTTTAACTAAAAACCTGATAGAACAACTGATTCCACAATCCAAAGATGAAGTAACAACAGCTCTTTTCACAAAATCAATTTCTGTCCTTCAGAGGAAAACTTTAAAGAGAGCTCAGAGGAGGCGTGAACATGGCAGACATGATCTGAAGCGTCATTGGCTTAAGGAAGAATCCCAACCTGCAATAGGATGAGCAGATGATGGAATATTTGCTTGGTGCAGTGCTAATAAAACATCTGCAAATTGACTGGAGATATGGAGTTGAGCAGTCGGTTTTCACGGGTCAACAGGTTCTCATCCTGTCAGCGAAAGGTTTAGTGTTGCAGGATTATGGAACAGACTTTCACTGAAGTGAGTAGTTTTCTTGAGGAAAGTCAGTAAAGAATGCTGACCCATGAGAACGTAGAGTTTAAGTTTACTAAAGCCATATTTGTAAATGGCTTTAGTTTGCCGTCTGCAATGTCATTACTATCGCCAAACAACTGTAAACAAGTCATTGTTTGGCATCAATCACATTAATCAGGATGAAATACGTTGTTTTTGTGGGCTATTTTGTCCCTACTTGAAATATTTTAGTTTATTAAACAGTGCTAAATAGAGCATGTTGGTAACGATATCACATGAGATTGAAGACGTGTGTACGGTGTAATATTAGTGTACAGTGTATGAAGCATATCCTATCATTTCAGATGCACAGTGACCTGTGCAGTTATTGGACATAGGTTCACTGCGCTTCATTTGACAAAGACTGCCATACAACATATCAATGTGCAAAAAAGAGTATGCAGTGTTTTCTCTTTGGAGACGCCTGTGTTTAATTTAATTTTTATAAAACATTTATTTTATCTGTCTGATACTGTTTCACTCTTACAAACACCTCTGTACTTGAAATATTTTTTAAAAGGTAGGATATTCTGATGCAGGGTCTTAAATCACTTATATGTGCTATCCACATATTTTGATTAAATCATTTAGTGATTCACCGTGTACATAGAGGTAGTATTTTCTGGGTAGGGTATTTAGCAGATAAACTTGTGCCGCATACTAATGTAAAACAGATAGCATATCCTGGTGAAAGATTTTGGTGCATTGACCTCCTCTACACATTTACCAGGGAGGATATTTTGATGAGGGGTTTTTAGTGCATCAATATGTGCTACCTCTGTATTTCATGAAACAGGAAATTCAAAGACA